TTATTATACGATTATTAGTCTAATACTAATACTGTTATCACTGCCGGGGCCGAAATCTTAGTGGTAAGAGACACTAGTTCAGTTGAAACCCTGACCAACCGGACTTAACCCCTAACCTCTCTTAATACTCCAGCAAGCCCTCTTATTAATTGCTATCCTGAAACCCATTCTACTAGTCTACCCCAAAGTTGAAAGGTTGGGTTCACGGCCACTTAGTCTAAGACAACCAATTCTAAACCCAAATGGAAATTACAGCAGCTCACTTGCGATATTATAGTAATTTTAATAGTAACAGTGATCATAACGCAATGATAGCTAAGAGTGGCAATAGTATTAATAGTATTAGACTAGTAATAGTACAGTAAGTAATAACCACAAATGGTAATAGGAAATCCTAGCACCAAAACCTCAAACCCCTACTAAACCCTTAAGCCCAAACCCTTAGACTCAAGCGAAAGTTGAAAGAACTCTGAACCCCGAAGCCCCGAAACCCCTAAGCCCCGAACCCAAACTTAAATTCCCAACCTCATAAGCCAGCCTTAAACACCAAAACCGTCAACCCTATATCCGTACCCACCCTTCTCCAACCCTAAACCCTAAAACACTAAACCCTAAAGCCCGCCGCTCTCGCCGACTCCGACGGCCTTCTGCGTCGCGCCGCAGCCTGAGGGGTTTAAAAGTTTAATTAGGTAGTTAGTGGTTACCCTAAGCCCGGTTGACCCCCCCCAGATAAGCTGCCCTGCGAGTGCCCTGCATCGTCTGCACTGGGTTCCATTGCCGGTTCTTCGTGAGCCTGGCTTTGGTTCCCTGCTCGTTTGCACTGGGTTCCATTGCCGGTTCTTCGTGAGCCTGGCTTTGGTTCCCTGCTCGGTCTGGCGGAGGCGGTTCTTCGTGAGCCAGCCTCCAGCCGACCGAGCTAGGGCTTCGGAGCCGGTTCTTCGTGAGCCAGGCTCTGGAGTCCTTCGGTCTGGCTCGTTGCCGGTTCTTCGTGAGCCAGGCATCGATGCCGACCGAAAATTGAAAACTCAGCTGCCCTCGCCTGAGCTTTGGACTCTTGGTCAGGCTCGTTGCCGGTTCTGCGTGAGCCAGGCTTCGATGCCGATCGAGAGATCCACTGCCGGTGAAGGGCCTGAGCAGGCTCCCTGCCGGTTCTGCGTGAGCCTGGCTTGGATGCCCACCCGGATCGGCCTGGCCACCTGCCGGCGGTACCTCCATCGGGGTTCTCGCCTGGCTCGTGTGCCGGCCGGTCTGAAAAGGGATTTTTTTGGGTTTTCCCCGCCCCGAGCCTGAGACCTTAGACCCCTTCTCAGGGTTCGGGATTTGTACCTTTGCTTTCGGTCCTTTAATACCCTTAGCGTTTCAGGGTTTTTTTTTCGGCTGGATTCGGTTTCGGGACTTCGTTTGAGTCTGTGAGGTGCCTGGGTTTCGGGATTGATTCGGATTGATGCTGTATGATGCTGTGGCCGAGGCCTGACCGCCATGCCGACTTCATCGACAGCATTGGGCCAGGCACTCGACTGAATGCAAAGCAGCAGTATCCCAACATACAACATTATATTAATATTGTTGTATGTTGGGATATTGTTTTGAATTGCGAATTACGAATGATTGCACTGTATTCTGGTATGACTGAGGCCTGATGAGATGCAGGGTGCTCGGTTTCTGGACCGTCTTTCTAGGCCCCTCCTCTGACGTTGGCTCATTGCTTTTGCCTGACTGAGGCCTGACCCGGCTGTGGACTCTGGACCACGACTGATGTCGGTGCTGCGATGCCGACAACTCAGCAGGTTTGCAGACCTCCGTCCGTATTATCCATTCTTGGCACGTTTACCGGTCCTGAGGCTGGAGGCTGACGACTTTGGCATCACGGGGCTCCATCTCCGAGGACTGCAGCCTGCCGTTCGCCTATTTGTTGGAAGCATGTGTGCATGCTTGAATGTGCTCGCTGTGCGTGCTGCAACTTTTTTTGATCAGACATGTCGTGTCATTGGACTCATGCCATGATGGCTGCCTTGGTGGCTGCCTGAAGCATTCACTCAGCATCGACATCACACCATGCACGCCCGGACAGCACAGCACTTCATCACATGACATTGGACATATCACAGTCACAGAGCCCTATAATTAAAGGGCTTCCCAGCTCCTGAACCCCCGGCTCCTGCCTGAAATGGCGTCGTCATCATCCAGCTCTTCGAGCTCCTCCTCGTCGTCTGAGTCTCGTCCAAGGCTGGTTTCGGCTCTGCTTTGTATGGTCTAAGCTAAAGCTTGGCCTTGTGTGAGGGTGGAACGAAAGAATCGAAAGAAGCCAAATGCACGGAAACGTGCACAAAAGAGGCTGAATGCCGAGGCGGGACTTTCATAACTCGGTTGGCCGTTTTCATTTCTTTATGTCTGTGTCGAGGCTGACAAGGTCGCCGAAGATCTTCTGAAGCCGCCTGAGGCGGGATGTTCGCACTTCCATCTGTCTTTAGCCCTTAGCCCGGTCAGGTGCCCCCGCCCAAGAAGGAGGCTGACACATCCAGGAAGAGCCAGGGCGAGGCGGGACTCGTGTACCGATTTCTTTTGTCGTCCTTAGCCTAATCATAAACCCCTGTGCCAGGAGAAGAAGCAGAAGGTGGCTGCCAAGGAGAGCTCCAAGCCTGAGGCGGGATTTTCGTATTTCGTGAGCAGCTGTCATTAGGCCGGACTGCCAGGAGAAGAAGCATGCCAAGGAGAGCTCCCAGCCTGAGGCGGGATTTTCGTATTTCGTGAGCAGCTGTCATTATTAGGACTTAGCTAATAATAATTAACCCGGCCAGGTCCATCCGAAGAAGCTTCCGAAGGAGCACTCGAGGGCTGGACTTGCGTGAGCATTCATGTGGCCTTAGCCTTATTCTGAGAACCCGGGCAGGACGACAAGAAGGCGGCTGAGAAGGCGGCGGAGAGCTCGTCCAAGAAGGCCTTCACCCTTGGAAAGTTTCAATCTCGTCTCCGTCAATCGCAGCCCGGCCAGGCCAAGAAGAGCAAGGATGAGGAGGCTCAGGGGAAGGCTGAAAAGGAGAAGAAAGAGAAGAGGAATGAGAAGAAAGTGGAAAAGGAGGCTTTAAGCTTTGCCGCTTAAAATAAAAAGCCACAATCTTTGGTCCTTAAACCCGAGCCCGGCCAGGTTGCGGAGGTGAAGCCTGACAAGAAGACAGAGGCCCGTTTTTCTTGCAGTAATCACGAAAGTCTTAAAGCCGAAGCCCCCGGAGGACAAGGCGAAGACCTCGGAGCCCTCCTCGAGCAGCAAGCCCATCGTGACTGAGGCACGTTTTTTGACACATTGGCTCGAGCATTGGTCCTGAAAATCATTATAACCTGCCTGCCCAGGCTGAGACTCAGACTGAGGGAAAGGGAAAGGGCAAAGGAAAGGACAAGTCCCCTAGCAAGGGAAAGGGCAAAGGCAAGGCCAAAGGGTCGAAGAAGAAGAAGAAAGATAAAGGAAAGAAGAAGGATAAGAAGGAGAAAAAAAGCAGAAGAAAGAGAAGAAGGATAAGAAGGAGAAGAAAGAGAAAAAGGAGAAGGAGGACAAGAAAGAGAAAAAGGAGAAGGAGGACAAGAAAGAGGCTGAGGAGAAAAAGAAGGAGACTGGACAGACTCTGAACTGTGTTTGCATTATCAATGTGCATTACCAATCCAGTTGCAGGAGGATGACTCCTTCGACAAGATGCTGGAAGATCGGCTGAAAGAGCAGTCGTTCGATTCGTTGCTGGGCCTCTTTACCCGTCGGGCCACACTGCTGGTTACCTTGAAGGACCAGGTGAAGGCCGGTTCCGCCGATGTTGCATTGTCATTTTATGTCACTGTGAACTTCTCTCCGAGTGTCCTGCCTGCCGCCAGCATGCCCTGGACCGCTTCGCTTCGGGCTTTCGAAGTTCTACTGCCCCAAGCCGAACAATGAGGTGCACCGCCTCGAGCTCATGTCGGTCACTTGGCCGGCCATGATGTTATTTTAACAGTGTATGCGACATGTTCGGCACCGATGATAAGTTTAAAACTTGACATCACTCAATCAGCCAAGGCTTTGCGCTACGAAATCGTGCACCAAGAAGCCCAGCTGCTGTGGTGGTTGACGAACCATGAGGTTGACTTCCACAAGTGGTCTCGACCGCTTGGGAATTGCCTCCTCGTGGAGCCTGAAAAGGTGAAGCCTGAGGTTGCACTTAGGCGGCTTCCACCGTTGCCACCACCTCCCTCAGGGATGGCGGGCACGTTTCTTGTTACCCCGCGTGGCATGGTTTTTCAAAGACCTTAGCCTGATCTCTGGCCACTGACTGATGACTGATTAAGAGCATACTACAGTTTAGTCAGACTTGGCAAAACTTCAATCAAACCATGGCTACTTTAAGCTGCGGGCTGTGCTTGTGGCCAGTGGTCGGAGAAGCCAAAAGGCATTGCCTGAGGGTCATTCAGGCTGATCCTGGTCGTACAGCTGCAGCGAGCAGTGACCAAAAAAGAGCTGACTGACTGTCACAACTTTGCCAGCTTTTTTGCAATAACGTGCACAGAGCCATGGCTGCTTTTGGGAAGGACTCCTCCTTCTGTTTCGTCTGGGCAGCTGCGGCCTGAGCATACCGGTGCCCCTGCAGTGCCAGGAATCGGAAATCCATGAACATCTGGTTCAGGTTTCGTGATCATCTTTCACTTTGCCTTCGGTTCCTCTGGCTTTGGACTTAAATACCCTGCCTCCCATGACTGCCCACTTGATACACGACAGGTCTCGGATGCCTGACCGTGTGGACGAGCTGCCGTCGTTGCAGAGTCTGTTGGGGACCCGGTCAAGTGGATTCGCCAGCCTGGATTTGGGCATGTGTTTGATGCCATGCGTGCTGCCTTTAACTTTATTCCTGTGTGCTGTGGATCAAGATCACATGGCAAGCCAGGGTTGTGGCAGCTTGCAGGTCTGATTTATGAATGTTGGGTTAAACCCTTAGGGTAGGCTACCAAAACTTTTGGTAGGAGAACGGCTGAGCCTCGCCGCCATGGAGGCGGCACTCACGGAGCAGGAGAAGGACCATGCTCTATGGGCAAGCCTGATGCGGAGGCTTGCCATGGAGGAGAATATGAACATCAGTGCTTTGCCTCGTCGCTCGGCTGAAGTGGGATGTCTGAAATGTAAACTGACCATGACCAATGATCTTCCTGCCTTACTTAGGCAGACCACCGCGGCTTGACAACCAGGTCTTTGCTTTGTCCCAGTGGTACGACGAGCATGAGGCTGAAGCCGACCGGGCAGCAATCCGGCTGCATCTTTAGTTCCCTCTGGTCCGAGTCCGATGTGAAGCACCATGCTGAAAGGCAAGGGCGAAAGCTAAGGTGCACCGATTTTTGCATGACCGTGCGCCTGACCTCCTCTGGGTCTGCTGCAAGTGCGGCGTCGACATGGCAGCCAAAGCCGAGTCTGGGCTGCAGCTACAATGACAATTAAATGTGATGTGCCAGCATGCAAAAAGTTCCAGCGGTGCATGTTGCATCCAAGGGCCTGGTCTCATTGCTGCTGCACCCCCACCCGAATGCCCCGGCGTATGCTCATCGAACCACCGTCCTTCTGACACGTGGCTCGTCTTTCAACTTTGGGGGTCTTTTTTCTGGAAGCTGTTCATTGCCTGGACTTCAGGCGAGTGGGTGTGGGACAGCAGCTTCACCAACGTCACCGCCTCCAAGTTGGTGATGAAGCACGTCAGGGAGAAACTTGTTGGCTGTATAGTAAACTTTTCCATTTTCGGGGTTGATAACTAATGTAGTCGATTCTGACACTTTCAACTTTTATTCCCTCACTGAGGAAGTCTGACTGGCTTCAGACGGAGCACTCCTCATGGAGGAAAATTCGCCAAAGCGTCCGAGATCGCACAGCTGGAGAAGGCCGCCGTCCAATCCCGGATCCGAGAGATCCGTGGTCGTCGTCTGACAACAATGGCCAGTCTGAGAACGAGACGACGGGGGCCGCTGGGACCGTGCCTGCTGACACGGGCAGCACCAGTGCACGGACTGCCGAAGCCGCCCCATGGAATGGCCCAACAGGGCAAGGCGGGGCGGCATCCTCCACGACAAGGACGTCTGAGCAGCCATGGACGTCGTCTGACAATCAGCAGTGGACGTCTGAGCGGCAGCAGTGGTCGTCTGAGAATTGGCACGGCTCGGGCTGGCGTTGGCGATCCTCGTCTCAGTGGCAGGAGGAGGACGGCGACGAGGACGAAGATTCCAGGGCATGGGCCTGACTGAGTCTGAGGCTGCCTGATGACTGAGGGGTGAGTGGTCTTCCGCCTGAGAAGAGAAAAATGGGCTTTGCAGTGCGGGCGTGTACTGAGTCACTGAGTACTGCGTCTGACATGCATTGTGAGAGTTGCCGTGCCCGAGGTTGGGTCGGATGTCATGCTCGGCGATGGCCTCTCGCTCAGACGGGCATGTCCACATGTGCAGCTGCCTGGCCTGATACTTTTGTTTTTGTCAGGGCACAGCACGACTTCCTGGTGGCATTGGGCAGGCGAGTCTTACTTATCTTGTTCTTGATTACAAGAAGCATTTTGCATCCGGAGGAGCTGGCCTGACATTGGATTGGGAGGGATACGTCGACTGAGACCAGGCCTTGAACTCAGATGCCTTATCACTGGTCGCACCTGTCACACTGTCTAAAAGTGCTGTTGCTTCCGTACTTCTCGTCCAGTTGTCGATTGAAATGAATCCTTGTCAGTTGTGTCACATGCGGACTTTCTGGCACACGTGGTCTTGGCCGAAGTTGGAATCATTTTTGCTCATGCCATGACTGCTGCTGCTGCTGCCGCCACTTGACTCCGGTGCTGTTACTGGTGCTGCTGCCGCTTGGGGGGCGGTCACCGGCGGACGGGGCCAAACCTTGGAAGAGGGGGCTGCACGGAACTAGTGAGACCAGCCTTTCAACTCAGACACTTGTCGCTGGTCGCACACTTGATGCTTCTGCACTTGTTGAATTCAATTCCTGGACTCCTCGTTGTAACATGTTTCTTTACCGAAGCCTGATTCCGGACTTCGTGGCACGTGCGGAATCATCTTTGCACATAGACGACTGCTTCTGCTTCTGCTGCCGCCGCTTGACTCTGCTGCTGCTTGGGGCCGGGCGGAGGCAGTTCGGGTTCGGGGCTGCGTTTGTTCTTTGTGCTGATTCGCTGACCCACCGTCACACCTGCAGGGCTACTAGCCTGCGGTCTGCCAATGGCGGCAGACAATGAGGGGGGGGGACCTGTCATTGTCCGGTGGAGTTATTGCCGGAGCATACCAGGTCATCGGAAGCTATGAATCTGCAAGTATGGGATAAGCCTGCGGCGTGGCAGTGGCGGGACCCAGAAAGGCAGAAACTTCCGACCCCCTTCATTTTGGCGGAACCCACCTTGGCCGAGTGGGGGTGAATCTGTCTGGCATTCTCGGGCAAACACCGGTGTTTGAAAAGACCATTGGGGACGCCGCCTAGTCGTCTGTCTGATTGACTGACTTGCTTGCTTTCGTGGCGTGTTTTGTGCTGTGGCCCTTGCGGTTGGAGGCGGAATTGAGCATGCCTGGCGGGTCTGTCTACTCTTATGTATCAAACTCGATCCCAGCATGTTGTAGCCATCAGGGCAGAAGCCTGCTGAGGTGAGGGGATTCTACTTGATTGACCGTTTCATTTAATAATCTGCTGTCATGTCTTGCATCGTGGCCATGCATTGCTGCAATCGAACGAAATCCAGTGGCAAGCAAACAAATCGAAAGCTAGAAAGATGTGTAATCGTCGCTGCAATCATTGGCTACCTTCAGTGCAACACCTGTACGTGGAATTATAGGGTTCTACTATGCAGTCGGTATTCATAAAGGAAAGAATTTAAAAATAGTAACTTGGTATTTCAGTCATAATTTCTATTAGATTCAGTGCAATTACGGCTGTCTTCAGTGCGGCATTGTTGCACTGGAGACGAAGTATAATGCACCGAAGACAGATTCCACTGTGTAGTGTAACTAGTGTAACATGTTAATAGTAGATTTGTATTCAGTGCAATTACGGCTCTCTTCAGTGCCGCATTGTTGCACTGAAGACGAAGTGTAATGCACCGAATACAGATTCCAATATGGAGTGCAATATTATTTTATCATTATTCAATGAATTACGACAAAGCGGATCCCTATGCAACGACGGCTACCAGCTATGCTATGGACATTAGCAATATATTAATACTATTGGATTTGTATTCAATGCAATCAGAGTTGTCTTCAGTGCAGCAGTGTTGCACTGAAGACGAATTATTATGCACCTAATAGAAACTCTAGCAGGGAGTGGAATCATTGTAATCCATTAGGAGTGGGTTTGTATTCAGTGCAATTACAGCTGTCTTCAGTGCAGCATTGTGGCACTGAAGACAAAGTATAATGCACCTAATACAGATTCCACTATGGAGTGTAACTAGTGTAGTATTTCAAAATGGATTTGTATTCAGTGCAATTACAGCTGTCTTCAGTGCAGCATTGGTGCACTGAAGACAAAGTATAATGCACCTAATACAGATTCCATTATGGAATGCAATTAGTGTTTTACATTTGTTTATAGATTTCAAATGCAATTGCGTGCATGTAACAAACACTCTAGCTGGACTGCAATACATGTAATTGGATCAGTATTTTAATGGAATTAGTTTGTTTTCAATGCAATTACAGTTGTTTTCAGTGCAACCTTGTTGCGTTGAAGACAAAGTATTATGCACCTAATATAAATTACAATATGGAATGTAATTAGTGAAATATATTAATAGTGGGTTTGTATTCAGTGCAATTACAGCCGTCTTCAGTGCAACATTGTTGCATTGAAGACAAAGTATTATGCACCTAATATAAATTCCATTATGGAATGTAATTAGGGAAGTATATTAATAGTGGGTTTGTATTCAGTGCACTTACAGCTGTCTTCAGTGCAACATTGTTGCATTGAAGACAAAGTATTATGCACCTAATATAAATTCCATTATGGAATGTAATTAGGGATGTATATTAATAGTGGGTTTGTATTCAGTGCAATTACAATTGTTTTCAGTGCAACATTGTTGCATTGAAGACAAAGTATTATGCACCTAATATAAATTCCAATATGGAATGCAATTAGGGAAGTATATTAATAGTGGGTTTGTATTCAGTGCAATTACAGTGTAATTGCACTGAATACAAACCCACTATTAATATACTTCCCTAATTAATTACAGTTGTTTTCAGTGCAGCATTGCTGCACTGAAAACAAAGTATAATGCACCTAATACAGATTCTATTATGGAGTGTAATTTTAATTAGTGTAAAAATAGTTATAGTGGATTTGTATTCAGTGCAATTACAGCTGTCTTCAGTGCAGCATTGGTGCACTGAAGACAAAGTATAATGCACCTAATACAGATTCCACTATGGAGTGTCATTAGCAATATACTCAAGGGCTTTTGTTTTCAGTGCAATTACAGCTGTCTTCAGTGCAGCACTGTTGCACAGAAGACGAAGTTTAATGCACCTGATACAGATGCCAATATGGAGTTTAATTATTGCCGCGTAATAAAAAGTTGCATCTAATAGGGTTCCTATGAGTCAAGTGAATAGAAATATGTCTTCAGTGCCATCGGGTTGTTTTAATTTTTTGTTGGCAGTTAACTGCGTCTTGTGAAGCAATTGCGTGTCCAAGATGATTTGCCTGCAATGGTTTGGGCGTCGGTGTGTGTTTCAGTCAAAGGCCTAATGGCCGGAATTAGGACGGATGCAAGCTGTACACTCATGGAGGCTTTACGTATATCCTGGTTCTTATAATTTTGTGTGATGATGTTGATTGAAGCACGGAAATCAGAGTAATTAGGAATTCCTAATCTGTTTCAATCACTGCATACGACTTTGCAAGTACACAGTATAGGCCAGGGTGCGAATATTTGCTGATGTTATTCTTTCTCTGACCTGTGCTGGTGACTGTCTCTGAAGCAGTAGTGCCTGCAAAGTTTTTTTCGTGCAGCCAGGAATGCCTGCAAGCACCGCTCTTCTGAGGTATCTTTCACTTTCGACTTGCTGCTCCACCGTGTGATTGGGGAGTTGCGGCCTCAGACTGGCACTCCCCTTGCTTCCGTGGTTCTGCTTGAGCCTGAATGATTGTCATCGTTTGCCCGGCCTGATATTGCATCGGCCCCAGCTGCCTGAAATTCCTTGTGACGGATCGCGTGCTGTTTTGTCCTTCGCCATGCTCGGCTTTGCCATTCGGGACGACGTCAAGGCGGCCCAGATGCAGCACTACGAGTTTTTTGACTCGCCCGAGGCGTGCTTTGTCGCAGCGGCAAGGCTTGAAGCCAGAAAGCGGCTTGATCGAAAAACGTGATTCGGTCATGTAATTTCTTTAGTTTATTGGCAGTCTGGTAACTAAGGCTGGACTTGAAAGTCAGCGATGCCCTTCCGCCGATGCCTGAGAAGAAGACGAGGAGGAAGACGAAGACTGCGGAGGCTGACGGTGTCAGTGTGTCGGCGGCCTCCGGTTCCAGCTCGTGGACTGGTTCCACAAACATCATGAAGTTCATGGGGTGCAGCACAAAGTTCCCGGGCAGATTTCGGCCACCATGAGCCGCCTGAGAAGTCTGAAGCGGAAGAAGGTGGACCTCATCAAGGACGGTGCCCGCCTTAGTCAGACATTTGATTTGCGCCTTGGGCCATGACAGCGGGCTTTTCGGCTGAGTGGGACATTTGAAGGTTGCATCCCGGAGTTGGACGACGAGCCTGACAGCGACAACTCCAGCATGAATGATTCGGCTGAGTAGTAGGCGAGGCTGTGCCGGCGTTTGATCTGAGACGGCAGAAGCACCCAAGATCAGTCTGGAGCTTCCGAGCTTGCGGTTTTTGACATTGAATGAGGGAGCCGAAGAAAATACTTGTGTCTGTGTGTGCAATTTCGGGATGCCGGCTGCACAGCATGAGTGCCAGTCGCACCCAGGCCCATTTCCAGCAGAAGGCCTGGAGCCAAGATACCCGTTGGAGTTCCGACAGAACGACACTACTTGTTTGCGGCTGAGGCCAAGAAGTCCTGCTTCAAGCACGGCGATTCGACGTCCGAAGGCGGAAAGGGTCCACGTGCCCGGGTAGAAAAGTCAAGGGAAGACAGGAAGGTTTAAGCCATGTAACCCCAGGGCAGGTTGTGTATGATTATCATAATGTCGCTGTCACCCCATCAATATTGTCGAAGTTGTCCAAATCGGTTGGAGACTTTTAACTTGCCAGTAGAGGATTACACCACGATATTCACGGCTGACCATGCTAGTCGTGCTCGCATTTCCAAAGCAACAGTGATTATCCATCTGATATGTCAAGCAAGAGCGTGCAGAGTGTTTTGGACAAACATCAGAAAATTGTCAATCTCGTAGCCCTTCGAACTGTGGTTGCTCCCGGAGCGGCATTATCTTCTTACAAAATGGCCAACAGCAGAAGCTTCGGACATATCTTTCCGTCATGGGCGTGGTTGCAGTTCGCAGGTTCCGTTAGTGTGCCGTTAGAGTCAGACCCGAGGTGCAAAGACTGAGTAAGCTTCTGCAAGCCAACCGGTCCCAAGTGGGGAAAGCCACTGGACCCACAGAACTGACCTCTGCAGGTCTGAGACTGGACGTCATGGCGATGGGTCCACGAGGAGTGGCTGCCTAAGAACTTTCGACTGGCTGAATAAAAGTTTGTGAGACAGTCGTCGGGTCTGCATAGCGTACAGAAATACACCTCGGCCCGGGGCCGAGGCGTATTCCTGCACACTTGGCTCGGCGTACATCAGATGGCCTTGTATTGTGTTATATGACCTGGTATAGATGTCATCTTGTCGCGGTGTACAAGAATACACCTCGGCCCCGGGCCGAGGCGTATTCCTGCACACTTGGTTTGGCGTGCAACTATCTCACAAACTTTCTTTCAGCCAGTTAAAAGTTGAACGATTGTGACCTCGCCTCAAATCCCGTTCTCCCTGCATGCCTGAGGTACGTTCTCTGTTGGCCCTGGATTTCCGAACAGCCGATCTCTTCAGAAGGCCGGGACTGTCGGCTGAATCGTTTCAGAAGTCGGCTTGGCATGATGGGTTGACCACCTCCTCCCCGCAAGATTGCGGCTTTGAGAGCCGCTCTGCCCCGGGGCTTTCCGAATCCGAAAGCCATGGCTCCCAAGACTGGCCGGACGAGTGGGGCCAAGAAGGCGGCCAAGGCAAGTGCCAAAGCTAAGGCTGAGGCCACGGCGGCTGAGGCTGCCGAGGTGGAGTCTGGGGACTTGGCCATGGAGACCGGGCGTGAAGCCGTGAAAGAGGCCCTGGACTTTTTGAAGAAGAAGAAGCTCTTTCCGGCTAAGGCGGAGAAGGTCGGCACTCACTCCATTCTTCCAGATGCCTGGCAGGGCTCGAGCCTGAAAGAGGCCGGCTGGCTTTAGATTGTTCAGAAGTAAGACATGAGATACTCTTTTTGGTTGGCGGTTCGGTCTCGTCTGACAGGCCTCCACATTCTCAGCGAGCCTGAAGGACGTGGACGTGCAGTCCCTGGAGGTGCCACCGCCTGAGGTTCTGTCTGAAGCGGCATCGTTCTGGTTCGAAGGGAGGTCTGATGATACTCTTTACGTCGCGGCGACGGTGACGTCTGAGACGACAAAGCCAGGCGAGATTGTGCTGTCGCCTGAGGACCATACCAAGGTCGCGGCTCTGGTATGGGCCTTCGGCAAGGCGGCGGCTTCGTCTGACAGCGACCTCTGTGAGAAGTACCGCCGCCTGAGCAGCCGCATCGTGATCTCCATGGTGCGTGGCAAGGCGTCTGACCAAGCAGGGACCGTGGTCAGTCTGATCCAGGCATCTGAGGACATCGGCAAGAAGGCTATGGAGTGTTCCAATGCGATGCCGTTCAACCTCGCCTCGCGTCTCACGAGGACCCCGGCCGGGGTTTAGTAGTAGTGACTGTCCCGTTGCCAGGAGCCGTAGTAGTGACTGGCTTCTTGCCAGGATCCGGGCCGCTTTGTCAGCACAACACAAGGCCTCCACTCACGAGGAGGTGTTCTTGTTGTTGAAGAACATCTGCTGGAACGGCGAAGCCTACAAGGCCCGGGATTCCTGGCCTGAAACTCTTAAAACCGAAGCCCTGAACCCGACAGGTGAAGACATCTGACCAGGTGCAAAAGCTCACCACTATGCTTGACAAGACGAATGCGGCCGGCATGACTGAGTCCTTGAAGGCGTGCCAGTATGTGAACAATTCGACCACGTGGTTGGGCAAGTGGAGCATCGTCACTCGCGTGCACCTCGTCCTATGAGACAAGAATCTCAGCACACACACACACACACTGCATGCCGTCAGATACCAAGGGTCAACAGCTTGAAGTCCAAAGAGGAGCAGAGATTCGTCATGTCGCTCATCTGTCTGGTCCTTGCCTCAGCAGCCACTGTCGAACCTCAGATCTTCTTCTTGGAAATCTGCCCAGGAGATGCGGGAGGACAGCAGCCTGAAGGACCATTTGGGTGTGTCCCTGTCGACCAACACCCACATGCGTGACTTGAACAGGGACCAGGCGATGCAGGCGACAGGGATGCTGCATCTGCGGTTCGTCGTGCTGGAGCGGCTGAGCCATCTGCCCATCCCGGACGATGCACCTGACAAGAAGACGGCCATGGAGTTTCAGAAGTCTCTGCAGCGGTGTCTGAATCCGAAGGAGTGGGCTCAGCAAGGCGGCTTGGTATCCGTCGCGGCCTTCAGCGAACCGCCGTACTGCAGTCTGAGTAAAAGGATTGCAGGAATGCTCCGGGGCGATGACGATGAGCTCTTCAGCACTGCTGTCACTTCCGGGCAGAAGGCGGGTCCGTGGTTGTGACAGTGACCTGGCTTTTGCAAGCCAGAACTGATCAGCTGCCAGGAGGAGTTTGGACCCATCCTGGAGCTGCTGACCAGGTACAGCGACGAGTGGAAGATGAAATTGGGCCGTCTGAAGCCTGAGCCGCCGCTTGAGACCAAGCCTTCTCGTGAGCTGCTGCCCGAGACGGATCCGACGACTGATACGTCTGGGACTGGGACGAGCCGCACGGCTGAACAACTCCGCGAAGTGCAGCTCAAGCGGGCGGTGGATGAGGAAATGGCGTTCTACGTGCACTTCGTCCAGTCTGACATACGAAATCCTTCCGCTGCCTGGGCTGACGGCCTGAAGCAGCATCAGCTGATGCAGAAGGACCGATGCATGGTCTGCGTTTCGAGTCTGGTGCTTCTTGCCGTCAGATCTTGGTTGCTTGACAGGCGGAGCCGGTGTTATTCACCTTCGACTCCTCGCTGGTCGCTGAAAACGGAGGCTACAGCCGCGTGCACAACGTGTACCAGCGACCGGCCGTCTTCGAGCGTGGCCTGTACGACAACTGCTTCCGAGTGTACGAGGCGGCTTCCAAGGACGAGGCCAGTCCTGCGACAGAGACAGAAGCTTGGTGCTTGGATTCAATTGTTTTCCGTGCATGACAGGACCGCTGGCTGACCTTTGATAGCGGCGTGCAGAAGGCCTCGAACACCATCCTGAGGTCTTTCAAGAATCATGGCTTGACGCCCCAGAGCATTATTCTGATCGGAAGCGAAGAAAGTGTTCAAGGGCGGAAAGACTACTTGCGGTCTGCGTGGCTTGGCCGCATGTTCTTGTGTTTGAGTGCAGTTTCCTTTTTTGGCTTGGCCGTCTGTTCTTGTGTTTGACTGCAGTTCATGCTTCCAGGGAGGAGAGGAACTGCAAACGGCGGAAGACGGGAACCGCTGGAAGTCTCATCAGCATCGCCGGGGCCAGGGAGACAATGTACTTCGGGTGCAAGTCTGAACCGCTGCCTGCCAAAGAGCACAAATGGCTGGCGAGTGATGGCGTGGTGAGCACCGCCTGTCCTGTCTCGGACTGAGATACGTCTGGGAGCAAAGTTTAATGACGGAGTTGGGGATAGGGAATCGTTTCTGAGGTGCTGCCGAACGTGCCCTTGCCTTTGCCTGACACCCTGATCCCGTTGACGGTGAGCCAGAAGAAGGAGGCCAGGAAGTCGGATATGTTCGATTTCATCCTGCTGTTTCTAAGTAATAATCGGTCAGGTCATCCCTTTGGTGTGTGGCAAGGGTGTGACCGACAACGGCGGCCAGGTGCAGGGCTGAGCGTGTTGGGACTTCGGACGGCTCAGGCAGCACTAGTTTCGGCCCCGGGAGGTGGCACCGGCTGAGCACGTGGAGGACACCGACACAGTCCCTCTGGTGCACTTCGAGAGGAGCTGCTGGCTGTGTCGCAAGTTTGAGTCCATTGTCTGGGCCGGTGAATTGAATTGGCAGGAGCCCACAGGTGTACCGGATGCTGCTGCACACGGTCTCGCCCATTGCCTGTGTCGTGAACTTTTCTCCGGGGTCGGGGTGCCTGAGCGTCGTCGCCGCAGAACAGCGGGTCCCGTGCATCAACGTGGTGAGGACGCCTGAACAACGGCAGATGCTCCAGAGCATCATCCGGCAGGAGCTGGCTGGTCGCGTCAAGAACGCCAACGACCAGCGTTTCTACCGCATGCCCGAGCAGCAGAGGGCTGAGCCTGAGAGGCCGCCTGTCTCGACAGCGGTTGGCTCGCCAGCGGTTCCGGTTCCCCCGCCTGAAACAACGACGGTGCCCCCGCCTCAGACAACGACGGTGCCACCGCCTCAGACAACGACGGTGCCACCGCCTGTGAAAACCACGGATGTCTCGTCACCGTCTGGTGAGTCTGACAGCAGCTCAGGCGAGGACGTAGAAAAGTAGAAGGCCATTTCGTCGCTCAGACATTCCATGCAGCTGGGTCCAGTCTGATACCCCAAACCCTGAACCCTACAAGATTTTAAACCGCTGTCGAAGTCCAGTCTGAGACATGGACCCAGCAGATTGCACTTAAGGATGGCAGACGAGGTAAAACACCCGAGGTGCACAAGTTAGTACGTGATCTGTCAACAACATGGTGCAGGTGCACAAATCTCTCAATATCCGCAGGTGTGGTGGCTGCTAGTCGTCACGTCGTCTGCACCCAGGATCGAAGTACAGCGAGTCACAGCTTCCAAGAGAACCGTGAAACAAAGCCCAAACCGACTGCATGCAATGTTGATGGACTCATGTCTGGGTCCATTCACTGTAAAGCCACAGAAGTACACCGCATGCAAAAACTATGAACAACGTGTCAGGAACGAGCTTGAAAAGTCTGAGTGCCTGAGTGCCGCCATGAAGCGGCCTGCGAAGAGGCAGCCGACCCAGCTGCAGAGGGCAGTCGCAGCGGGCGTCGTGAAGAAGGCCGTCAAGCCGTTCGCTTTATTTTGTCAGAGCAGGAAGCTGTCTCCACGACTGGCGGCATCTGAATGGCGTGACCTCGAGGACAAGGAGCGACAAAAGTTCGTGGAGGCGTCGAGGCTTGACTTCGCGGACCAACGGCAGGCAGCACAGAAGGCAGGCGTTCGTCTCCGACGGACTCAGCGAACCGACCCGCCTGAGGCACCTGAGCCTCTGTTGTCTGACCGTGCTCCGGACGACATCAACTTCGGCGACTACATCGTCTGTGGCTCTCAGGCCGGGGTTGGACAGGGCGGCTACGGCGGCATCATGAAAGTAAGGCACCGGGTTTCGCATCGCATCTATGCGGCCAAGGTCAGCAACACGAATTTCCACCTGTCTGAGGAAGTCGCCTTGCTGAAGCAGCTGGCTCACGAGACCTTTCTGCCGTTGCTCGCAGAGTCGGTGGTGACTGAGGATGAGTTCGTTCCCGGCCAGATGTCCTTCATGATCATGCCTTATGTGGCCACGGGCTCCGTCCTGCATTACTTGCACAACGTTGGAGCTTTTGATGCTCAGAAGCAGTTGGCCCTCACCCATCAAGTGCTCGCCGGCTTGGCCCACCTGCACAGGAGGACTGAGCATATACACGGTGATGTGAAGCCGCAGAACATTCTTTATGATCCATTGACAAACTCCTGTTTCATCATCGACTTCGGGATGACATACCGGCTTCCACTGGCAGAGGATTTCGTGGAGGACGGGGCAGGGGTGTACACCTATGCCTACCGACCGCCTGAGGTTGCCAAGGGCCTGTCTGAGAAGATCCTCAAGCAACTTTTGACTGTGAAGGCCGATGCGTGGGCATTGGCCATGACGGTTCACCAGGCAGCTACCAAAAAGGCCTTGTTTCATATGAGCTCCTGGAAGGCAACGGAAAGTTTGTTGGAATTGTTTCATGCCTGTAACCCGGGCCCGCCTGACAAGAAAGCACGGTGTGTCCTCAGACTGAGCAATGCCAGTCGGGAGGTTGCCGAGGAAGTCCGTCTGATGTGGCTTGCGATGGCCGAGCCGGTGCTCCAAAAACGCCGGTCTTGCCAGCAGCTTGCAGAGGAGCATGGCCTGCGGTGATTCGCGAAGCATTGCAAGCACAGTAAAACATGCAGAGCGACGTTGGCAGACGTGTGCATCTCTGCTGGCCTCTGCGTGTGTGTGTGTGTGTGTGTGTGTCGGTGTGATCGTGTGCTGCAATGACAATGACGGCCTGGACAGGTTCCGCTGCGTGCAGCGAGATGTGAAGCAGGAGCCCCAGCTTTGCTTGATACTTCAAGGCACGGCAGCCTTGACCTCTGCTGCTGACTGTAGGTCTGGATCAGCATTGCGGGAGCAGTGCAGTCAGTCACCATCTCAGTCTCTTGCACCGTCTTGTCGGATGCCCTTGGATTGTTTGCCGGAAAGCATACGAAAGTTGCAGTTCGGGCTCCGAGTGCTAGATCCCAGTGTGCACAGCCCGGGCTGCATTTTTGGCATGGCGGGCTCAGGCAGGAAAATCTGTGTAACTGGAGTCGGGCTGCTCTTCATGACTATGAATTATGCTGTCTTCCATGTTTCCTTGATGAGGAGCGTCTGAAATCGCGAATGCAGCGACTGCTGCGGCCATTGCTCGGGCCCGGGACCTGAATTAGCCTCCCATTACACGACATCGACTTTGCTTCTTTCGAGCAGGTGGATAATTTTGTGAGTCTCCTGATGCAGAAGAAGGGCAAGACTCCGGCCACGAAGTCCACGTATGGATTGGTGAAGATCAAAGGGGGTTTCAAAGTGAAGGGGTTGGCCGTGCAGCACCGCAGCGGCATGCGGGACCTCTTGAAATTCATGATGCAGTCGGCACCAGAGCAACTAGACATGCAAGTCCGGACGATACACAGACAGATGACCGGCTCAGTGATTTCAACTGCCTCCTCCAAGGAGCAAGATCACGACGTTGGATATACTGTTTGACCCGCCGAACCAGGTGCAAATGGCAGGCTGGAGTTGCAAGCGACCGGCTGTGTTTCAGTCCCCTGTCGCCCCCGTATGAGGCTGGTCTGACAAGCATGACGTGGTCTTGTTCCCCTGCGGGAGTCCACCTTCGCCTGAGAAGGCTGACGAGCGTGTCGGCCTGTGGTATCATCGGGTAGCCGAGAGCAAAGGAATTTTCGATGCTGGCTTCTTCCACAAGGCCGCTTTCTAGCATTTACACCTGCAAGGGCGAAAATACATAATAGACACTCGTCAGTCAAACTCTTACTTGAAATGTGCAAAGGTCGCCACCCTCCCAGGCCATATGGCCTTTGTGTGCCCTCGTGCAGCAAGAGGTCGTGTGTACCTCTTGGGAAGGAATATCATCCAGGCAGCAGAAGATCATGTGTCGCCTGAGAACAAGAAGGACCTGGAATGCATGGGGTTCGCTGCGGAATATGGCGGCAAGCTCTCCAAGCCGACCCTCCTCACCCGTGGCCATGTGATGGACATCGCCAGCCCCCTGGCCGAACTGGTTGCAAAGCCTGAAACCTTGTGTCTCTTGCTGAATCTTCCTGCCTGAGGACAGATCTACCTCAAACACGTGAAGAAGACCGTGCCTGTGCGACAGGGCTCGAAGCGGACTTACTATTGCCCACACTGCAAGCAGGAGGCAAGCTTGGGGACACTTCTGCGGGAGAAATGCTTTTGTTGTCCTGGGCAGGTGGAGCCTGAGACTAAGAGGTCCAAGAAGGAGAAGAAGGAGAAGAAGAACAAACGTGACTGAGCCGTTGTGCATGCAATCGCACAGGATTCAAGGCCCAGTCTGAAGCCGCCTGAAGCATGGGGCTTGGGCAAGTTTCTAGTCTCGCCCTGCAGAGAGACGATTAGCAGTCGTGCCGCCGAAAGTCTGTTGCATCGCTGAGTCTGACAAGGCAGCCTAAGGCAGAGGCATGTCATCATGAGTATCATGAGCTGCATAACAAATCCGATGCAGAGGCCGTGTAGGCTTGGTCCTTAGGACGGTTGTAGAGACTGAGAGGCATGACATCAGTAGAAGCATAGCAAGTCCGATGCCAATGTATGCGGCGTGCACATGCGACAGTCGTGACAATAGTTCACAGGGCCTCCTAGGGCAACAATGGCCGAGCGTATTGCCGAAGAGAAGCATTTGCGGCGATGCACCGCGACTTGCCTTCTGACCATGTGTGCCTGCCTCGCCATGTTCCTGCAGTGAATTCTTTCTTTTGAAATTTGTCTTGACTGAGGAAGGCAAAAAGAATTGCAACGAGTGCCGGTGGATAGCACATGCTGCGGACTGGAAACAGCGGTGTACCTACACCATCAAAGGCGGGAATCTTGCGGAGGCGGTACGACAGGACGAGCGAGTCTGTCATGCCAGGTTCGACCAGGTCATGGCTGATCCGGTCTGATCCGGGCACGAAGTTCGGCATCGGGTGCTCAGTCTGCCGTGAGTATGCCGCAGCCCTCGGCGGCAAGGAATGCGTGCCACTGCGTAGTCGACCTTGGATCGAATGCAGCGTTGGTGCTGGACTTCGGTGCCTGGGATCGCGAATGGCGTGGCATTGACAGCGGTGCATGGTGTTTTTTCGTGCTTCATGTCAGGTGTGGCGGCAGACCGGCTGCTCTTCAAATAGAGGACATGCTTCGGCACGGCGGCCTGAAGTCGAAGCGGAATGCCCAGAAAAGCCTTTTCCACCAGCAGGCTCTACGTTTCCTGTCTGAGGACAAGGCTGAGGGCGGGGTGGACGAAGATAAGACAACCGTGAAACGGCTGGTCTCGTCTGATAGTGGCGGCCCCACTGCCGCCCAATGCTTGACGGCACTGGAAGTTCTACTTGCTGGAGGTTCCGGGCACGAATACCAGAGGCGGTGTCTGAGCAACAATCGAACAAATCCGACTTTATGGCCAACGGGGCGTTCGTCCCGAGGAATGTTTTACAATGTTTTACAACATCATGGAGGCTGCGGCTGAGGCCGCCTTCAACGTGGACCGCCGTCGCCTGCAGCAACCCGTTCGGGCAGTGGCCTTGGCTGAGGAGCCGAATGCCAACAGTAGTATGTGCTGTGGCCCAGAATTAACTTCCATGCCGGTTTTCAGCGCGTCGTGTGTTGCAGGATGCAAGAGGCGGCTTCGAGCTTTTGAAGGTGCGGTACGTCATGGCCGACTGGTCCGTTCATTGCCGCATGCTAGACCTGGCCATTGCTGAGAAGGCTGGGCAGCACGTGAGCCAGGGCAGATCGGGCAGTAGCCCTGCCAGCCGAGGCCGCACTGGAGAAAGCCAGATCGCTGCCTGACACCCTGGCCAGCTTCTTGCCGGAGGAAGCCCTCCGGAATGCTTTCAAAGACAAGATCCGCATCTTTATGGCCGACGGGGAATTTAGCGAGCCTCTGGCGGCACGGCTGAGTAAAGTGCCTCGCTTGCAGTTTCTGCGGATTTCAAGAACAGCATATTGAATGTTTGAAGGACCGCACCTTCACATGAGGTCCAGGGAACCCTGCCGGGATTGAAGGCGATTATGAGATGCTCCGTCCATAGTGGACAAAGGTCGCTCGAAAAGGCCTTGTCGTCTGACCCGGATGTGCAGGGTCTTCTCCAGAGCTGGGTGCTTGGATTTTCCGATGGCAGTGGGAAAAATCCAGGAGGATTTTGCAGGGCTGTGCGAAACTCGCAGAAGCTCCAGCGGCTGACGGCAGAGAAGCAGCTTGAGGGTGTGGACGAAAGCCTGAGGCGATTGTGCCACTTCGGCTTTGCACCCCAACGTTTCAACACCGTCTGCGATGCTTGCGTCAACGTGGCTGAGAACATAGATGCGGTCTGCAATGTCCTGAGCCATCTCGCAGCGGTGGATGATGCACTGTCAGGCCACTCAACTGATCGTGCTCGTTCATGAGTCCCCGTGGATGGCGAGGCCTTTGCTTAGCCGATGTTTTTGTCTGTGCTGTCTGAGGTTGGGCCACTAAGCTTCTTCAACAATGCTTTCAGCCGGAGAAGCTCCTCCAACTTGGCTTGATCGCGGAGCTTGCCTGTGCCGCTGCGAGCCGCGACTGCAGGAATCAGTCTTGTTTGCAAGTCTTCTCTGGCTAGAGATCCAAGGAAATTCAACCACTCACTGGACGGCCAACATCTGCGATTGGCTGCGACAGCCCACAATCTTCAGCAGCTCGAGCGTCTGATCAATCGACTCTTCGACTTTCGGAGTCCGGCAGGAGAGCTGCAGCAGCCGCTGGTTCTGGATGATGCCTATGCACATGGCTACGTACAAAGACTGCAGGCGACTCTAAAGCTTGAGCAGAACAAGTGCCTGGTTGTAAAGCAAAAGATGATCTTCTGGCACAGCGGCGCCAACAGGAACAAGATACGTTCCTTCGTGGCCAAAGAACTCGGTGCCATTCGCAACATCGCTCAGCTTTTTGTTCAAGGCCTGAAAGCCGATGTGGAGGTTGGCGTCCAGGCATCGCTTTCTCCGTTTGATGTCAACCATACCCTGTGCAGCGACGAAGCTTTGCCAGAGCCACAGGATCCATGATCTTCTGTGCGATTCTGCTCCTGTAATGAATCACCGCTACTAACATCCGATGCCAAGGCCTGACATCTTCAAGCCGCTAGCAGAGGCTGCACAAGTGGAGGTCTGGAGCCCACACCGCTTCAGCGGGACCGAGGCTGTGATGTTCAACCGCTCAGGTGACACAGCTGGCCAAAGAGTTCCTCTTGGCACGTCCTACAGCCTTGCTGGTGAAGTCACAGCCTCCCGGCGACAAGTCTTTTCTTCGGAGGCCCTTCACTCCAAGACGAACAGTGCATGACTGAGGACCGGAGGCGAGGATTTGAATGAGATCTGGTCCAGGACCATGCGGCATTGGTCTGACAAACTCCCGGCTTTGTCTGAAGCGGCTCCTTACCTAGCCCAGTGTTTTTGAGCTGTGGGATTAAACGTGAGACGACGAAAGCCATTCTGTCCTGAGGCTGCCCTCGTCCTGAGTTGCTTCCCGAGCACCGGCGAGATTGAGCAGAATTTCAGCTGGCTGCAGCAGTTCTCGGAGGGGAGAAAGGGCAAGACTTCGCGGGGACACCTTCGGCAACTCGGCTCATGTCAAGTCCATCTTGTCGTCCTGCATGGGACCAGAAATTTGAAAATCTTCTGCTCTCAGTCTCTGTCGAAGTGCCAGGTCATTAATGAAGGTCCGCCTCGACGGGCCGACAGCCGACCAACTCGTCTGTCGCGAGCCCCACAGCATCCTCCCGAGAAAGCCGTGCCTGAAACTGCTGCAAGAATACCGTCGCCTGTTTGCTCCGAGCGGCGGCTCGCAAGGATGCCGCAGCTCACTGGGTCGTCGGGTTCTGAACGGCCGCCTGAACCCGCTTTCAAGAGCTGGCTTGAAGCGACAGCGAGGGCTGGAGCAGCAGCAACTCTTGCAACAGGCGCCGGCGGAGTCTCAGCCTGAAGACCTCGCTACTTTGGAGGCTGAAGCCGGCGAATCAGCCAAACGTCGCAGGACTGACAAGCAAGTTAGCCTGACTGCCGCCCTGCAAAAGTACAAGACCAAGAAGGAGGAATGGGCGACACTTGATGCTTCGTCCGAAGCAGCCGCTGCTGGCCGCCTGATAGAAAAAGAGCGGGAGGCTGAAAAACGCTTCGAGAAGCTGAAGAAGATCGGCGTGGCCAGACTTTCAGCCGTGCGGTCTGACGTCCTTGCGGCCGACCGCGACCGTTTGATCATGGTGGTGCATGGCCATGACTCCAGCAAGACACCGGGCCTGCCTGATCTTGAACGACTGGGCAATGCTCGTGCTTGGCCTGAGTCGATCGAAGACCAAAGAAATTTGGTTTACGATCTGCTTCGTCATACATCTGAGGACTGCGGCAGTCATCGACTCCTCTACTGGGTCTGCTTGTCTGACGAGGTCGAGCGTGACTTCATCTTCAAGCCGTCTGAGAGTGCTTTTTTGGCTGTTGCTCGCCACTTGGGAGGCGGTTTTTGCGGTCGACAATGGGTGCAGGCATGCATGGATGAGGGCCGTCTCTTGCCAGCCTTGACATGTCTGAAAAGCAGCTTGACGACGAAACAGGAGCTGTGCTTGCATAGCTCCTGTATGTCTGACGACTCTGCTTTGCCCGCAACTCGGATGCTTTACAATTGCATGGACACGTCGCAAGAGATGGCGAGATGTTACTTGCAAGAAGTGTTCTGTCATAGTCGACGGTGAGACGGCTGAGAAGTACAGGAAGAAGAAGCAGAGGCATCGGGGCTGTTTGATGACAGTGTCTGAATTCATCGCTGCTAGCAACACGGCTCTATTTCGTTGGCTTTCGCACACAAGCTAGGTCATGAGTTTGCACATGTACATATATAGTCCTCTACTCAGGCACGAAGTGGACTGACACCTGATACCGCCCGATGCTGCCTGAACGACTGAGCGACGAGGCCAAGGCTATAAATTTCATCTTGTCCAGTCTAACTTGTTACTTGACTTGGTCAGGCACTTCCACACAGCCATCGAGTGCTTGAACGGTCGGCGTGCACCGGCTCCGACGGCTTCGTCAGGAACCTCGCTGCAATTGTTATTTCTGTTGATTCCTGCCCTCACGTTCTCAGTGATCCTAGGTACCAAAGATGATGTGTGGCTTGCTTCGACAGCAATGCCGCCCAGTCGCACTGCTGTCCCTTTGCTGTGGGTTTCCCTGCTTGCTCTCGACTTTCTGAATCCTAGGCAGTCGTGCTCTGCCTACACGGCCTGATAGCTGGTGCAGGGGTGGGGCTGCCTTGAGCGCCTCGGGGATGTTTCCTTAAGTGAAACAGTCTGAATTTCACGACGTCTGATATCCATCTTGCAGTCGCGACACAATTATCCTCAAAACATAGCTTTCTATGTGATCTCGGCTGTTTCCACGGAAACTCGCTTTGTAGATGACTGATGAGTTTGGGGTGGAGCCGGGGAGACCAAAAAGTGCCGTCGCAGATCTGTCTGAGAAGTTGTGCTTGCATCGGCTTTGCCACTGTCCTGCTTTGCTTCGGCGCCTTCCGACCGCTGAGGTTTGACCCCGGCGGCAGAGTGAGTGCCGAAGCCTGAAGCCTGAAGCATCGAAGCCACAACACAACATCGCCTGACAAATCACAAGCTAAAGCCTGAAGCATCGAAGCCACAACACAACATCGCCTGACAAATCACAAGCTAAAGCCTGAAGCATCGAAGCCACAACACAACATCATTCTCACCTGGAATCGAGCAAGTGATGCGTGGAAAGAAGTGTTGGACGTCGCCTTGATGTGCTGTAGATGCTTAGTTTCCGGTATAAAAGTTTCAACTTTTATGGCCCGGGCCCTTCAGCCAGTAAGAAAGGCAGCAGCATCACCGGGCTCTGTGGCATCTTAAGTTGAACAGACGGTCTGAATGCAGGCGCAGCAATTTTTCCAGTTCCAGAAGTCGCTGGTGCTTCGAGGCCTGCCCAGTCTGGGGGATAGAAAGAGTGGAGACGTGGAGGATCTTGATGGTCGAGAGTTTCTGAATGGTTTTCTTTTTGGAAGGGCGGGCGGCTCATGTCGACTGCGGTTTCAACCCTTCGGGAGCCTGCACCGTGACATGCGAAGTGGTGCCGGCAGGTGAACAGACCAAGGATGAGCGATTTTATCGGCAGGAGGAAGCCAGGCGTCGCTCGGGAGAGGGTAACTGAACTGTTTTCTCTCCGGAGTTTGCCTTCGGTGCAGCATCCACGAGGCAAAGATGACAGGAGTTGAAAGTTTGCTGCTTGCCGTAGACGACGTAGCTATGTGGTGAGGGCCACAAGGTTTCAAGGTTTGGGACAAGAGCCTTGGTTTGCGTGGCTTGGTCTTTGAGCTCTGCTAGGCTGCTAGACTCTGTCCAAGAGCCAACCTCCCAAGCCACAACGTCAGAGTGCTCAAGGTTGGGATTGGGGCGTTGGCTCTTCGAATAATTAGTTGGCAACAATATGATGCTTGTCAGCATGGGAGAAGAAAATATGGTCCGTCAAGCCTTCAACTTACAGGCCTGAGCCCGGACCTGAAAGAGCTTGTCCGATCAACCCAGATGACTCCTTGAACTCGGGGCCTTTGCCCCGAGGAAGGAGGAATCCATTCAGCTCTAAGAGTTCAGATGAACGAAAGGCACCTCCGATCAAAACAACAACAAAGCCAAGTGGCGTGCCCGAGGCACGAGTTCAGCGCAACGTCCCCAGTCCCGTCAGCAATGGCCCTGAGTCCGAAAGGCTTGAACCCTGCATCCCGCCACATCTTGGGCGAGCTTGGATTCCATTATGACTTAATATGAATTAGGGCTTGAAGTTTTCCTACTCGTCTCCTCAAGCACGTCGAAGCTGCCAGAGACTTAGTCGTTCACTCCGAGCTGCCGACCCGGGGCCCTGGACTGCGAGCCCTCCCAGCATTGAGTGCAGACGCCTAGTCACCGCCCCCATGAACCAGCACCTTGGGCAATCCCAAAGTTCGGGATCCCTCGGCCGTCGAAGCCCGGGAGGCTCTTCAAAGCCGCGCACGTCTCTGCGGGCATTGACTTCCAGAAGTACGACAGCATCGATGCTCGGGGCTTTGCCGGGGCTTCTTTGGGTGTCTTCGATGGGAGCCCAGGTTCGGGGTCTGGCTGTCGAAGGTTGAGAGATTCCAGGCAGTCTGGCTTCGGAGAAGCTTCGGTGCCTAGGCTGGGAAATCTTGCTGGTGAAGAGCTTAGGTATCGGAACAGCTCTTGAGGTTTCTGCCTGCATGCTGAGGCTCTACGTAGTGGCGTCATGTGGCCTGGTGATGAGATGCGCGGTAAGTATAATAGGAAACTTTCGCGCGGTTTGCATTGCCCCCCCCCACATGCATCAACGGTTCAACCGGGGCTGGAGACCCTGAAAGCTTGAAGGCCTGACAGGTCTTCATCCGCTGACACCAAAGCCGACAAAAAGCTCTGAAGGTAGCCGACACCTGAATATGCATGCTAAATCTGTGGCCACGAAGATGCTGCAAAGAGACACGGCTATTTCTGCAAGTTAAGAAAAGGATCTCGAGTATTGTTTCGGTGAATGTATGTAGGGCTCCTTCGGATTGTGGTAAGTGTGTATTTGGGGTTTCTAGATGTGGGGTGGATGTCTTATCCCTTCTGATGTGATGCAAGCTTTCTTCTAGTCCCAAGCGCTAACCCCTAAAACCCCTAAACCCCGAAGCCTCCCCCAAAGTAAGCCCTGGATCCTGAAAGCGAATGCGAGGTCGACACGAAGGGCGGCTCCGGAAAGGAGCACGCCATTGAGACCTTCCAGGAGGCACTAATACTAATATCGGGGCCTTAATAGTTGGAATAAGGCTGTGGGGGTATATTGTACTAAGCTAATTCTTTAGGCCCTTTGTATTGTGGGAACTGGGGCTTTCAGGTTTGAGAGGATGTTTATGGGATGCAGGATGCAGGGCGGATAGGCTTTTAGGGATCGTCGGGTCAGGCTTTTCAGAAGCCGCTTTCGGGTAGGGAGTAGGACCTGGGGCTGGATCGGGGAATTTGGAGATTTGTGGATTTGGCTGGGTGGTGCCTGCTCCGTTACTGGGGATTCGACTGCGGATTCCAGGGGGTGTTGTCCGACTCTAGGGGACTCGAGGATTGCAATTCCCAATTCTGAAGCCATTCTCTTTTGTGAGCAGAAATTGTGCTTTAGCGCTTCAGACTAAGCTCTTCGCAACCCTCTGCAATGTATGCATCTTAGCAGCTCGTGGAAGGGAACCGTGCTTAGGGTGCAGGAGGGGCTCCGTAAAGCTTTAAGCCGGAGATGCCTTGTGGTAAGACTTGAGAGGTTCGATGTTAGCTTCCCTAACGCCTTTCCCTCGGTAGCGCAAGGAATGGCGGTTTAGTATTTCCCCAACCAGTTTTTCACTACGCAGCCCCAGGATCCTCGGTTCGGAGTCGAGGGTGTCAGCCCTACATTCCCCAGCCCATCTCCCTAGGTAGGCCCAGGAACTGTGGTTTAGCTTTAAAGGCTTCAACCCTAAATTCCCCAACCCATCTCCCTAGTTAGCCCCAGGAACTGTGGTTTAGCTTTAAAGGCTTCAACCCTAAATTCCCCAACCCATCTCCCTAGTTAGCCCCAGGAATTGTGGTTTGGGTTTAGAGGCTTCAACCCTAGATTCCCCAACCCATCTCCCTAGTTAGCCCCAGGAATTGTGGTTTGGGTTTAGAGGCTTCAACCCTAAATTCCCCAACCCATCTCCCTAATTAGCCCCAGGAATTGTGGTTTGGGTTTAGAGGCTTCAACCCTAAATTCCCCAACCCATCTCCCTAGTTAGCCCCAGGAATTGTGGTTTGGCTTTAAAGGCTTCAACCCTAAATTCCCCAACCCATCTCCCTAGGTAGCCCCAGCAATTGTGGTTTGGGTTTAAAGGCTTCAACCCTAAATTCCCTAACCCATCTCCCTAGGTAGCCCCAGGAATTGTGGTTTGGGTTTAAAGGCTTCAATCCTAAACTCCCCAACCCATCTCCCTAGGTAGCCCCAGCAATTGTGGTTTGGGTTTAGAGGCTTCAACCCTAAATTCCCCAACCCATCGCCCTAGCTAGCCCCAGGAATTGTGGGTTGGGTTCAAAGGCTTCAACCCTAAATTCCCTAACCCATCTCCCTAGCTAGCCCCAGGAATTGTGATTTGGGTTTGAGGCTTCAACCCTAAATTTTAAATTCCCTAACCCATCTCCCTAGGTAGCCCCAGGAATTGTGGTTTGGGTTTAAAGGCTTCAACCTTAAATTCCCTAACCCATCTCCCTAGCTAGCCCCAGGAATTGTGGTTTGGGTTTAGAGGCTTCAACCCTAGATTCCCCAACCCATCTCCCTAGGTAGCCCCAGGAATTGTGGGTTGGGTTCAAAGGCTTCAACCCTAAACTCCCAACCCATCTCCCTAGGTAGCCCCAAGAATTGTGGTTTGGGTTTGGGTCTTCAGCCCCTTTACCTCAAAAAGACGTAAGACTGCAGATTCTGGGATCCTGGTGAGGACTTTAGGCCAGGGCTTAACGTCAAATTCCATCCCGGGTCTAGGCCCTTCGGGTTGAGAAGCCGCGATTCGGATGCTTTGGTGGCTTTGTGTTCGGGCTCTGGAGATCGAAATGTAGACTCTCTGGCTTGTCAGTTCATGTTCAGGAATCCTGGGATGTACGGATGAGGATTGCAGGTTTACGGTGTTAGGGCTTCTGGGACATGTTTTGGGGTCCCGGAACTGGTGTTTGAGCCTCGAGGTCTTCGGGACTAAGGCTTCTTAGGGCTTCGAGGCTTGTAGCTTGGATTCTAGGATCATCAGGGGTTTGAAGTTTGACGTTTGAGGTCTTCGGCAGGGATTATAGAAGAGTCCGGTGGAGAGATAGCTGGGGTTTGAGCTCGTGCTCGTCGGCTGGCATCGCATGTCTCTGCAGCCTCAGCAGTGCATTGGCATCACCACGCAGATGAGTGGCTACTTCTATCAGCGATGAGAGGCTACTCTGATGATACGCCTCAGCACTCTGCACTGAGCCCTCTGAGACCTGAGTGAGAGGGACTCCGTCTTATCGAGTGTGCAGATCTCTGCAGGACGACATGCACTGAGTGTGCAGGAAGACACGCAACGACTCACAATTCCGAGATCTCCGTTGTCTTCACCCGTTGCTCTCTCCCTACTTCTTATGCCCTATGCCCGCACCCACACCACTGGAACCCCAGAAGCGCCCTCGCTACCTAGCCTGTCTGTAGGTAGACCCACGAATGCCAATCCCATCGGCCTTTCCAATCTAAGGATGCTTCAAAGTGCCCAAACCGTAGCTGTGTTTCGGCTTACATCTTCAGGCAGGAGTTCTGAACTTTCTGTTCGGTTCCCTTTGACGGCTAGTGACCTTGTGCTTTGTTTCCTGAAGTTTGCTTGTAGTGAGCTTTCGGTTCTAAAGTTTCAGGTTGTAAGTGGGTAGAACCCGGTGACGGAAAGGCGGATATGAAGGCTTTCATGGGTTGGAGATCATAAGTATAAGCCAGAGCTGCATAAATGCACTCTAGAAAGACTTCAGACTTTTAAGTTACCAGGAACTTTTGAAACTTGATCGTAGTAAGGACTTCGCCAGTGCGCCGGTGTGTAGGACTGTAGAACTATAGTTTGGGGTCCCTGGGTTTTCGTGCAGAAATACTGTTGATCGAGGTTGCGGTGCGGGATGCGATAGGGATTTTGGACTTGGTTACAGAGGAGTGGTTCTTCGAGTCTTTAGGTTACATGAGCTTAGACTTGGTGAGACATTACTTTTATGATAAAGTTAGATTGTCGTATAGAGGGCTTTGGGAAACACTTATGGAGATGATGAGCAGGCTTGTGAGAAGCACAACCTGCCCCCAGCGCTGACCGCGAACATTGAGCGGTGCCATTACAACATCCCAACGCCGGTGCAGAAGCGCTTCGACTGGCCAAGACTTTACCGTTGGGATCTTCGGGTGCATTAGGCCGTGTGGCATGGCCAGTACACAATTTGCACGTAGTTATGGCTATGGCTCAACACACGCTACCTACAGAGTAGTGTATCTGACTCTTCAACTCGCTCGGCAACTGTTGCCGTGCGACTCGTGCCTGCACCTTGAAGTTGTTAACTCAATCGTACATGCACATCCGTTTTCAACGCTCGCTGTGGCATGACTGAGTCGCTACTCACACAATCTGAATCACAAAGTACGCCAGCAAGAAATCAACTGTTGTGCATGTCGTCATTAAAAAGAGCTGGATCGCCTAGGGGAGCCACGGCTTTGAGACATCGGTTAAGGACAGAGTGCACAGGCCGACAATAAATCAGTCATGTTGGTCTCAAGACAACCGTCATGGAAGAGGCAGCCCACGGTCTGCCAGCTCGTCTCATCGCCCCGAAGCCCGAGACCGAAACACAGACCCTCAGCAAACCTGCACCTTCCTGCAAGTCGCAAGCCTCCGTGATCCACCTGGAGCTCTGCAACTAGGTCTACCCACGCAACTGTAACCCATTAGACATGCATAAAGTAATGAGAGTGCGCATGTCTACGTGTTTCCGACTTTGCACTTGCTGATAACAAGGAAATGCATATGTATAGCAGCTTCAGGGTTGATGAAGCATGTTCTCGAAGTAGATCCCGGGACCTTGGCCGATACCATTACCATGGAGCTCCAAGGCTCGAGCCTCTGGGGTTTCCGAAGATATGTTCACTGTCGCCCCAACCCTCCAACTTAGAAGAGCTCTAGAGCCTAAGTCTGAATTAAATGGAACTCCAGCTGACACATACTACATTTGTCAGCCTGCCAAGGCACAGCATCCCGGCCGTGCTGTCGGGCAGTGACGTGCTGGTCACGGCACAAACGGGGAGCCGTTTGGACGAAGTTGTTATGCGGGATGTTGAGGGCCGGGATTCAGTCCACATCACGCGGCTTCAGCGCGTATGAACGTGTGAGTTGTAAAGGCTACGGTTTAGGTTTAGCTAGATTAGTCTTCTCACGCCTCAGGTGTCATTGTATTCCTAGAGAGTGCGGGCCCAGGGCGGGATGTGAAAAGTTTTCACATGATCATTGCCTTTGCCCCCAAGGCTTAGAGTTGCTAAGCAGGGCTAAGCCCCAGGCTCGGTAGAGCAGTAGTCTCGAAACGCACCCCTCCCTCCAACAAGCCCCCGATACATCTATCTGTATATGTATATTTTCAGCTCAGGCGGCAAGACCGCCGCTTTCTTGGTGCCCATCATTACTGCGGCACTGAATGCTGGCAGGAAGCCGATGAAGGCCGGGTTCTGTTTCTCAAGGGCAGTACAGTCACTGCAGAGTTACAGGGATTAAGAGCTTGTTCTTCGCACCAGGATGCGGCAGTGGCATGTTGCTGACATGTTGCAGAAGAGAGCTCTGACGACCATGGTTCCTCAAAGAGGGCTACGTTAGAGTAAGTTCATGCGAAGCAGGGTGAAAAGTACGTGTATGATCTTCCGGCAAGTAAATGATGCAGTGAATTTGAGTTTTTCAGGCTTGCGAGAACGATTGCACCACAGCCCTGAAGTAAGTCAACATCTGAAGAACATGAAACTGATCCATGCACCGAACTCCATGCCGACTCCGTCCCCGAATCAGGAGGGTGCCGTGTGCCCCACCAGCGTGGTGCTGTCCCCTACGCGTGAGCTGTGCCAGCAGCTAGGCCGCAAGCTGGCTGGAGCCTTGCCCTGAAGTTGTGCCCGTTATCCGGTGAACCGAAACCCTAAGCAGTTTTCGGTTTGGATGGAAGCATCCGTGGAATGTCCACCCAGACCTGCGAGCTCAGGTGGAAACCCTGAAGTCCTGATCTGATTGCATTTCCAAGCTCGTCATCTCCTGCATTCTTAAGCTATTTAGAGAATATATATATATATATATGGTACCCCCCCCCTGTCCTGTTCAAGCCATACACCTTGTCCCTAATATTTGTTTGTGTTCCTTGGTCATTGCGTCTCTGGGAAAGCACGTTTTCGTTTACTGTGGCTCCCTGGGCTTCTAAGTGTAGAGTCTACTGTATTGTTGCTCCCGAGCTTTCTCCAAATCGATGGAACGTGCTGGAAATGTTGGAAAAACCAACAATTTCCATGATCTGTCTGGGCGGAATCATGGAATTTGTTGGTTTTACCAACATTTCCAACAATTTCCATGATTCCCGAAACTATGGCGCGGGCTCCCGAGGTTTTTCCAAATTCATGGAAATTGTTGGAAATGTTGGTAAAACCAACAATTTCCATGATTTCTCTGAGGGGAATCATGGAAATTGTTGGTTTTACCAACATTTCCAACAATTTCCATGATTCCCGAAACTATGGCGCGGGCTCCCGAGGTTTTTCCAAATTCATGGAAATTGTTGGAAATGTTGGTAAAACCAACAATTTCCATGATTTCTCTGAGGGGAATCATGGAAATTGTTGGTTTTACCAACATTTCCAACAATTTCCATGATTCCCGAAACTATGGCGCGGGCTCCCGAGGTTTTTCCAAATTCATGGAAATTGTTGGAAATGTTGGTAAAACCAACAATTTCCATGATTTCTCTGAGGGGAATCATGGAAATTGTTGGTTTTACCAACAACTTCCATTATTCCCGAAACTGCGGCTCCGGCTCCCGAAGTTTCTCCAGATCCATGGGAATGGTTGAACATGCTGGTTTCGCCAACATTGTCCACAGTACATATTTCAATAGGTTGTTACCGAAAGTTGTGATTGAGCAGATCTTACGTACTCGTGCGAGGCGTTTTGCAGACAAGCCGGTAAGGTATTTGCATCCTTGATTAAGCTCACTAGTTGGTCCAACACGAAGCTAGGTAATTCATAGTCTCCGCTTGAAGACACTACTGTGGGAACACCAGTTCATGGGTTTTCTGTTTATCACATACAAGGCTGTACTCCATGTCTAAGATTCAAAAACTTATTATAGGAAAGCTATTGCTGCACGACCAAACTTAGCTGGCTTAATCACCCACTTCTTAAGATAAATGTAGAAGGATCTACTTATGTTGCTTGGTGTTTGCATGGGGGTCTTTGGTAGTTGTGGTTGTGTATTCTTTTTTGGCGTGGCACAGGTGCTTACAAAAAACAAAGAGCCCGTAGTCAAAAGACTGCCATGTGCACCAGAATTCTGACATACATCGTTCTCAATTTGTCATCATTTGGTAGGTGCAGACTTTCGAAAACGATTCTGCGACGAATAAAATGGATATTACCTGTATGATGCACGCACTTTTTGATGAACTGCACTCGGATTAAAAGTCACCTGACGTGAAAAACTATAGTCACTATAGTCGAACTAATTAACTACAACATACAACCTAGCGTGTAACACGCAGCCCCGGCGTGTTGGATCATGTTTGGTTTGGAAGACTAACAACCCACTCTCAGCAGGTAAAAAGCAAGCAAATGTGTGACTCGGTTAACCATCATCCTACCAAGAAGTGTTTTGAAGCACAAGTGTACGTATTCACGTGGTGCTCTCTGGTAGGTCTATACTCAACTTAGCAGAATGTATAGAACACAGGACTCAGCAGGTACTTCATTGACTTTATAATGCTTGGCTACTATAAAGCAAGGTTCCCGAACAATATACGAAGCAGTCTGAATGAACAATCAGAGCAGTAATTGACACAGTAGCACTTGATGCAGAAATCAAACAAGCCGGGTGGTACATGGTCCTAAATGGCCTGGTATTGGTCAAGTATGATAACCACTGTAACAGGAATAATGGAGGAATAATGGCAATTTACAAGGTGTGATAACAACACTGTGAGAGGTAATATTAAAAGCACACTTGACATTTTGAGCTCGATATAGAAGAACAGAACATGTAGCAGTTTCATGACTGGGAAAAGAAACGGAGATCGGATTCCTAAGGCAATGGAGACTATACTTGCAGTAACAATTGCGAAGCCTACACACACCGTCGTGAAGCACGATTTCATACTTTTGTCGCTATTGACTGCTAAATTGACAGACACGCATGAATCATTGTACAGTGCTGTGGAGACTAAAGGCTTTGACAAGTATACTGACACTATATGACACTGCTTTAGGCTTATTCCATATATGGCTGTATGAACCAATGAACACAGCAATTCATGTGAGAGACTGCAACACCCACCACAGCAATGACATTGTTGCGTGTGTAAAAAACCATAACGACAGCCAATTAAACATAGCCACTATCCACCTTGATCCGAAATCTGCGTGCATGGCCTTGGGGATGCTACAGTATCACCTCTATGCCGTGCAAAACTCTTTCCATTGCTGGGTTTCAGTAGGCCTGCTTCGCCATACCCTGCAGTTTGTCACACTCGCTCACTACTAGTACTATATGTCGGCTTATCGCGAGCATGCGTGTGCACTTGCAGCCTTTTCTGTCCGACTTCCGTCGTGCTATCAGCACAAAGACGAAAACCTGGGTACCTGAGGGGCGGGGGTAGCATATATATATATATATATATATACACAGGTATACATATGTACTCATATACAGTTATATATATATACATATCTGTATACAGATAGATATGAAAGCCTATATGTGTTCTGTCTATGACAGGCATGCTATGAATAGGTTTGCGCATGCAGTGTATATGTGAGTATATATAGCTACACACGCATATATATATATATATATGAACAGGTTTGTTTATTGTTGTAATCATTTTTATACAGATACACAAGTATTCGCCACCTGCCCGAGGCAGATCACAGTGGAAGCCGAGAGGCCGGCACATGAGGGATTCGGGTCCTCAGCGCTTTCCCTCTGTACTTGTGCTAGGAGGCCCCTCAAGCCCCCTACCCTAGTTGTTTGAGTGAATTGAGGGGTACCCTGTGCTGGTTCAGGGCTCTTCAGGGTGGCCAAAAGTTCTTGGATTCAAACGTCTCCAGGACGATGTCACGGCAGTAGCATGCACGAACAAATGGCATCCTGCCCGTCCTCCCTCAGAGCGCCACGACTGTGAGCACGATAGTCGCGACTCAACAGAAGTACAATGAGTTTGGGGGAAGACCAGCAAGAAGATTGAAGAGACTAGTTGCTGGTGACAGTGTGATGTTACAGATGATGATGTGGATGATGGTGATGTTCATGATGATTGTCATGATGATGATGATGTTGTTGTTGTCGTTTCTGATGATGTCGATGATTAAGTTGATGATGTGGATGATGATGATGATGACGGTTAGGATAGTCATGATGATTTCTAAAGCCAAGGCGGCCGTGACCTCGATGGCGCGGGTGGATGACGCTGACACTGCCGAGTTTGAAGATGGTGCGGATGGCGAAGACGGTAATTATAATCGTTGTCATCATTTTTGCAGTGGCCATGAATCTGATGATCATGGTGATGTTAACCTGCTGCAGTGCTGATGCTACAGCGCAGTGATGGTGCCGCTGCGTGGTGATGTTGATCCTGACCCTGAACTTTGCCGACCTTGGCAGCTTTCGCATGCAGGGCAGTTCAGTGCTTCTGACAGAGGCTTTCATGCTTTGGGCCACAAGTGTTGCACACGCGGACGAGGAATTGAACAAAGTTGAGGGGTTGGTTTGTCGGCGAGCTCAGTTTTCGGATTCGAAGTTTTGGGATCTCGCAAAGGATCTTGCAGTCGCGGTGCTCCGGTGTGGTTCCGAGTGGGCACGTAGGGGTCGTAGATTTCGGGTTTGTCTGCCGACGATGCCAACGCTATGAGATATCATTGATGACAGGGATGATGATGCAGATAGGACTGATGCTGGTGCTGATGCCTCTGCCGATGCTGGTGGATGGAGTTGAGTTGGCGGTGCTGGTGCTGTCGCAGCGGGTGCTGGTGGTAGAGCTGGTGGTGGTGGTGGTGGTGGTGGTGGTGGTGGTTTTTATTGTATTCGCGATGATGTTCATGATATGGACCATCCTGGTGGTTGCTAGGTTGGTGCCAAACTGCTACATGCCTTCGACTGCCGTAGCGGGCACTTCCGGTAAGCCACAAAGCCTCTGCGGAGGCTTACTTTCCGGTCTGGTGCTCGCGTCTGCGCAATCTATGGAGGCTGTCGGTTGTTGTTTGTATTTGCAGGTTGGGGCTTGGGATCAGCGACCGTGAGGGCTGTTTAATCATTTAATCAGTGGTCTGGCGATGCATTCACGGCTCGCGCGACTTGGCTTTTCTATGCTCGGCTTCGGCTGCAAGCTTGTGGATTCAGCACGCGACTCCCGCTGACACCCAGCACTACAAGTAGTGTCCTTATTCGAAAGCACTGGGCGATGGCCACGACAGCTTCTCATTGCTTCAGCCACCACTTCGACCACTGCTAATACCATCATCCTGCTTTTACTTTTTGCAGCCATCCGCGGCTTTTGTCAGTTCTCTGAGACAGAAGACATCGTATAAATGATCCAGAAGTTGATCTTCTCGGTTTGCGGCCTGGGTTTCATTCGGGCTTGTACTAGTAGTGTGTCTTTTTCCAAAACTTGTCGAAGGCCGGTTTCAAATGGAATGTTGGGAGGATCTCAGGATGGTTTCCATAATGCATCTACCGTACCCTATGTCGCCTGAGACCCTCCAGGATCCCAAACCCGCACGAGAGACCTGGACTGCGAGATCTGACTGCAGCCGTCTGCCCGAAGCTCCCGTCTTTTCGACTTCGTAGGTGCTGATGCCATCCCACAGTTGCGGACCATCGCGGGAGGCCAGGAGCTTGGTCTGGAGCAGTTTGCCCTGAATCCGAGTAGTCTCAACCCCATCCGAAGCATGATTCCGCGGGTCGCGCGGCCGATGTTTGTTCAGCATCAAGATTCCATAGAAGAGAGTGGAATATCAACATCCTCCGAAGAATTTTGCGAGCTGATGCATCGCTATCCCTCAATTACATGATTCGAAAGGTTTGTGCAGTGTTTAACAAGCACAAAACTTGGGTGTTGACTCCCGCAAACTTGTTGAGGCATCGAGATCGTCGTGTGCAGCATGGCCGCAAGAAGGGGTTCCGAAGCAAAAAGGGGGCTGTGTATAGGCATTGGCTTGACGAGGCCGCCCGTGGCCGTGGAACTGTAGTTCGTTGCTAGTTCGGCATGCAGCTATCAGGTTCGTCTGGGCCTTTTTTTGATGTAGAGCAGAATCCGTCGGTTTGCGGACCTTGGCGAAAGACTTTAAGACGTCTTCCCGTGACTTTTTAGTTGGGCCTCTGCTCCCAACTCTCCAAAACCCAGGAGGCCAGGAGAGAGATGCGGTTCACACTTCTTCTAGCAACGGCACCCCAACAGCAGAACTGTGCTGCAGCTTTGTGATCACGGGTTTTGTCGCCGCCTACGCTGGACCAGCGTGTGCAATTGACACGATTAAATGAAATCGCAGCTTGATCCCATAAAGTCAAGTTTGAAGAACTGCATACATAGCAATAGTATTCCCCTCGTAGTCACTGTAAAACTATACTTCAACAAACCCTAAATCCCCGTTCTGACGATCACAACCCTTATGGGACCTGGGAGAGAACCGTTCGAAGGCACTCCTGGCCGCCTGGAGGACACCAGTCTCGAACCGGAAAAAACGGAAGCAGCTTGTAGTTTTAAGGGTTCACTATAGTCTCCTTAAGATTTTTTTATTTTTGTTCATATAAAACTGAAAAGAATGTTACAAATACGTTTTTTTTATTATGGTTCTAACGGGGGTATAGTTCAGTTCGGAGTTTAGAGTTTAGGGGCTTCTGCAAGCGCTCCGTTGAAATTTTCCTGCAAGGCTTCTTAGCACCATGTCCCGTAAGGGTTCTGTGAGCCCTTGAAAGCGAGGGCGCAAGAATCGCTTCAAAGAGGCTCAGCACCCTAGCCCCAAATCGGATGCTGGGTTTCGGATTAAGGAAGACAAGGAAGACCTTTCACTGTTCGAGCTCATGTTTTGGCTGTTTCTTGGGGGTGCAGAGCTCAGTGTTCACTACAGCACGCCCAACCCCCACTTTCCAATTGAAAACACCCCTATGGACTTGACAATTCAACACCAACTCTCAAACAGGACTTTCTCCAACGTGGCGTGATCTCGATGGAGGACGGGGCTGTTGCTTTTCAACTAGGGATTCCCGTTAGAAGAGGCAAAAATCGCTGGACACTGGTGGCTCTCGTCGGTCCGACCTTAAGCTTTGGGGGCGTCGGGTCTCAGCATTAGGGTGTCCAATGCTTCATGGCATCGGCGAACAGCAGCAGGGCGAGCATGATGCGTGACTTCTTCTTGCAATGCCTGAGCATGTGCTGAGTCCCCTTACTTGCGATCCTCTCTTCTTTGGGTTGAGGCCTGTATTGCAGATGACAGCACCTGTGCCCACTGCATTCCAAGATTGCATTGCCACCACAGCCTCACACTGTCGAGCCGATGCTACTTCCATGAGGAAGTCAAGTTCCTGGCCTTGGATGAAGCCGACCGCATGCTTGACATGGGCCACTGGGCTGCCGTGCAAACGATTTGGCCGGATGGTCTTGGATTCAGGTCGAGAGGTCACTCAGCTTGCTGTACCCGTGCACGGCTCGTCAAATTTGGGATTGTTTCGTCCAAACTGCTTCAGAAGAGTTCGGCTCTAGACAAATACATGCTCACTTTGGCTGCATGCCATATGAGGCTTCGAGCCCCAGATCCGTGAGATCATCGAGAACCACGGCATGCCCAAAGCCGGCCAGGGCCGTCAGACAATGCTCCCTGGCACAGATTCTGATAGGCTTGAGGGCAGAAATGCGAAATATTTCTGTGTTGTTGTCGCTCGTGTTCCGAGCATTGCCTGTTTCGTGCGCTACAGTGCCACTGCCACTATTGCTGCCACTAACACCGGCCGTCGCCGCTACTACGACCCGCAAAGGAAAGTTGTGGGAAGCGAGCGGCTCGCTGCTATGAGTAGGAGCGGCGGGTGGAGGATGAACAGTACTGTAGCTGCTGTTGATGCTGTTCTCGTCATGTTGTCAACGGACGACGGTGATTAATGGCTATTAAGGCAACCAAAGGAAAGAGCAGCGATCAGCGACTGCCCAGGATGTTTTCTGCTACCTTCCCCAGGGAGATCCAGGAGCAACTTCGCAGCTTGCATGTTCCGGGGCTCGGAGTTGCTGCTTCGGGGCTTAGAGTCGGGGCTGAGTCAGTGAGGGGTTTTTGAGCTTGTTAGGAAGGGCGGCGGGTAGCTGAGCACAAGTTTGTGCTGCGCAGTAGGGTTTTATTGCCATCCTGTACTAAGATGAAGTTGCAGAGCACCAGTCCCTGCATTGTTTGAAAAGGTCTTCGAGTCTACGCTCAAGTGCTGGAGCCTCAAAAAACACCCATGAACCCGGGGCTCGCAAGCGGCCGTCTCGAACGCCTGGAATTCTGAAACCACTGTAGTCATTGTTTCGGGTTGAAGGTGTGTGGGTTTCAGGCTTTGGCTAAAGCCCTTAGTTAAAAGCCGTATGCCTGCGCTAAATCCGTCGCCGCCGGAGCCGCAGGATCTAGCACTGGACTTCCTGGATCGGAGCTACTATTCCATCTCCGTAGGCTTGGGCTCTGGCGTTTTGTTGGGGAGTTCGGTCAGCGGCTTGTGCTCAAGTTCAGCATCTTAGAGTTGAAGGATGAAAGAGACAACTGGTAATTTGTTAAGTCAGAAGTCTGCAACTGGGATTCCTGAATCTCTGACGCTGTGAAAGATACTCCTACATCCTGAAACCTGGGCACGGATTGGGGCTTAGCAATGGGAGCTCGGGCACCAATCATCTGAGCTGCGAGGCCGAGTTGGAGCCACTGCTTCCAATGTCCAGCAGCGCTTTGAGAACATCGGCTGGGGCCGCTCTGCCCGAGGTTAGGATTAGGCGTTGTTTGACCGCTCGGGTCCAGGTCAGAATCGCGGGTTCCCTTCGCTCCTGAGATGGGACCGATGGTGCATGTGCCGATACACAACTAGCTGGAAGTCATTCCGACGGCGACACTCTTTGCACGGATGTGATGTTTTGGTGAGTGAGGCTGTTACTGGCAAAAGGAATGCGGCCCATAGATTGCACCCATATCGTGCGAGGACATTCCTAGCTGTTGGCTGTGTTGAAAGCTTCTAGGACCTAGAGTAGGCCCTTATTCCCTTTTTCATAGGGTTCAGGTTCCCTTAAAGGTCCCTTTAAACCAAAAAGGGCACCCTTTGTCTTCCTAGGTTACTTTTGGGTCTAGACTTACAACCCCCAAATAATCAACTTGATTCGGCTTTCTGGTGGAGGCCGTAAGCCAGCAGGCCTCAGGGTTTTCAGAATCGGCTCCAGGTGACAAGTTCGAGCAGCTGCTGGAGTCTTTGAAGGAGGCCCTCTTTGTGCTCAGGACGCTTTTGTTGAATGAGTTTCTCAGTTGACAAGCTGGGACTTGTTCGACTTCGGTTTCAAGGGGTCATATGTCTCTCCTCCATGACTTCGGCCTCGGCACTGGCGTCGCATTGGGGCACCGGGGCGATGTCGCTGGGCTTCAGAGCCGCCGAGCGGCTCTCTCAGCCAGGTGAAATCAGCGGATGGAGGCCCTGCCAAGACGATAGTCTTCGCCAACTCGAAGAGAGAGGCCGATGCTGGTTTAGGGATTGAGGAGAGGGATTTCAAGGCATAGGATCACCTTGAGAGCCTTTGCGTTTGGGGATTATGGCTTGGATGGATTGAGCAACAGGGCCATCGAGAGTGGCTGCAGGTTTCGTTTGGGGTTCGAGTTGAAGAGTGAAAATTCTGTGACGAAGTCAATCTTGTAAACTAAATGGGGTCTGAAGCTTTAGCTCTAGAGCTCTTTCGTTGGGTTCCGCTTCCTTGTGGGAACGTGGCATCTGCTGCGATGTTGCTCATGGTGTTGGTGACAAAAGGCGCCTTGTCCCTGAATTCCAAATTGCTGAACCCTACGCCCTAAAGCCCTAAGCCCCAGGCCCCTGAACCTTTCAGAAGCTGCTCCTAACCCAGACCTTCCAAGCTTCGATGCCACCTCCAAGATGCAGGTGGACGACATCTCCTACCGCCTTCAGGACGAGCGCATCCGCTGCACAAGTATGCACGGAGGTCTGGGCCGGCACAGTTGAAGCAGAAGGTCGTTTCAGATCTTCGGAGAACTGCAGATGCCATCCCGAAGAGAGAACTCACAGCAGTGCCATTGAGATGTGTGTTGTCTGGCACGGGCAGCATCTGTACTGTATACCTGTCCTACGGATATGAAGAATCAGCTGCATACTTGGTTCCAGGGAACATGTACATTGCATGTACTCGCATTTTAGAAGTCCGGAATCTTTGCGCGAGTCGTTTGCATCCCCTCTCTGTGCGGTGTAGCACCCGTTGTGAGCACCGAAATCTGAAGACAGTTGCTACTGTGGTTGCTTGTTTACAATTCAGGATACGCAACATGATTATTCTGGCATGGCCAGGTGTCAGCCAGTCCTTGCGCGATCGTTCGCTCAACGCACTGCGGACGGGCCGTGCACATGTAGCTTAGCTCACCGTTTTCAGGCATGTATTTCGGGAGGCGGGGGATGTTTTTCTATCAAAACTTTATAGGTAGCTCGTCTAGCCTGAGAAGAGGCTTATAATGGCTGTCTACATGGGGCCGTGGGGGTTGTCCTGAGGTCAGGGTTTCAGAGCTTGATGCAAAGAAAGGTTAACTAAGGCCCTAAGGATGCTCGATACAAGTCTTGATAGGGTACTTTCGATGAGGGAGGGCGCAACGTTGGCGTTTACTGGGCACTCAGGTCTGGGTGAGTGGAAGTAGGGCTCAGTTGACAACCTAACTTAGCCGACGCTGAGGACATCATCCGCTAAAGACGCCGGCGAGTCTGCCAGCTGAATCAGCTGCCATGACCCTCTGAGGTCTTGGTTGCAACAGACGTCGCAGCCCGCGGTTTGGACCTGCCGGGCATCGACCACGTGATCAACTACGACCTGCCGCCGAAGCTAGCTGGGATTTTGATGGTGCCAACTCCCAAACCTGTCGCAAAGAAAATGCATGCTGAGAGCCCGATCGTATGAATGCAACGCCTGAAGCGGATGACGTCAGTTCAGGGTTGCCATCGTGCTCTCTGCAACATAGACAAGGATCATATGGGCGTGGGGTGCCTCCCTGGTGAAGTGCGAATACTTGATTTCAAGCTGTGTGGATGTATGAGTCTCCATCGATGGCCTCCTCAAGCCAGTCTTGATGACAACAAGCTCCAGACCAAGGAATGGTGAAGACTATGTCCACCGGGTCGGGCGAACGGGTTCTTCCCTCAGCGCCGGTCTTTTTCATGTCTATTCGGGCGTCAAGTCACGTCGACGTAGAGCTTCACCAGAATCTTCGCTACTGGCTGCCGGTGACGATGCGCTTCAGCACAGTCATTCTCGAATCTGCAAAGTCTCGGAACTCACACATAACATTGCCGCGTTTGCCCCCTATCGAAAAAAAGTCTGCACCTCAATGCACCTCAAAGGAACGGAACCTCCTCCAAAGAATCCAGGCCGCATCGGCAACAAGGGCGTTGCCACCTCCTTCGTTGGTTCCAAGGAGCCGGCGCTGAAGGCCGGCCGGGGCCTGGGATCCGAACACGAAGCATGAATCTAATATAGGGCCTAGACGGGCCTCAATAGTTACAGTAGTTGCCAACACTGTTTTGGGGTTCCTTGATATTAGAATATAGCATAATTTTAAATGCTTCGCGTCGCCAGCCTCGGCCTGGCTGCACACGTATGTGCCGAATTGGCTGGAGGTGTTTGTCTAAGGTGGGTCTAAGCCAAGCATCCGGAGCATGCATCGCTGCCCCGTAGCCGAGATCATGCAGGCTTTAGGGGATTGCTTTTGCGCAAGACTGTCGGCGCCGAGACCCAAAGCCCTAACCCTAGAACCTTTCAGCGGTGGAGGGGGCCAGGGGGAGCGGGCCAGGGATGCCAGGGGGGGAGCGGGCGGATTGGGTGGGTGAAATCCAATGGGACCTGGGGGCCTCACAGGCGGGTGCCTTTTCGGGATAAAGAGGGAATCCGTTTCGGAACCTCTGACCGCTTCGGCCGTGGCCGAGGCGAATAGACCCTAAACGCCTATATTCTTAAAGGCCCTTATATATTGAACACAAGCAGTATCAAGCAGTCGTCGTCATCATCTCCAACCTTCACTTTCAGCATCAGCAGATATCAGGTATGGGGCCCAGTGCGCGAGTATTTCACAATGCTTTAATTATTCAACCCGTGGGAATGCGGAGTTCCCGTCACATCAGCCTAGCAGTCGGAACAAGCCTTCGGACCACTGACCACCTTGCTGTTTAGGACTTGCGGTTACAGGGTTTCGGGCTTCACACGGGGCGTTGGCGTTTCGGGCTTGAGGGTGTTGGGGCTTCAAGGCTTTAGGATGTTGGGGTTTTTCTGGCTTAGGGGGATTGGGGATCAACGCCAGTGCCAGACACTCCAGGCGCAGCTCCTTACAGCATGCCCCCCTCCCCATTCCAGATCAGCTTGTGGGATGCTTTTGCCTGTGACACAAAAGTATGGCTTTTGTTTAGAAAGCTCCGGGGTGCGGGACTCAGGGTCAGGGGTTGCTGGGGGCTGCGAGTTGGCAGGAACTTGAGGCTTGGATGTTCAAGGTTTTGCGCTGCCGGATGTTGTGTCTCAGCACGCAGGACATCGTCAAATCTCTGAAAGATGCCAAGAAGGCCATGCTGCTGTGCTGATGGTGAACTTCGGTGGGACGTTCGATTTTGTAAAGGAGGTTCCGAAATTACGACCCAAACGGGTTCTTCATGGGGATTGATACCTCGTCTGATTTCAGCGTTTCCAGAGCCCTTGTGCTTTTGAAGTTTAGCTAAGAAGCACCCTGAGCTCCGAAGCCGCCACACTGGCAAGTCCGGAGTTTGAGGTGTGAAGGTTAAGAGGCGTCGGCTCGCAGCACTTAAGTTAGACTTAGTTGCTGGTACGGACGAAGAATCCCCAGTCTTATCCTTGAGAGGGTTGTAGAAACTACAAAATGCCCCAGGCACGCGTTCCAGTGATTTCTCGCTCATGCCTGCTGGCTCGACACGTCGCACAATGGAATTGATCTATAGCCCCAGACAAACTGTCGAACTGTGTGAAAAGACCAGGGATCCACACCCCAACATCTGAACCGTTCTTGCGAGCTCTCCTCAAGAAAGCGATGCAGCAAGTGCTCGGAAAGAGTTTGTACAGCATGGACTTGGTACATGCTTCCACTGCACACCCATGCCCAAGGAGGACGACACGGCGTCGGATGTCCCCAGGTGGCTCGAGGAGACAGCGACACACCCATTGGCTTATTCTGCCTACTCTTGACGTAGTGAAAGCCTGGAGGGTTTCAGGAATGTGGGTTTGGGATTTACGATTTTGTCGGCGTCGGAATATGTTCACGTGAAAGAGCTGCTCGGGCCTGAAGGCCTAGGGTGCTGAGATGGTCGGTGACGCAGCCAAGCAGTTATGTTTTGACGGAGGTTGAGGGTGGCATCGCAGTCGGATCCCCTCCCAGATTCGATCGGAGTTTCATCCAACATCGGTCCTGCTACTTATATATTATATGTCCGTAACCAGCCCACAAAGCTTAACTTCAAGTGGCAGCGTGGTCCCCCGACCGTGACGATACAGGAGATGGCCTTCTCATCCCGGGGCGGTTCTCGCTCCTCCTCGCGGGGAGGCTGCAGAGGGAGTTGCCGTGGGTTGTGCGGCAGTCGTTGTCAGTGTGTCAGGAAGTCAAACGGTGCTCATACGAGCTCGTTCTCATTCAGTCTTACGGTGTGTCGGTGTGGCTATTCAGGGCGGTATAGGTCCTAGCTAGTCACATGACTCCAATGGTCTACCTGCAGCTTTGTGATTTCAGCTTCAAGCATTCAGGATGCATGACTCTCATGTTTTGCCCGTTATGACTGTAGAGTTGGCACCGCGAGGGTTCACTACGCAAGCCGGAGAGGCGCGATCACGTGGTTTCTACCCTGCTCTCTCGTATTCATAAACCCACTCCCGCCCCACCCACTCGCACATACACACACACACACACAATCTCTCAAACACCAATCGCAATATCACACACACACAGACTCACCTATCCGGTCGCATGTCTCAGTCGTTCTGGCATCAATCTAGTGCGAAGCACAGCGAAAGGAGTGACTGCATGAACGAATGTATACAAAGCGAAGAAACATCGGTCAGCAATTCCTGATATTGGTGGATGTGATGGAGGAGTTCGGTGCAAGGAAATCATGCTTGCACACATCCGTCCTGCTCTATCAGTGCATAAAAGATGTATAGGGATATACACACACACACACATAGCGAGACCGGTTTTCTCAATGCTCAGGTCTTACACCTCGCGTACGGCTAGCCTATGGTGGGTAGCGCAACCATGTAGACTGTGGCGACGAAGCCACTATTAGCGAAAATTTGCTTTGAAAGGCTATGGTGGCTACCGAAGCAACGGCGGCTACCGAAACGGTGGTGGCGGCGGTGGCTACGGCGGATACAGAGACGGCGGCTACCGCAATGGTCAAGGAGGCAGGATTCGGACACAAGCTTTCAAACCTTCATCAGTACACGGTTCAAGACTTTTACTTGGTGCTTAAGGAAAGTCGTGCAACCTGTAATCATCTGTATAATCTGAACGTTCGACTCGACAACAGAAGGCTACGTCTCCTTCCCTCCACTAGAGATGCCCATCGTGTCACTGTGGTGCTCCTTCTTCGTGGCCTGACAGGATTCCGAAGCCGCAGCGCCAGCCCTGGCTCCCGCTCCGGTGGACGAGGAAGCTCCTCTTTTGCTCAGTGTTTTTTCTGTGTTTCGACATGGTCTCGGGCTCACAGCCGGAATGAAAGGGGGAGAGTGCGAGCTGCATACTGAATCCGCTTCCTCTTCTGCCCGTGTTGAGAACAAAGCCTGGCCGGAGCTGCATGAGTTCAGGGACAGCATGACGAGACCATGCGCACCGCACGAGACGAGTCTTGCATTGGCCCCGCTTGTGTGATTGCTTTTGTGAGGGCATGTTCATAAAGGCGCTAACTAAGCCGATCCCGACGCTCTTCTATACCGAAAGGAGGCTATGGTGGCTACGACGACCGCAGCGGTGGCTACGGTGGCGGCTATGGTGACCGCAGCAGCAGTGGCTTTCTCAGCCCTGTACGTGCCATAAAGGGTCGAGCAGCATGGGTTAAAACATCCGAACCACCAAGCGCATAGTGCCCGAGAGGCAGTGACCAAAACAACCTCAACCTGGTGACAGCTCTGAATTGTTTCTACCGGTGTACGAAGTTCATCGACATTGCTTCGGGCTTTGGCAGCTTCAGCGGTTGAATACATTACCTTGGTCATAAAATGCTGCAGGCGGATTCAGTTGTGCTCACTGCTATTCTCACTCCTACCTCTGAACGTAGAAGAATCATGATCTCAATATCTTCATTCACCAGACTGGATTCAGAGTGCACGGCCTCTCCGAGCCCCTGAGATCCAGATGTTCAGATGCTTCAACGACGTGGACACAAAGCAAGCCGTAACCTGAAATCTCGGAGTGCCTTCCGAAGGCTCCTATAGTGGACAGAGTCTCAAAAAGGGACGTCTTCAGACTTGGACTTGAAAGCTTTGGGCTCAGCGAAGCACTCGTGGGTTGGAGGGCTTTGCATGAGGCCATGGTTGCTCTACACTGCATGTATCTACATACGTTGAAGGATGCCTCGCAGCGGTGCAGCTACTACGTGTTCAGCCAAGTACGGAGTGGTAAAGGCATAGATGTGAACAGACGTCGTGGACCTGTGGGGTGTATAGAACTGACTCAAACCACCAAGAAGCCCATCACAACGCGCAATGCTCTGACATGCGTCACTCTCTGAGTCTGCAGCCCTTCCATCAGAACGCCAGATCGATCGTCCGTCGATTGATAAGGCCGGTCGCGAAGTCTAAGAGACTACGACTTGGATGACGAGCCTCGGCACCAAATGGATCCAGGGATCATCATCTCTGCGTTCAGATGAACATGGCACTCAACGTGGCAGGGTTTTCGGAGTAGCAGCATGCCCGCAAATCAGCAGCCTGTCCAATGGTCCAGATTTTCGTTCAGTTAACGCCTCTTGTCGGCCTTTAGCATCGGATGTATATATGGATATGGCATTTCTTGTATGTGGTTTGTTTGTTGTGACAAGGGGACGGGTCTTACAGCTGTGTGCTCCAAAATCGTCGACCGTCGGCGCCGGGCACGACTTAGCATGCGGCTGGATTGGCTACGACATGCTACGACGAGTGCCTAGAGACAAGGTAAGGCCGCGAAGATGTGCATGTGTACATTGTAGACACTAATACCAAAGGCCCAAAAAGAAGTAAGCCGCCTCCCCCTCGCCTCAGCGAGAACAGAGGATGACTTCAGCGACTACAGCCCCTACGGCGGCCGGGGTCGGGGTGCTGGCCGGTCCTACTGAGCAGTTGGAGATTGGGGGCCTCTTAAGGGGCTGACCAAATACCGCTGAAGCTACACAGCTACAGTTGACCATAAAGGGGTTTCGAGCCTCAGTTTCGGGTGTTTCTCAGAGCCGGCCGGCAGGTCCCCTTGTGCGAAAACCGCACTCATAACTTGCAGCCGGAACCTTCGTGTGCTGCGCCTTGCGCACCTGATTTACCAGTAGACTAATGACTGATGTTCATTGCGCAAATTCGCCCCCAAGTTAAACTGCATTGGCTTGTTCGCAAGCTTTTGCTGGTGGTGTGCTGGTGCCGCCCCTGCCACAGCAACTTAGAAAGACCCATCGGAACAGATTGACATGTGTAACAGTGTAACCATCACAACTATTGCGCCTGACAATACTTGCTTGTAAAAGGTAGCAGGACCTTTCACTGGATCAGGCGCCCCACGTCACATCCGTTGAACCATGAATCACTGAATGCGTTGACTTACGTGCATGTCGGTTCCGAGCCGGCAGCGATTTTCGTGTTCATACATGTCAATGTTCTATGACTCTCACAAATCCTCTGGTGGATGTGGCTTTGCCCGAAGCCATCGCTCGCAAGGTACCATTGCATCAGCCAAACCCTGCAACCCTAAAGCCCCCCACCCGAAATCGTTCATCCCCAAGCCCTTAGCCTTAGCCGGACCCACAGAGAGGATTTGGATTTCAATGGCGAGAGAAGGGGCTAATAAGTCGACAGCAGACGAGCCCAAGGGCAGGGTGCATGTAGTGTTACGTCCAAGTCTCCTCTTTCTCTCAGTTTGACAACTGGAGTGAGACCAGCCTAGCTTGTGAAGCATCCCCTAAACCCTTCAAGCAGTTGGGGTCTTCACTCATTCAGATTGCTCATGGCAGCTTGTACTCCTGGTCGCTGTTTGAAAGCTTCCCGGGCACTTCAAAGGAGCTTTAGGGCTGCTTCGAACCATTGCCGTTGTTCGTTTGGAAGCCTCCGGGAATTTGACAAGAGTGACAAGAGCCTGACAAAAGACAATTCGGGTGCTTCTGAAACCTTGAAGGAGCCTTCGGGCTGCCTTGTGGTTGTTCTACAACCTTTAAGAAAGGTTTCGGGCTGCTTGGAGCCTTTGTGGCTGTTCGTTGGACAGCTTCCGCGCGCCTAAGAAGTTAAAACCCTGAACGAGCTTTCGGGCTGCCTTCTGGTTTCTTTTGGGCAGCCTCCAGGCATCCGAAAGTTCTGAATCCTTCGAAACTGCTTGGAGCCCTTGTGGCTATTCGTCGCATAGCGTGCGGTTGCCTGAAAAGATCAAGCCTGACCAAGCATTTCATGCCCTTGATTAGCCTAAGAACAGCCTTGTGGCTGCATGTTCCATCATCTAAGCGTCTGATAATGGCCCTCGGGTCTCGCTTTCGGGAGCACTCGGACCAAACTTAGGGCGTTGCTGGTGTTGTTAGCCTTCAACGCGGTTGCTTGGACTTTAGAGTTCGCTGTCGCCTAGCTCCGCTTCCTACTCCGACAGCACTACGGTGCAAAGTCTTCCGGCCGGGACGGGACGGAGATCGAATGCGCAGGGTGTGTGTGTGTGGGGTTCATACTTTGCAGGTCGATTTTCGTGGCAACGTGTTGAGATCTTGCGCCATTATTGGCCATCGCGAACGACTGCTTCAACTCTCAATATCCCAATAAAGCCCCAAATCCACAAAAAACACACAGCCCAAGACCTTGCCTAAAACCGCCACTTTAAGTGTGAGACCTGCAGCCAGCCTTTGTCCTGTCCCGAGCAGCCCCTCGCCACGTGCAGTGCTGCCGTGGCCAGCAATCAACTCCTGCCTCCAAGCGGCCCTCCTCACCAATGGGATGCTGTTCGTGGCTAGATCGCAGATCAGTGTTTCTTCCTGATAGCTGATGTTTGTAGCTTAACGGCGTAGCCTGCCAACAGCGGTGCTAGAAGAGACAGTGCTGATTGGAGGGCTTTGGCGGCCACATTGACATGGCTCCCCGAGGGAAACTTTCACCCCTTTACAGGTCGCCTGCGGGGAGGTCCCGAACCCGCAAAGGGCTTTTTGAACAGTGGAGATCGCGGCATGTAGTTATGCATCGTGTTTGGTGCAAATCATCTCTCAAACTACTAGACACTGACCTGCTTTGAATCAGCCCCGAAGCCTCAACGGGATTTTGGGCCCTTTGAGACCCGTGGGATTGCCTCCGCGCGCGGGCGACCTACCCGGGACCACCACAAACAAGCGCCACCGGACGCGTCGAAGACTCGGAAGAAAAAAGAAGGCGAAGAAAAGCCGTAGCTTTAGAGTCTTACGTTTGGACTTTTCAGGTCTATAGTCTATATAGGTTTTCACTTCGCTAGCATGTCTCAGTATTCCTCTAGCAGCCGGTGGAGATTTGCCCCAGCTGAGCCCGTATGATTCTTGGCACGGTTCACAATTGGGGCAGTTTCCCCACCAATGGCAGCATTGCTGATATGCAAGCCTGGTGGCACATCCTCGTCTCTTGAGGCTACATTCAATTCGAACATGTAAACGTCCAAAGTTCAAAGCCGCAGAAGTCCTCACTGCTTCGGGCCTGGGCTCACAGTCGCTTTCAGCTGCGCAGGTGCACCTCGGAACAACCCTTCTTAAGAAGGCTGTCCAAGAAGAAGAAGGAAAGTCCAGACGCTCACAAGGTCTGGAACCAGCAAACGGAGAGTCTGCCCAGAGACCCTTGCCTCGGGATTTCATCGGACACACCTCAGCTCCAGAGCAGTCTTCAAGCTGTCCCGGGCGTGTTGCCTGCCTCCAAAAGAGCCCTCTAAGCAGACTTGCCCTCGATCAGCCTTGCATGCCCTGGCTTCGGCGCACACGGTCATGGCGACGAATGGAGGCCAGCCCGGATTGAAGCGTAGGATATGGTACCCGTGAGCACGATTGTCGTGAAGGGCTTTGGGGCTCACGTGTGGGGTTGCAGCAAATCCTGTGACCTGCGTGGGTGTAGAACCACGGTTAGAACTGATATGTTTCTCTGTCGACACATGTGTCAAGGATTCTGAAAGCGCCTGAGGTTTACAGATGCCACGTTGCATTCCGTAAGCAGTGTAAACTGGCCGTCATGTCAACCCGCGGTTTGTCGGTTAATCCAAGCATCCACATCCGGAGCTGTACACCATGAAACTTGGGCCTCTTACCTGGCAGTCAGGCCTAGGACGTATTTGTGGCATTCACGCATCTTGTGTTACAGAGCGACGCGTGTGTCGCAGGCCGGGAATTTTTGGTCCTCTTCGCGCACCACAACATGTACTTCAACATGCGGCCGCAAGCCCAGCTTTCTCCGGATCAACCGTTCAAGCCGAGTGGGGAACGACTATACGGCATACTACACGGTACGTGCCGAAACCATTGTCCGAGTGCTTCCGCAAGTCTACATGAAAGCATGGACGGGAAGCTAGATTCCTGAAGGGTGAGGTGGCACAAGTAGAGGAAGTAGGGCGGGAGTGGTGGGATTCGGAGTAGGAGGCTGCCGCGATACGGCGACTGCCACGGCTGTTTGTTACCCCAAGAGCTGAAAAATATTTGCGCAAGCGAGGCTCTCATCGGGTGCTGTGTTAATTTGCGTTGTCGCGGTTATTTCAGAGTTTCTTGCATGGAGCTGGTTCAGAAGCCAATAAGCAATGAAGGTTCCAGGAGTTGGAATCTGTGGCGGCGGTCCTCGGAGTGAGTACGCAGGAGCTCTATGCGGAGGCTGGTCTCGAACTCTGCAGCTCTGAGAAGTTCGGGGCTGTTTCTTCAAGAAGCTAAGGTGTTTTGGCGGAAGAAGGCTCGCGAGCATTCCAATAGAGGTAAGTAGGGCTTGGGGAGTAGACCATGCTGCAAGGTTCAGCTTGAGGCTTCTTTGCAAGTCCGGGACATGGCGGTTGGGATACCTGTACCGTCAATGCTTCAATGCTTGGGATGTAACGGTTCAAGCTTTCAAGCTTGGTCGGGGGTGCTAGTCAGCCGATCTGCAGCTTCGGCGTCGCTATCTGTGTCGAGCTCACACGCACGCACCGAAGTGTACACAGACATGCAATCGCCCAAGCACATGTACATTCAGACGCAGGTATGCATGCGAGCTTGCATAAACAGGTGCCTGCATAAACACCATCTGCATACACATTCAAAAGCTATTCAAAGCTTTATTGCGTGCTCGCTCATTCGTGCATGACTGTATGAACTACTTATGAGCCGCGCAGGGATATTCGAAACGAACACCTACCGAACTCACGACCGGCACACAATGAAAAGCCAGGCCAAGCCGACGTCACTGTCTGCCTCCATGGCGGCTCTGGTGAGACTACCTGGCGGCGAGGCTACACGTCTTCCGTCCGACTTGGCCGAATCATTAGTTTAGTTGGCCCGGTGCATGCGCAGGTTTTTGCCGACCTTCAAGCATCACGAATCACGAATCACATACCGGTGAAGATTTGTATTTCTTCTGTTGCATCAGGAACCATCAAAAACTAGCTTTTACAGTTCGCCCTAGCCCGAGTCTGCCATTTCAAGCCTCGACAGAATCCATCGCAAATGTTGAGGTCCCAGGTTGCCAGGCTCATGTCATGTACATGTTCCGAGCCACTCCACCGTCGGATGCTTTCAGGCTACGCAGTAAAAAGGGGCAGGAGACCCCTGGAGCTTATGTAAATCATGCACCAGAATGGAGGCCGACGCCAAGAAGATCTGCGAGCGGTCCGTGCTCGTGAAGGATTTCCTGCCATGTTTGGGTATTTGGGGCTGGTTTCCTCATTTTGGCGCCGCTGTCACAGTACAGTGCCGGATTCAGTTCATCAGAACGACATCATGTTATTCACGAAGCAGTGCCTTCGGCGCTTTGGCCTTGTTTCGCACAGCCACAACACAGGTGTGTAGCTGATATAGGTTTGGTCGATAAGCAAGCAGCTTGAAGCCTGGGCTGTTCTACTTGCAGTTCCAGCTCTCCGGCACGTGTGTCAGACATTTGGATTGCTTATTCATGAGTTTTGTCGTTGGCGGTTTAAACTTATTTGCCCTGCATCAAGACCGCGTTTTGCACCAACCTACGAACGGCTGAGCACGAAACCGCAAATTCCTACCATCCTCACTCGACTCGGTCATACATCATCGACCTAAACTCAGAGACCGAAGCTCCCAAGCTCGCAAACCTTGTAGCTCCTACGGTCCTATGCCATCATACCCCCTGACGCTGTACGCCCGATTAAGCCCATAACCGTACCGCACCCTGTATAGTAATTCAAGTTCTAATCATTAATACACAACCGAAGTCCCCGAACTGAGCCAGTGAGCCAGGCCATCCTCGAAGTTTGGGCTGAGGGCAGCACCTGGGAAGAGGTGCCTTGATTTGGGCCTTTCAGGGGCGGAGGGGGGGGGGGTTGGAGATGCAGGGGGGTTCAACGGTGTGTGGTGTTTCAGGGTGTTTGGTGTAGGGTAGTTCAGGGCCCCAACACACAAGAAGTGGGGACGAAGCTGTGCAGAGACGCAGCTGGTTAGCGGAGTTTGGGGTTTTCGTTTTGGGGGGCGGAACTTAGCGGCCTGAGGATTTGCGCGTACAATCCTAGGAAAGAACAGCTTAGGCAAACTTAGAGGGGCAGGTGGTTGTTAAACTAGCCCCAATGTCACCGTGCTTCTGAAAAACTGCCAAGGTTGTGGAGGCTTGTCTCGCTCAAGGCTCAGACGTCCGGAGGCAGAGATCTGAATGTGCGAGCTGCAGTGAATTCCTGTCTTTGGTTGCTGGCATAGGGAGAGTTGACAGACTGGAAACCTGCACAAGCAGTTGTTGTAATTCGTCTGTGGGGAGATATAGGCTGCGGAAAGGTGCGCGAGCAATACATGTTGAGAGCAACAAGTGGTGTCCGAGTGATTGGGACGAGCGACAGTTATCTGATCATCAGGGAGTAAAGCCATGATGCTTCATTGAGAAACTACTACGAGACGGATCTCTTTGACTCTGACTCGGTATGCTCATCAGTTGCGAGGGTATGTACCCCCAGAGGCAAGCCGAGACCTGCAAGTCTGACGCAATGCAGGCAGCGCCGGCAGTACTTGGCACCGCCCACGACCATTTGCTTACGTGCCCGCCCCGGCAGTTCTGCAGCCGTATGGCATCCCAGATGTTCGGGCGCTTCTTTCTAAAGACAGGCTTTCCGGAGCTGGGAGCGTCCTTTCATTTTTGGCAGGTGGAATGTCACCAACGTTTTGAGGTTCAGCTTTGGATTTCGGTCCTCCGACCCTCCATGGCTGGGGTGAATTGCCCACATCAACAATGCTCAACCCCAACCTAAAGGGAAGATTTGAACGGATTTTTTGCACTTCTCTGGACGGGCATGAGTCGCTTGCGACAATCCTAGACGCCGGCCGGAGGTGTGGAAGCTTTCGGCAAAACGCTGACCGTGGAGGACGCCCGCACAGTTTTCCCCAGGATTACATATGTGCGTTGGTATGGGGATTGAGACCGGGTGGATCGCAGGACAGCATACACAGGTAGCATTGAAGGCTCTTCATCGTAGATGAAGTTATTAACAGATGCCCGACAAGTATGAGTCAAGACGGCAAGCATGACTTGACCATATCGCAGAGATGGGACGTCCTATGCCGCAGACGGGGCTCAAGCGATGAGCCCCTGTCAATTCGGTATCGTATCGGTGCTGAGCTGAGTGATATTTCACTTCGTCTTTTGAGTGTCCGCGAAAGACTTCGGAATGGAAGGTTCTGGTGAGGCCAACGGGAGTTCACGTTCCTCTTGGGGTCTGTATGCGTGTGTAGCAACTGACTAGGATAGGCTTTCGTGCAATGACAGATGCAAGTCGTGCAGAGGAACCTCTGCAAAAATGGCACAAATTCCACGGCCTTTGCATGCAGCAGCATTCGAGCCCAACGTGTGACATGCACCGGAACGCCAACTACGGTCCATGGCTTCTCCGCTGCAATCTTCCGCACCCACCCCCGGCTGTGCCGTGCTCAGGTGCTTCTATGGCCGGTCGCATGGAGCCTGCTGCGGTCATCGGCGCGCGGGCCCATGGACGTCGAAGTGCCCCGGCTTTCGAAGCGCGTCCGGCATAGAGGGCACCAGGCTTGATGGGTTTTATATCGTTGAGACTTCGCGTGAGGGATATCCTGTTGCTGCAGTCTTGCAGGAGGACTCTCGCTTGGTACATGTATTAACATGTCGTTCATTGCCAGTACTTTTTTGTCAGCCAATGCGACTACGTCGCTGTGTGTTGACCTTCAGATGCGTGCTCTCTGGCGTACGCCTGCGCTAGGGTCGCGGCAAATCCTTGTTAGGCCAGCCCTGAAGTCGTGGGTCTTCCTGCGCGTTTCTCCAGCATTTCCTCCCCGTTTTCTGCATGAAACTGGCTGCAACATCACAGGTCTTTGTGCAGGAACCCCGCTTTGAATGCGACTTGGATGCATCAACCTGAATAGTGCATGCCGTGCTTCAATAGGTCAGGGGTGAAGATCGGCCCGTGTGATAGTGGGAGCTGCCACGAAGCATGGGCACAGGATTTGGGTCCTCGGTGTAGGTGGGCTGAAGGATTTGGGGTCCGGCCATGTCTGGGCACTTTAGATTCAACACCGCACGCTACGCAGCAAGGCAAAGGGGACCCTCGTGGGAACCCCTAGCAATAGGTCTTCCAACTGACAATCAGGAACTGCTGGTAGGTCTATGAGGCATTACACTGAATCCATCTGACCCTATTACGAGTCACGAGGTTGAGGGAAGTTTGTCGTTGAAGGTTTGGTGCTTGGTGGTTGTCTGAGGGGAGTGTCCTCGACATGCCCGGCATACCAGGCAAGTCACCAGTGGGCTGTCCGCTGCTGCGGCACTCCTGGGGCAAGGCTTCCTGGTTTCAGGACGTGTCTCAGACCCCGGAGCCCCCAGGAACTTCGCCTGACATGGATAATTTCCAGCAAGTTCCAGGGTTACTGTAAGTGTACTCTAGGGGTCACTATACTCTTGCAGCTCGTTGATTCAAAAGGCTGTGATCACGAAGTCCGACCCATCAAGAAGCTGGAGGCTCTAAACTAGACCAAGATGCTGACCTCAGCATCTCCGGTAGATTCCGTTGACCCAAGAGCTTAGTTGTCTGGGGCGGCTTGTGCCCAAAATGAGGCTATGAGGCTATGCCAGCTGATAGTGGGGCTTTACGTCCAACATACTACATTATGAAGGCTGTTATGAAGGCTGTTATTGATTGCTTCAAACCCTACCGCATCTTGGGATTTGGACCCTTAGGGTCAGAGACTCGGTGCCGGCCGCCGAGCCCTTGTCAGCAAACGAGGAAACCAAGGATCGAACCACATATGAGTTTCTCGTAGTTACTTCTCTCCATTGACCCTTGAAGAGCGGGAATCCTAAATGACAAGGCCGCATATCCTAAAGATCATGCCAGAACATGTAGACTTCCGCGCATGCCTCGTGGATATATGCGTCGCGAAGTCGATGTCCAGCCAGCTTGTGAATATTCGATTCGTGTAGGATCCAGAAGAATGCGAGCATTTCAGCCACGTGCAAGGTTGTGGCGAGCGACCCAATCACGGGGAAAGAGGTCGGCTGCTACATGCATGGGAGCACAAAATTAAACATGCGATCATTTTTGCTACATGATGCATTTTGCCTCCCGTGACAATGAACTACAACCTGTCAGATTGTCTTCCAGGCTATATATAATTTGATCCACAATTCGACTTGTCGAACAACCCGTGGGCGCCGCTTTTAAAGGGACAATTTCTGAGGATCCTCCAAGCTAGTTCCGGAAGGTTCGAATTGCCCGGAGTAGGTATCACTGATGACGAAGCTTGCGAGGTTTTGGGGGCTATGACAATCGCGCTGTTAGGGCTGTGCTTGCGATGCTGTTGCTAAAAGTCAGATGATGCAGTTCTCATCAAACGACTCGTTGTTTCCATAGGCTCTAGTAGTCGCATCCGGATCCAAAGGTCTAATCTCAACTGGCATTGACCTTGCAACGTAGTGGTAGTTAGGTGTATGTGCACGTGGTTCGATTTCATTGAGCTTGCTGCGGGCCCGAGTCGAGCAGAAGGGAAGATGATGGAAGATGGCTCTTGACTCCATCCCCCGGTTTGAGTACAGAAGTCTGCACGACACCCTCCACATATCCGCATCTCCAATCTTGAAGCTTACGCGAGCCTGAACCGAAGCCTTAGTCTTCTGCCTGTTTCCCTGAAGTTTACCTTCCGGGACGTCATGGCCGGGCCTGGCTGGGCCAAGGAGAGCGCACGGAGACACAGACATGTAGACATGTGCACTCATGGCGATGGCTATGACTTGACACTAGCCGCTAGCCGCAACATGCGAGACTTCGTGGGGATTGACAAAGCAATCGTATGAAATATGTTCCATGTCAACGTCTGTGAAGTGCTGGCCAACATATTTGCCAGCAGAAGTCGTGAGAAGACTCGAACAGTCGCGCAGCAGGATTTCGAGATGAAGCATGTTCACCGATGTTCGCCAGAATAATGTTGTTTTTTACCGCCATGCTGCATTTCGTTCGCGGGTTTTGCTAGTATTCAACGCTGCGAGGGACATCAGCTAGACATAGTACAGACGATGCCGCGAGCAGAAATAGGACAACAAGCCTGCAGTTCGGAAAAGGAAGACCTCTGGAAGGAACGTGTGTCCATCAGCGCTGTGTCAGGAGTGGAACTGGGGCCACCATGAGCCTCACATGACCCACGAGACGGGTCCCATGAATCCTGAAATCGAAGATGCTTGGCTTGTCTACATTGAGCGGTTGGTTTCTGAAGCTGTCCAGTTCTTCACTTCTTCACGAATCAACAAAGGCGTGCCGTTGTGTTTTTGCGAGATTGATCGTGCGCTGAGGGCTGTCAGCCGGTAGACCGCAAAGCGGGTTCTAATGCTCCCACGCTGTGAAACCAGCACCAGCACCAATCAGCGCCGCTGTGCTTGGAAGTTTGTTTGTTGGCTCATGGTGTCTAGTTGTCGAACCTCTGTGGAGCCGTCAGCATTCTGAGGAGATCATGGAGGACTCTGGGCTTCGATTTCTGCTTAGGGTTCAGGGTTCGGGGGTTTCGAGGTCAATCCCAACTTGTGCCCGGAGTTGGTTCGTTTCTTTTTTGATGCCAGTCATTGTGCGGCTGGCCCCAAGGAGATGGAACGGTATGATAAAGACCACACCAGCCTCGATGTGCTCCTCAGACTCTGTTGAGTGTGCACATTGCCGAAGGGTGTATGGAAGCTCCGAGAGTGCAAGGGATTTTCAACACAGGGCCCTAGGTAGTGGTGCCAAGCCCACTTTCAGGGCTCGGCTCTTGGTCGCTGGAAAGCTCCCGACCAGATTAGAAGGAGGTGTTGGAAAGCAACGTAAGCCGGTCTTTTTGGAACCGGCAGATTCTCGAATCCATTCATGTGTGCCCGAGGTTCTACATGTCCATCGGAGTGCTGGGTGCTCTGCAAGACAACGCCACGGCGGATGCGAGAGTCAAGGAGCCACAGGGAAGAGGAACTTCAGGGATGAGGGCTTCAGGTGTTGCGACTGTACTACAAGCGTCAGGCTGCAGTAAGGCAACCGAGCTCTTCTGCCCAGGAATGAGCATGACTCAGAAGGGGACGAGTACTCAGGTACTACTTATCTGTCCCATTGACAGTGGGTGGCTGCTGATGCATCTCAGGAGCGAACTCTAGAGTCTAGAGCTCTCTACAAGGTCTTATGCACAAGAATGTTCTTCCAGTCCTTCACGATGCTTTTGGGTTGAGGGCAGAACAAGTCCCTCGGAGTGGTTTCAATTTGCCTAAACTCGATGCCGCTTGCCAGGAGCTCTGGCACGTCTCGCCGGTTTCTTGTCGACATGTTCTGATGGTTCCGGATCCCGAAGTAAGTTCGATCGAAGCTGCAATCTCCGAGGCATCTGAGCTGTGCGGGCTAGGTCTAAAATTCCTGTCATCCTGTGTGTATGAAGCTTCCGACCAACCGGAGACTGCCAGACATTGGTCGGGTAAGCCAACATCTGACAGTAACGCCGGTTGATGTTCAACTTTCATGTTCAGGTCGTTCACAAATCTGTGGAGCTCGTGGGCGAGTACAACAAGACACTCCAACAGCCGCTCAGCTGTTTGCTCTCATGGCTCCAAGCCCTCCAAAGCTCTCAATACATCTCAATGCTACTGTGATTCTACCACATTGAGTTTGTTCAGCTTCAGCACGTCTGTCTTTGAAGACCATCTGCAGCTGCCTGACGTTTGCATGTCTTGCCACGTTTGCATGTGTTGAGGAATGCACAATGACAACGCCGCGCGGTGCTAGAACCGTAGTATTCGCCCATAATACCCAGCCCTCGACATCTCGTGCCGAACACCCTCAGGATGTCATTGATTCAAAGAACGGCCGCCTGCTTGCACCGTACGTGTCTACAGCATTCCGAGGCTTTCGCCGTGTTTACCGTGAGAGACGGCAAAATAACATTACTTATGACGCTATGGCCCCTGCTGCATGTAGCGGGCAGAAGCTGGACCCTCGAGGCGACTTTTTCGGCAGTACGCACTCCCAGTCGCTGGATTCTAAAAATGCTTGACGACCTGGCAACTAAAAAGAAGGAGATGTTCAGGATCCGCAATCGACGGCTAGGATATCACTGTCACTCGACCGTGCTCCTGGCTTGCGACCCCGTGGTTTTATCGTCGGTGGTGCCCGGATCGCCACCCCAACTTTGCAGTGCAGAGCCCTTTCACTCGAGCCAATGCCCCCGTCAATCCGCTCAGCTTCGTATGTTCGTGTATGTTCCGTCGCCCACAAGGCAAGAATTTAAGCGGTGCTCCGTCAGTCACATTCAATGCCTGAGCTTCAACGAAGGCATGTCCCCATGAACGGTGTTTGGACTTGCGCATCCCAAGGTGGACCGCTACAACAGCGCTGTTCGTAGTGGCCAAAGGGCGGCGATCTTGCTCCACTCCACGTGCTGAGCCATTTCGCTTGCCCCCAAGAAAAAGAGTTCTCAGCCCATATGCAGCGGCGTAGATCCTTGCTTTGTCATGTGCTGTGCTGTTGAATCATCGCAAAAAGCACTGAGCCTCGGCTGTTTGGCGGTATCGGTGCGTCCCTGCAGGTCCTTCGGATCATCACAGTCCCCCCATTCTGAGTCTTGAACTCTCACGAATCTTACTTGTGATGCTTCTTGATATGCAGAAGTTCAATTCCCCTGCGCCTCGCAAACCTGGGTCGTGGAACCAGGAGAAGAGGGCAACAATGGAGACACTGCGTCCACTCTTCGACGGTGATGAGGCACCTTGCGTTTCGCTTCTCCTGGAATTCAAGCGACCTGTGGCCGAACTCACTTCGCGTTCCTCGAGAGCGATGTTTGCACAGAGTTGCATAATGTTGCCTATCATATCGGATCGTTGTTAGGCGTGTAGGCCCTCACCATCAGGTCTCACAGAAGCAGCATGTGCGAGACTGGAGAAAGATACTGTTTGAAAGCTAGAGCAGGTGGTTGACCTGCGGGCCCCAGACACGATGCTGTGGGTGTTGGAGGACTGCAGTGGTGCAAAAATGCGTGTTTCCTTGTGATTGTGGTTGTCAATCACCAGACGAGACTTCAGTGTCGCTCTGCTTACGAGCTGTGCATGATGTATCCCTTCTCCAAACTCTGCCAATCTCGAGCACCCTAATTGATCTGGGACGGCTTGGTGAATTTCTTCCACGCTTCCGACCACAACATGGGTTTCGTCCGAGGTTGCAGGGCTCTAGGACATCCTGGAAAGCTGGCCTGCTAATTACTTGCTAAGTACCACAGGTTGGACCGGCAATACAGGAGGTAGCTTTCAACTCTTGCATGTTACTGCAGTTCGTGCGAAGTATTGCATTGGCCAGCAGGTGCAGATTCGAATAATGGAACATGATGGTACCAAACACTCTCTCGACCTCTCTGATGCCGTAGGGAATTATCGTGCAGCCAGGAGCACTCTCACCGGAGCGACGAGAAGACACACCTCGGAAAGCGAACACGGCCGCCGGAAGACCCAGCAATGCCGATGCGAGTTCTAGCAATCAAGCAGGCCAGTGAGCAGATGTGTTTTTGTGTGCGTGTGTGGATGCATACATGCATGCTTGTCTGCCTGTGTGTCCGTATGCCTGTATGATCCTGTATGCATGTGTGTTTTCGGCTGTCTGTGTGTATGCCTGTCCGTCCGTCCGTCTGTCTTTTGGTCTGTTTGTTTGGATGCATGCCTGAGGCTTGTCGGACATAGGCGAAGGCAGCACCCATTCTAGCCGCTACTAGTAGCCTGTCGGTCTGCTCCGTTCAAACGACGCATATGATGCTGGCCGATGGGTCGGGCTTTGCTGTTGCTGGGTGCTCTACAGCAGGCAGGCGATGCTCGGTCACTGCGCTGCTGATCCGCCTTCCGGTGTCCCGTTTGCTCGGTGCCGCAGAACGAGGCCTATGTGACGCTGGGTTGAGGGCCACCGCATCGCTCATTTACGTGCTCTTGCTGAAAGGAACGATATGCAATGCCCACTTGAGGGACGGGCTGATGATTGTATGCCCGTGCCTAGGCAAACCCTGTTTAGACGATGCTGCCGGTCGGTTGATGATGTTGCGCTGCCGCGGAAGGTCATTGAGCAGCTGATGCTCGTGATGCTCACTGCTGATGCTCTGCTTGCCTGGGATGGTGGAGAATGGATGGTCGAAGGGACGGTGCTGCTTTGCTGACTCGTCGCTTTGGAAGGGGCTTCAGGGCCGCAGACCGCTGGCTGTTAGTTTGGGGGAGGAACAATGTCTTCCAGCTGAGGCCTCGACGAGTGTTTCTGGGGCGGCAGGCATTCCGGAGTGACAGCACCGGCTACTAGAGCTCATGGCAGGCTACACGTTGCCTTCTCTTCCGATTCTGAATCCTTCTGTCCGCTCGTTCTCGTGTGTGTGTGTGTGTGTGTGTGTGGGTGTGGGTGCGTGCGTGCGTGCGTGCGTGCGTGCGTGCGTGCGTGCGTGCCACTGCCCACTCCAGGTTCAAAGAGATAGTTGCGATCGAGTAATCATTGAGGTCAAGCGTTCGAAGATGCCGCGATTCGCCCCTGCCTCCAGCACCCAAGGCACAGAGACATTCACCTCCCCAATCATAACAACTCCCATCCCACGCCAGTAATGGTTGTAATCAATTTAATCATGGCCCAAGAAACATCTCGACCCACCTCGTGTGGTCATGCCAGGTTGCGGGTGGGCGCAGCACGGACAAGAAGCGGCAGAGTGGTGAGAAGGCCAAGCCAGGGAGATCTGAGGCTTCTTTCGGCGACTCTATCTGAGCCGGTACAGTTCCCGTTGTGGCGGTGCAAGTTGCATGGTGTGTCTTTGAGTACTGCGCCTACAGCTTTGCAAAAACGGTCCGTCGGCGCAGTGAGCCCGGCATCGGCCGGACGATGGCCCCTAGTTCCTAGCAAGTTTCCAAGCTGAGGAACTGTATCCGCATGTGGTCTGCGCAGACTTCTCGAGGGTCGTGATTGGTGGCTTCTAGACCCTAGAGTCGTTTGCAGCCAAATTCCTGTCGTTTGTTGCAGTCTTATTCGGTTGAAGTCGTTCGAATGATAGTTGCCAACAGACGTGCGCCAGTGTTTCTTCCACCGCTACGACCTCTCCCAGCGCGCTGTGCTCGGCCCTACCACACTGGAGCTGGGCCCTCTGCGGGAAGAGGGTGCAGCTGAGCACTTGAGTTATCATGATTTCGATGCACGCAGCTGGACCTGCTGCCGTGCTGACTGTTGGCAGTGTGTATGCTTTTCTACGGCCTTCGTCCGTAAGGTGTTGAATCCGAACCTGTGCTGCGGCTTCTTTGATTTAGCACTCGAGTATTGTGGCCCCCTGCGACATGGTACCCAAGCATGAGCCCGAAAACTTGATGAGAGTGTCGGAGCCGCAAAGCGAAAGAGAGGTACAAAGAACGAGAAGAATCAGAACAAGGATTGCGACAAGAGCCAACAATGAACCATTGCCATTTCCACCTCATCCCTGCAAAGCTTCAATCTCGTCTCAGCAACGAGCTGGCCTTCATCATGGCAAACTGCGCTGGTGTCCGGTCAGGATCTCAGCGCGAGGGGGAGCAAGTGCAGGTTCCAAGGGCGTGACCTGCGGTGGAGCGATGAAATGTCGTGAAGATGATGAACTACTCAGAGTCCCGTATGATGACACACAAATCCAGTCACGAAAGTCGGCCGCGGCTTGAGCACCAATAACGCTCCGTTAAGGAAAGGGGTGTAGGAGCCGAAGATTAAGTTCCCGGGTTGGGCCCGGGCACCAAACGGGCACGATGTCCGGACTTTCATTGCATTAGAGACCATCTTGCGTTTGGATAAGGTATCACATAAGCACAAAAGAGGTGCGTGACTGAGCAAACATGACCGCACGAGCTGCCGCGTGAGCGGTGGGCATTAGGGCCACTGCGATGGGTTCGGGCTCCCTTGATTCACGAATGCAGGCATCATTAAGGAGTAGGTGCAAGATCAATGTGGTTCATTTAGAAGCCAAAACCTTTCTCCAGGCCCCACCAGCAGGGCATGGACCCTTTCTGCGGGCCGGGGCCCTGGCTTTACCCGGTGTTTCAAGATTCGGGTCCAGCCTGATTTGGCTGCAGTCGTTCTGACTGCAGTGTAGCTTCTGTAGCTCCAGGACTTTGCAGAGCGCTTCCCTCCCTCACTTGCATCGAAGGGGCATTGCTGCAAGTTATTACTGCGCACTCCTACTCTGATCCGAACCTACAGCGTTCTTACCTCACGGTTGACGCTCACGACTCACGGATTCGGGTTCTATGCATATAGCTTTGAACAGCCACATTCCCGAAACCAAAACCCTACGCATCCGTAGATCTTTGGCCAGCATCCGGACAGAACAGGCACCCCGATTCGACATGTGCCACAAACTCAAACATTTCCACGAAAGGACGGGCGGTCTTCTCATCGCCATGGCTCATTTCGGAGCGCCGGGCGCACAGAGCGATGGGGCCTTTGATCCAGGGGTGTAGCATGCTCGAAATCGAGGCACAAGAAGCTGGGGTATGAGTTTCGCGAGCGGGCAGCGAATTCTGGTGCAGGTCCAGGTAGGGCTTCCAACTCAGTTTGACTTGAAATTCTTCTGCAGCTATTTGAGTTCTGGCTGAGAAAGGCCTTGCAGAGATCTGGGGAGCCACGAAAGGCAAAACTGCCCGTGAAGGCTGTTGATTCTGGTAGGTTGTCAAGGAAATGAGCGCTCTGTATCGTGTGGCCTTCCGAATAAGACTTCATCTAGCGCAGCCTGTTATGTGCAGCCGGCTGCGGCCGGTTCAAGACAGATAGGACTTGGAATCGAGCTCTGATGCTCTGCAGGGGGTCTTGAGACGAAGCTTTAGTGTTTTTCAAAGGAAGCTCTTCGGCGGAGAAATCGACATCCGGGTCGTGCGCGGATGGAGGTGGGAAGAAACGGAGTCAGATTCGGAAGTCTTCGAGCTGTGACGTCAGCTAAGTGCGAGGGGGCCGCCCGCGCCCGCTTAGCGACCGCTTTTCAATTCGAGCTGAAGCCTTCACAAGCCAAGCTCTCAACGGCCTTCGTGCCCTGAACCCCCAACTCGAAACCCAGCAAATCCACGCTACCAGGATCGCCTACACGAAGAACAAAGCCGCCGTCCTCGACGCCGCCCGCAGCCGTGGCCTGTCGGCTGCCGGTGGAGGCCAGTCTGCTCTCACGCTGCGCTACATAGAAATGGCTCATGTGCTACTCGACTACGTGTTGGTTGCTTCGCAGCTTTGTTCCCGGTCCTCTCTCGTCACAATCACATCGACCTGCATGAGCCACAAACGGAGGCCCTGAAACCCCAGCACCTTCGAGCATGCAGCCTAAGGCTGTTCAGCCGATAGTGCGTTCTTGTGCCTGGAGCTTCTGGCGGCCCCCCCCCCCCACCCCCCCCTCCCCCCCCCCTTTGGCTGGGCAGGCCCCCCCCCCCTCCCCCCCCCCCCCCCCCAGTAGTAGTAGTAGTGTAGTAGTAGTAGTAGTAAAGTAGTAGCAGTAGTAGTGTAGTTAGTAGTAGTAGTAGTAGTAGTAGTAGTAGTAGTAGTAGTAGTAGTAAGTAGTAGTAGTAGTAAGTAGTAGTAGTAGTAGTAGTAGTAGTAGTAGTAGTAGTAGTAGTAGTAGTAGTAGTAGTAGTAGTAGTAGTAGTAGTAGTAGTAGTAGTAGTAGTAGTTAGTAGTAGTAGTAGTAGTAGTAGTAGTAGTAGTAGTAGTAGTAGTAGTAGTAGTAGTAGTTGTATAGTAGTAGTAAGTAGTAGTAGTAGTAGTAGTAGTAGTAGTAGTAGTAGTAGTAGTAGTAGTAGTAGTAGTAGTAGTAGTATTTGTAGTAGTAGTAGTAGTAGTAGTAGTAGTAGTAGTAGTAGTAGTAGTAGTAGTAGTAGCAGGAGTAGTAGTAGTAGTAATAGTAGTAGCAGTAGTAGTAGTAGTAGTAGTAGTACTAGTACCAGTAGTAGTAATGCTTAGTAGTGGCAGTAGCAGTAGCAGTAGCAGTAGCAGTAGCAGTAGCAGTAGCAGTAGCAGTAGCAGTAGCAGTAGCAGTAGCAGTAGTAGTAGTAGTAGTAGTAGTAGTAGTAGTAGTAGTAGTAGTAGTAGTAGTAGTAGTAGTAGTACTAGTAGTGGTAGTAGTAGTCGTCGTAGTAGTAGTAGTACTAGTACTAGTACTAGTAGTGTGGTCGTGGTGGTGGTGATGGTGTTGACGTGGTCGTGGGAGGGGGGGGGGGGGAAAGGGGGGGGCGGGTTGTTGGAGCACTGTTGGGGGGGGGAGGGGGGGGGGGGCTTGATATAAAAAGGCGCTTTTTGGCGCACTCTCCAGCCCGAGAGCTCTAAGCTTCAAAATCACAGACGATGCATCTTCAGTAAAAGTTGCAAGTTTTCGCGGATCTGATTTGTCGGAGTTGTTCTGGGCTTCGATTTGAAGTTTCTGAGCCTTCCGCGGCATGCTAGTTATAGTTCGAGCTATATACTATACATACAATACCGCCTAGCTTCACTATAAAGAAAGGATTTTCCGTCTTCGGAGTTCGGTAGCATCCAGTTCACCCAGAGTCGCGGGAAACGTCGGGCGTCTTAAGCATTTCCTCGGTGACGTGTCTAGGTCCGAAGTTTCGGCTGTTCTTCTTCTTCGAAAGGTTCTGGGTTCCAGAAGCTTGTGGCAGGAGCCTTCAAAAGGGCAGAGCTGAGGGCCTCTGGGCTGGAGATCCAGCAGGGTTTTGCGATTTGAGAGCTTTGGTGGACCTCCTGGAAGCTCGTTTCAGGTGCCCCGGCCGCTGCCGATGCTCCAGACGCTTCGTTCAACATGCCGGGAACCTGCGAAAGGTCCAGGGGCTTAAAGGTTTACGGAGAACAACGGTTTGGGTTTCGGCTTGAGAATTGGGTGGTGAGCCTTACTCGTCAGACGAACGCCGCACGCGCTTTAGGAATTGGGGTTTCAGCAGGCCTGTCCTTCGGAAATGTGCGGGAAATTCCATAGATGAGGTTTCACTCGGCGCGGATCATTTACCCAGTGCGAGTGAAATGACACTGCTAATGCCCACACAGTCGCTTGATTGAAGCCCGTCAGGAGCCGGACGTTCCGGCTTCCTCATGCAGCACTAGCGGCGCTAGAGTACTCGTATCCATGCTTGTTCAGAATGACAGAGGTAAAATTAATTATAGAGGATCACACACCTCAAAGTTTCATGGTTAGGGGTGTTGGTGCCAGTCAGGCCATGCCGACGATTCGGAGAAAATGGGGAACGATTATGTCATCAACTCGTGGTTGAAGGGCATCTTAACGTGCACATAATATATACACACATCTGATATCATTTGATGTCATAGGTCATAGGTGGAGTGTACACGAAGCGGTGCTGTCTAGGTAGCTAGGTAGCTAGGTAGGTTGACAGAGAGATCGACAGACGCAGAGAGATGGAGAGCTACACAGAGCGAGATAGAGAGATACACAGACACACACGCACACACACACAGAGACAGAGACAGAGAGACAGATGGATGGACAGAAAGAAGGGTATGTATATGTATATGTATATATATATATATATATGTATTTACGTATTTGTACTAAGCCGTGAAAGTTCTTCAGGGGCTCTCACAGCAGCGCCGGTGGCAGCGGTTGGAGCCTGGAATATTTGCAAGCACTGGGGTGCGGAACTCGGCTTTTGGCTTTTTGTGAATGCAGGTCATTCCATGAATCCTGCGCGAAGTGCAGTTGAGATCAGCTGTTTCTCAATTGAGAGGTGTTGAGCATAATCACTTGGCCCCTCAAGTGTATGAAGCTTCATCGGTCGCGCTAGTAACGCTAGTAGTGTCACTCCGTGAATGTCCGCCTGCCTCAAGCAATTCCATGAGTCGCGAGGTCGGACCATCCTGTTCAGCCGCCTTTCCAGAACTCGCAGGGCTGAGCAGAAATTGGAATAGGGTTTCGGGGCCCATTATCTTAATTATAACAAAAACAAGGAACCCCCGACATAGTGCAAATAGCATGGGTAATTGCTAAAGCCTCTTATCAGAAGTGATTCTAAAAGAACTCCTCCCGCGGGCGAGTCTTCGAGGTTGCCGCTGGCGGCGGGGGCTCCGGGAGCCGCCAAGGCAATGTTGTGGCAAGGAGTCAGAAGGTTCAGGGGCCCAACAGTCCACATGGGAATTTCCGAAAACAAGGGGTACCTTGTTGTGGGGTCCATATGAATAAGGATCCTACTATTCAGGGTACTATATTCGGGTCCTCCAATCTGCTTTGGGACCTTTGAGGATGCATCGAAGGCCGAGGTCGAGTTTATTGACGGGTGCAGCCGGATGTTCCACCCCCAAAGCCCTGAAACCTGATCTACAAGGCGTCCTCACACTCTGGGCCGCAACCTCACCGAAAAATCCGCCCTGCATAACAGTAATCTCCTGAACCACGAGCATAGGAACACTTAAAGCACGTTGAAAGAAGCCCTCTCGCGAGAGAATGCGAAACGAGGCGAAGCAGCCCAAGCAGCCCAACAACCGAAACGCGAAGGCGGAGAAGGTCACTGAGGGCTCAAGCGGGTTGATGGGATGATTCTGCTGACGTGGATCTGAGTTGAAGCTTCTAGGGTTTTGGGCTGAGGGTTTTAGTGTTGAGGGGTTCGGTTGCGAAGTTGCCGTACGGTTAGTAGGCCAGAGCTCGAGCGGTGGTGGCGAGTGCAGAGAACAGTCTTTAGAAAAGCATGCTGCATCCTGCAAGCTGAAAGGTGTCGACAACAAGAAGCAACTTTTATAAGACTATAAGTGCCAGACCTTCAGACCCATAGATTTCAAAAGAATTTCTTCTTGAGAGCTGTCTGCCCCTCTGACCTGGAGGACCCGGCCCTGACCAGTGCAGGGGGCTGCAACATCTTCACCAACTTCGTCCAAAGCCCAGGAAGGAACACTCAAGCATACCTCGGGACCTAGAGGGCTCCGGGTACTCAGGGGTTCAGGTACTAGAGGTCGAGGGCTTGGTTCTTGGTTTGAGGGGGGATTGCATTTGTGGAATTTGATCTTATTGTTGTAGTCATTGTAGTGGCACTCACAGAACTGATGAGCCGGTGCTGCCATGCTGCCACTCCCTTTGCTACGACCGTAGAAGGTTAGCTGTGCTAAAGTTGTTCATCATAGTCTCTGCCGCGTTTTCAGCTGTAGGCAGGTGGAAGCTTGGGGTTGAACTAGGTACGCAACACACGAGGATTCAAGCTTGGATTTGTGCGGGGTAAGAGGTGTTGGCCAGCGTGCACCCTATCGCCCAACGACCTAGAATCCCGAAGTGTCTTCGCAGCAGGGCTGACTTCGCTTTGCAGGCTTAGGTCCGCCCTGGACAGTTTCAGCAGGCTCCATGCAGTGTTCAGTTCTGTTTGAAGATTATGCATGCGTGTCTGGGGCTTAGCTTCCAAGGCCTGATGGTTAGCGGCAGTTCCCATATGCCAGGCTTTCGAGTTGCCCTGCATCCGCCCAGAATATTTCATGCGGCGCTTTCATCAGCACTGGATGCATGACAATGATCCTGTTCATGCCTGTTCCAGCGGGCCTCGGCGCCCCACATTCCTGTCATTGAGACTACGTGGCGTGCCTCAATCCAGTATCATGACACAGACGACACATCACGACTTCGTGGCCCCAGGTGCAGTATGGATTTCCAAGCCCGGAGATCGTCGTGTGCGCGGGGCCTGGAATTGGACAATCAAAGAATAATGTTGAAACTCCGGACGTTTGTTTTTGGGAGGTAAAACTCGGTGAGTCTCCATGATTCCAGTTTCTAGCGCTTTGCATGTGGTTTCCTGCGGGCAATGTATCAGCCCGAGTCCGTCCTTCTCCGATTTATCTCGTGTGCACTTGCGCTGCATCTTTGTTCATTTCAGTTCATGCTCGTGCACTACTAGGAGATGGATACTGTACTCAGTGCACGTAGCATTTCAACCACGTGGCATTGCTGGAAGACTGCGCGCAGCACGGAAACCTATCTTCGAATCCACAAAGCATATCGCATACTGAGTGCGAGAATGCATGTGAATGACAGTCACGAGCAGATGACGATAAGGCACTTCTTGATCATCAGCGAACCCTGCCCACTTGGCACAAACGAACAAGTAGGCCGCTGAACTTGTAACAGCTGCAAGGCGACAACGCCATGCCGCCTTGGCGAGCTGTGAAACCGGGCTGGCTCGTCGGAGCCCTTGGAAGCATGTACCAACACGTTTTGGAGCTGGTTGTACGTGGGGAAGGGCTCAGGGAGATTGACCTACAGTGATGGCAGTTAAGGCGAAGTTTAGGGTTCAGGCGCAGAGCTTTGAGAAATAATTTGGGTTGCCAGTAGCTCACGAGCGCGCGTGTAAGTGCAGCAGCTGAAGGGCTGAGGTGAGTATCATTTTGTTCTAAGGGTGTAGTCTGTGCAGGGCTTGGCTTGTAGCTTTCAGAACTGCCAGCTATGCGATCACCTGTTCAGCTTAGAACTATGCATTCGGGATGTTGGTCCAAGCGTCGCTTGCCACTGATGAGCTGAACTCGGCCGGAAAGTTCAGATTGCCTCAACATCGCCAGCTCAATGAATCGCATGTCGAAGCCTGCTGGCATCGGGACCAAGGACTTCATCATCACCGATCCCCCGTATGGTGTCCGTGCACCGGCCTCAGACATCTAGGTCAGGCAGTCGTGAGTTAAGAGATTCTCATGGGCTTCGGATTCACCTTATACGTGTCTTGTTGAAAGCCGGGGTGGTTGCGTCTTGTATTGACGATCGGCTAGTTCAGTAAAGTCATGACAGTGAGAGATGCGGAGAAAGTGCAATGCATAGTTGGCATTGTTGGAGCCGGCCGTGCATTGGTAATTTTTTGGGCTGCAGATTTCCACAAATGGGTCTGTTGCGATTTCTTTGGAACTACTCAGCGAAGGCAGGCGCCAAGAAGTCAGGCCGCGACGAGGCGAAGAAGAAGGTGGTCATCCAGGCACGCGTGTCGCTTTTGTCAAGGTCTTAGGCTTGTGGCTTGAGTGTGCAGCCTTGTCTGCTTGAATGCACAGCCCCCCTCCCCCTCAAAAAAAGTCGTATGTGTTGTTGCAACATGAATCCTTGTCTTGCGGCCAACACCTTGCTGCAATGCTCCCTGCACATACCATGTCAAAATTGTTGAAGCTTTAAAGCCGTTCTGAATGCCCGTCACATCCGATGTTTTAGATGGTTCAGATGACGATCAGAATGTCAGTCTCTGCTGCCGCGGCTCTAAATTCCTACATTCCAGGGCATCGAAATGCTGAAACCAAAACTCTAAACAAGACAGAAACAGCAGCCGCAGCAAAATCAAACCCGGCCAAAACTGTCTGATGCGCGCAAGGAGTGCCCACAACCAAATTACTGTGGTCAGGATACTGGCAAGACAGCCATTCGGTGCTCACATCATGCTCATCGCTACCATCATCGCTCACCTTCTCACATCCAGCCGGAAGAATCCTTGCAGTGCGATAATGACCCAGCTCCATCTCCGGAAGAGGGGAAAGATGGGTCGTTCGGTGGTTGTTTGAACTCAGTTTACTTGCTTCCCTTCGCATTGGCGACTGGTACATGTCATGTCGCGATACCCGGAGGACGTCAGCAGCTACATCCCCTCCAAGGTATCCTATGGCGAGGACGGCTGTTACAGTCCAGACAGAAGCACTTGAGGCCTCGATTGGATCAGAATCACCTCAGCTGCCGAAGCTCCACAGCTTCTTGTGAGGTCGGATCTTACCCCACCACGCAGATCTCCATAGACACACTTCTGTATTCAAGGAGGAGCTTTCTGAAGATCTCCTGAACTTCGCCGCCGCGAGCCTCGTGGATGGTGGAAAGCTGGTCTTTTTGGTGACCTCCTGAGAGACGGGGATTGTTTGGGGCTTGGTTGCAGCAGCTGAAGCTTTCAGAGTTTCAGCTTGGCCTGAGGGAGCCTTCCTGGGACCTCGGGTCCCACCTTAGACCTTCAAGCCCGAAGCTCTTGACTCGGTGGGAGCTCGGGATAAGCCTTAGTGTCCGGTGTGGTGCGGTAGTGGTCATATGATGTATGATGTAACAGGTTTGGGGCATCAGGAGTGCTACCGAGCAAATCCCAGCCCTCGAACAGAGGCCAAATAGCAGGAGAAGGACTTCTGAATCAGTTGATAATTATAGTATAGTGGGCCCCAAAACCTTATTCTAATTATTAAGGCCCCTATGTTACCTCCAGTCACTCGAGTCTTAAGGAAGCCTCGAGCTGTCGAGTTTCAGGTGCCCGTCGACCTGGCGGACTTCCTTGGCATCGACCGCGCGGCAGTCGAGCATCTAGGTCAAGTTCTGGTTTAGGGTTTTCCGTCTTTGGTTTCCAAGGTTGCTACATTTGAGTTTAAGGTTGGTATCGTTGACGTAAACTGCATGGATTTAGTTTTTTACGCATGATTGTTATTTGGCGTTGCTTGGTTGAGTGCGTGCTTTTCAATTCAAGGCTGCGGCAGGGGAGCCCGAATCCATCATACGCAAAAGGATACGGCTCGAGCATCGGCTGGAGCACAAGGCGCAGATGGTTTACAACATAGGGGCATTTCGAGGCAGTTTGATCTCGCTGTAAATTAAAGCGGTTTTCGGGTGCGGCTACAAAACCCGTGGCATCGACGTCTGCTGCAATAATGAAAACCTTGGGGCTGCAGATACGATGCAGCCAAAAAAAGCCTACTGCAGCTTTCCGAAAGTTGGCGCTGGAGAATCATCCAGACAAGGGTGGCAGCGAGGAGGCGTTCCATATGCTGCTCGCTGCCTACGAGCTCGTTGAAACGAGGGCCAAGGATGCGGCTATAAGCCGCCCAAAGCGGGGCGAGCGCAAACCAAAGAAGAAGGATGGTCGCAAGCACGAGCGCAGAACGGCGAAGGAAGCTCAGAGCAAACGGGAGGAGGAAGCAGCCACGAAGATCCAGGCAACCTATGGGGGGGGCACCTCGCCCGAAAGGTGGAGGTGGTGGACAAGAAGGTTCCCAAGCATACGTTCCAAGTCACGCAGACGGAGAGGGCCGTGGACCACCGGAAATGACGGTCATGGAGACGAAGGCTTGCCAGCCGCCAGCATTTTCTGTCCAGCCGTGGCACTGGCTTAAGGCCATGGAGTGCGTGGAGTGATCCTGCTGCTGCTGCTGCTACTACTACTACTACCACCACCACTAGCTACTGGCTACTTTGATTATGATTGTTACTGTCACTCGGAATAGCAATACCGTCGATTCTTTCGAGTGTGAAAAAGTTTGCTTTCAATGGGGAAAATGTCCCCGGATGCTTCTAATTTGCTTGTAAACAGCTTGGATGCTTCTGATTTGCTTGTAAACACTTATAGAAAGTTTTTGACTGAACCTTTTTTCGATTTCCAGAAGTTGTTTGATTGTTTGTCATTTCTTTCGATTGGATTCTTTTGATTGGTTTCCTGCCTTGTCATGTCCAATGTGTTTTAGTCAGCCAACCCGTCATTGAAACCTGTGCACTAGCATTCCCTACAGCATATCCCAGGCAGGATCTCGAAGGCACGAGGTGCGCTGGGATTTGGGAGATGCGCGCGGGCCGCAACTGTTCCACATCCGCACACAAGATGTCTTCGCTGGTTGTTACACGTGTTGCAAATAGATCTATGCAACACATGCGACTCCGTGGGAGGCCCAACTTCCACGACATTTGCCACCCCAAAGCCGGGCGGAAGAAGGATCCGAGGCCCAAGGGAAGGGCCGGATGTCGACGTCGATCGATTCACGTACTCCAGGCAGAGCGCAAGACGTTAAGGGGATGTGGATCTTCTGTTAACGTGGGCTTGCTAACCGGCTGCTGATGAACACCGGCCTTTAGCTTCTGCAGGCTGCGGTGCTGCTGGTTCGGCCAACAAGTGTGGACCGGGTTTAATGAGCAAGAGACATGACGGCTGACGTGCTACAAAGTGCAAGAGTCTGGTGTTGAGTCCCTTTGACAATGCCCCTGGTTTTGAACCATGAGCATCTTTCACCCATCAATCTCGGCATCTGTGTACTGTGCGGGTGCAAATACACACATTTCAAATCAAATAAATTAATGGTTGTTTTCAGATGAAACGAGGGAAGAAATGTCTTGTGTTGCCTCTCCCTTTCCCGCTCTCTACATTACAAAAACATGAAAGATACTTAACCCGAAGAGTCGGAAAGCCACAGGCTGTGTGTGTCGGAGACGACACGCGACCCGCTGCTGCTGGACGAAAGCCGCACCCTGTCTCAGAGCTCTTGAGCGTTTCAGCATGTTCCGCCCCTACTCTGTGGTCCGGTGTTCTTCTGTCAGAGAGCTTGCCTGTCTGGGGGGATGAGGTTGGGCTGCAAAATGCGCAGTTCTCCTTGAGAGGGTCTAATCTTATCTTCATAGTTGTACTTGTTGGTGACTGATGATGGACGAGGATGTTGGTTACTGTTGTTGCACTATGTTGAATGTTCCTGTTTGGATCTGCCCCCTGCTATCGGGTGCCCGTAGGTTGCTGGCCGGGCGGAAATCAAGAAACAGAATTAGCTGGCAATCTCGGAGCTAAGCCACTTCTTTCAGCCGCCAAGAGCCGACCTGCATCTTCATGAAATCCTGTGGCCTAGAACCGCCTATCGTGGTTTACCCGCACTTGGAAAGAGTCCAAACATCGAAGGGCTAAGAACACACCGCACCATTTTTCGCGTACACCGGTTGGAAATGTAGCGTCTCTGCTCACATGTCAGGGCCCAGTACCTGATTCGGGGTCCTTGTGAATCAGCATCGTACTATTCTCCGTTTCATTTTAGGGCTTCTTCTTTCTCCCCACTTCCATATGCTACCTGCTTAGAACAGTTTAAAACAAGGGTAGGTATCAGAACAGCAATCGCAAAAGTAATACTCCTGAGAAGGCTACGTTGACTTCATTCCGCAGCACGTCGCGTTTCGGCCGGGCCGCCAAGCTTCCGTCCAACGGTGCCGGAGCTGCTGGAAAATCCCGCTGCGCCCAACTTACACCTTAGTTAATTATAGCCATGTGCCATTATGCCTGGCAACAAGCAGATGTCGCAGTACGAGCAGAAAGGTCGCCGAGCTGACTTTCAGTCAAATTGCGGATCTGCTCCCGCAAACTGATATTCAGATATTGAGTCAGAATCATCAACTTTCATAGAAGCCCTCGCCTGAAGCCGAAAACAAGATCAAAGGACCCAAAGCTCCAAGATGCAGAGCCTCACAGGAAGCCTGTGCATGCCCGCCATACCTTATTTAGCCCAGTGAAGCGCAAATGATACAATGACGAAACTGCTGTCGGCGCGAGACAGTGCTGCAATCGAGTCTGAGGCTTGTCTACGTTTTCATCTTGAGTCTCAGACACATCCAGCACTTGCACAGAAAGAATGTAGTTGGATACGAGGCGTTTCTAAGGCAAGCCTACGCGTCAATGTGTGCATTGTAGGTGCAGAAACTACACTAGTCTTTGTTCTCTCTGTGACATAGGTATTTACATACATACATTGGAAGGATCCTGCCTGCGTGTATGTATGTGTATATATATATATAGATATGTAGAGTGCGAACCTTTTCAGGCGCTGTTGGGTTTGTCGGCAACCATAGTCAGGAAACTGGGGGAGGATTTTCCAGAAGCTACGAGGGCAATTTTCAGATACATTTTTTTTAATCATTTTTTGGCAAAAATCAACAGAGCAGTCATGCGTGGGCTCTGCTGCAATACATGTTGCCATATGCATTGAGAAGGCGCCTAGAAATGCATGGTGTTTTACGGGGGGAGTTGGCTGCATGGCTTGGCTTGGCTTCTGCGGGGGTGGGGGTCGAGGGGGACAGACACAGGTGACAGTATGCATTTAGATGGCATCTAGAAATGCATGGCGACCCTGTTGGGGGAGCTTGGCATTCTGCCGTCCAGTATTCCCGAACGTGCCTTCGTCCATGCCTGATGTTTTCCGATCTTTCTGAACATACTGCCCTTCATTACAGATTTTCGGGCATAGTTTCGCGAGAATCCCCGGCAGATTCTGAACATAATGCCGCGAAATTCCCTGCACCCGATATACGTATGTAACTATGTATGTAGGTAGATACGTAGGTAGGTATGCATGTATGCATGTTCACTGTGTTTGTCCTTTGTTGATATTCGCTGGTTTATGTATCTATACTTGCTTAGTTAGCACATGCCGCTTATCCTTGGGGTGCCCAGCCTTGCAATGCAGCCAAGTCCATACGTAAGACATGTTTTCTGTTAGACAGGAATGTGTAGTTGATAGTGCTTCTGTTAGACGGAGGTTTCTGCCAGATGGCGGCTTTCAAAGACCTCATGTTGGTCTGCAAACATGCGCTTGTGGTGTCAAAGCGCAGCAGGGGGTGGCGCTTGAACTTCAACGTACTATGGCGATTTACATCATGTACTTGCTGACTTATCTGCCTACCTCTTTATTCATGTACTTGTTCGTTTTTATTCTAGCATGCATATTTAATTCATGCGCTCATACACACGTGCACGCGTGTGTACTAGATAGACATGCAGAAAGCAATATACGTGAACATATATCTGCTTCTGGGTTTAAAGCCATAGGTTGTCGGCTGCGTTTTCGTGCAAATGCAATTTGTCGACCCCATGTCGTGCGCACACACACACACACACACTCACACGGATGCGTCCTTACTCTCGTGCGCGTATTAGTATATGTATATATATATATATATAGACATACTCCGACGCCAACCTGAACTAGCAGAACCAGCTGCGATGTGTGAGTCCTTGTTGAGGCTCTTGGGCGCCTCGCTACAAGTGCTGAGTGGTGGACTGGGCCGCTTGCTGGTAACGATGCCACTCGCCTGCAAGGGTTTGTGTGACGTGTTCTGGTTGAGAAAGTGCCAGATCCCTAGCCGGGCTCGACCCAACCTCTGCATGCAGATCTCAGGCAGCGTCTGCCCCGGTAGTTGGCCAGCTGTGTGACGCTGGGCCGATCTGGGCCGGGTGCTCGTTTGTGGGGAACCACGTTTGTGTCATGCAGTGGCAGCTACTCATGCCCCGACCTCCAGCTGCGCCAGCAAACCTTTGAAAGAAGCAGTCAGACATGAGCCGGGGGCCCGTGTAGGAGTGCTTTCGCGAGGGAAGTCAAGTTGTTGACACGTTTGGCGTTTCTTCTTGATTTTGGCGTCGTTTCCTGGTTGTCGGATGCTTCCGGCAACCGAACCTCAACTCTCAACGTGAGGCTCGCTTGCTGTGCTGGCTCTCCCTGGACAGTCCTGGGCCCATCAAGGCCAACTACGGGTGCAACGCAACTTGCTACGTCGAAACCGCACACAGACAGAGACTTGAAATTGCAGCGGCCGTTGTACTCTTCGATGCACCCCCCGTCATGAAGCCAGACCATATGCTCAAACGGTGAAGGACGCCAGCTAAACAAAGGGGGCCCCAACCGCACTGCTCCCTGGCACCGAAACCTCCCAGTAGTGTGCAGGTCCAGCTCCTGTGCTCGCTCAGCCAAAAGTCTTCGACTTCGCGACGCTTCGCGACGCTTCGCGAAGTCGGGTGCTCCTGGCGATTCCGGGGTCGGATCTTGAGCTTCTGCCCCAGGCGGCTCGATGTAGTCAAGGTTAGTCCCGTACGAGCAGTGCATCTGTTGTGACTTCTGCGTTTCGTTTGCAAGATGAGGAGGAGTTGTCACGCCCCTGTTCGGGCTGGAGATTTGAAATTTGAAGGCCTAAAGTCTACAGATTTGCACGCGTGTGCTTTGCTAGTCCACCGGCAAGTGCCCCTTGGTGTTCAACATCGTTGCTTCAATACGTCCTGAATCTGCCACTTTGGCAACCTGGACTCCCTCATAGTGGCTCGACTTTCAAGCCGGATGCCCCATAGCAAAAACACCGTGGACCTGACCTCAAATGTGAGGATGGCTCTCTAGGAAGTCTCTGGTGACGCAAGGACGAAGCTCATTCTTGTTTTGTAGGACCTAAGTGGCTCGTGGGGCCACTCTTACATGAAGCCCTGAACGCATAGCGTAATAGTAGTAGTACTAGAGTAGACACCTACTACTACTACTACTACTACTACTACTACTACTACTACTACTACTACTACTACTACTCCTACTACTCCTACTACTACTACTACTACTACTACTACTACTACTACTACTACTACTACTACTACTCCTACTACTCCTACTCCTACTACTCCTCCTACTCCTACTCCTACTCCTACTCCTACTCCTACTCCTACTCCTACTACTCCTACTCCTACTCCTACTACTACTCCTACTACTCCTACTACTCCTACTAGTACTACTACTACAACTACTACTACTACTACTACGACTACTACTACTACTACTACTACGACTTCTACTACTACTTCTACTACTTCTACTACTTCTACTACTACAACTACTGCTGCCACTACTACTAGTGCATCTTTCTGACTCTGGCTGGTTGTAAAGCACGATGGCATACTAATCCCTAGAACATTTTCAGGACCTGATGCCTTTGCAACAATATAAGCAACCACTGCCAAATCAATCCCTCCAGAAAGATCTAAACAAGCTTTTTTAAAGCCCAGTTTTGAAAATTAATCCCTCACTCCTAGTTCAAAGAACCACCACCACCACCACCACTACCACCACCACCTGAACAAAAGTGAATGGCCACAGGAGAGGAGAACTGATGGTCACAGAATTCTCCACCCTTGGAGACATTCATAGCCTATTGCATGCCGCTGCTGTTCAATTCGGTTCAACATGTCTTTTCCTTTCCAGCTGGTTGGGTTTAAGGGAAGCTGCGCCTCGCTACCGAGGCCTTCAGAAGGCTTGCAAATCACGCCCCTTCCCGGCTGCGGCTTCGAGGACACTTGACTTGTGTCGGAGTCGGGTCGAATCCTCAACTCACCTAAATAGACCTTTGACCCCGTTCCTCTTGCCTGAGAAGCTCAGCTTGTCCTCAAGCACCGGGAATCCCCGCGTCTGACTACCGCCTATGGCAGATGACAGGAACGACACGGACGCAGGTGATCATGCGTTGGCCCCATAGCCGCTGAAATTAAACACATACGAAATGCGGAATGTTGCAATACATTTAGCGGACTATGTATAAGCCATGTATGCAACAACCCGTACGAACGCAACACGCAGACACACAACCACACAGACACACGCAGTACGCTGCATCAGAAATCGAGTTCTCGGGTCTTTTGAGAACCGTCGCCTCGTCACCGACACTGATTCAGTGCATGGTGCATGTTCATTGTGATTTGACTGCTAGCCTCGGGTAGTCACCAGTTCGTACAGATCTAGATAGATCCTCAAGCTGAAAACGCGGCCCAGCCTCCGGCCTCTGCGGATGACACACTGGACATCTCATCAACGGCTTTGGTAAGCTGATTGCAGTGTCCGAGTCCACGCACGAAGTCGGCACCTTGTAACAAACCTCGGCGGCTGATGACGGCACCATTTTGGACCTCTATGCCCTCTGCGCCTGCAAGCAGGACAGCCAGCCCTCACGGTCAAAGCCAGCGACGTGGACGTGGTCTCCGTCCGTCCTGGATGCAGCTGCGGTGCGAAAAGGAACGCTGCAGCCCCGGAGGCTTGAAGCACATGTCCACCCGCAAATCTGACTTCAAGCTCTTCCTGCCCGGGACTGGTGCTCTTAGGCGTGCAATTGCAGCTTGGCTCGCATGTGGCTCAAGATCCGAATTTACATCATGACTTTGTCATACACAGTTGAAGTTGCAAGGTTGCTTGGTTTGCTTTTGCTGGCACAGCTCCGGGTCAGACATGCCCTATGCAGAACAGTCGGATTAACTTCACACGTTGAGACTGCCCGCCTGCAGCATGGTGCAAAAGCCGACACACAGCAACTGAAGGATCAAGCGGGCGGTTCTGTGCGCAACAAGCAGCATTCCTTCCTGTAACGCTGAGCAGTGCAAGGGCGTTTGCCCTCTTTTGCACCTTTTTTTGCGTCCTGTCTGAATGCCTTCCGGGCGACTGCCTTAGCCATGGCTGTGCCCGGGGAAATCGAGACCTCGTTGGACCAGCGCCTGGATCCTTTTTCGGTCGATAAAAGCGGGGGTCGGTTCAGGAGACTGGTTTGGGCCAGAAGTTGCGTGTGTTTGAAAGCCTGCAGTTTCTGGGTGAGCCCTCCAAGCATGAGAGTCCGAAGCTTTCCGATGGCTGGGTGCCTAAAGTCCTGAATTGTGGGAGCGCGATGCTTGGGGCAGCTCATGCACAAGAACCCTGAACCAATTCCGGTCTCTGGGGGCTTAGGGCTCAAAACAACCATCTTAGCCCAGGTGCTTGGAGGCCAGGGCCTTGGCACGAGCATGTGCTCGCGAGAAGTAGCATGGGAGTGGATCCGTGAGACTTTTCTTGAGACAGGTGGTGTCTGCTGCCTCTAGAAAGCCACCGACTCCAGACAGCGAGCGACACAGAGCAAGAAAGAGAGAGAGCCAGACAGCCACAGAAGGCGTAGGCAGACGACATTTCATGTTAGCCCTGAAGTATACCCCGCTCGTGGGAGTCCTGGGACGTTTCACGTCGGAATTCTTGGAAGAAATGGGAAGATACCTGGGTCGAAGGAGAGTTCACAAGATTCTGCCTGGTTGGAACCAGCGGTTTGAGACGAAAACGGGTGAGAGCAGGTGCTAGAGATAAAGGCCCCTTTGACAGTGTCCGTTGATTATTAATGGCCGCATGACCTGCGGCAGCTAGCCTCCAGTGGCGTGCAAACCTTGGAGTATGTATGAAACATCGAGGGTTCCAGCTCCTGGACGATGAACATGTTGCGTTGTAGCGATGTGAATCGTGCTTTGTGTGTTCTTGTGACACACTCTGTCACTTGCAGTGTAGTTACAGTGGCATCGTTGTTGTGCAGGTCTGCAACCCTGTTCAGATGAGCTCGCAGATTCAAGCAGGTAACCAAAGTCCGACACCTGGCGCAGGATTTGAAGCACCACTTCTTGTCTCTACGACAGGAGATGGATGCCTTGAAGGCCGGAATTCCCGGAAGCTACCTCGACTTTACAAGCGCGACTTGTGCAAGACTACTCGGCACCACACCAGCAGCGCAACTGCTGAACTTGTTTCCCTTTTGCCAGCCAAGTGTCCATGTCCTTGTCCAGCTCGCTTAGACTCTTACACCATGGCCCCTTCCACAGCCTAGCTCATCCTTGCGAAAGTCCTGCGCATGCCGATAGCCTGGCTGAAGCTCCTCGTTCTTGTCGCGCACGTCAGCAGGCAGACAACGATGCGCTGAAGCAGAGCAGCCACCCTCCGAAGGGGAAGGCGTGGCAGAGGGGTCCTTTCGGAAGGTTCGCGAAACGGCCAAGCAGCCATGTTGAGGGGGTATGTGGTTTCGATTACATTGGTGATGCACGGGGTCTAGTCACTATTCACAATGTTAAGAACAAGTAAACAAGCGTAGAGCGAAGAAGAGTGTTATTGAGTAGTAACTATAGTTAGAATTAGACAATATACACCACTGCCGAAGGGCAACGACACCAACAAGCTCGAGCAACTCGAGCTCGAAAATGAGGCTCCCCAGCAGATGCAAGTGCAGTGTGCGTTCAATGTCTGCTTCTTCCGTGGTTTTAAAGGAGTTTGGGGTTTAGGGTGTCGGTTAAAGGCTTGTGAGGAATGCCATGATTCGCAGTTCCGGAGTTTAGGGTTTCGAGGTGTAGGAGTTTGGGGTTCAGTTGTCTCCAGGGCTCCGAAGCAGCTTTCACGCTCCTAGATCCGGGGAGGCACACGGCATCCAGAGCTCAGGATCGATAGCTATAAGATATTAAGTCTTAAAAGTACTCAGAGCGGCCGTGCCATGTATCATGCCGATCCATTCAGCTTCCCACCTTGTTTTTGTGTCGAGTTTCTCTTTGGAATTAGGGTGAGGGGTGATGCAATGTCGCGGTTGGAGTACACGATTTCAAGTTGCAAGTTGGTCTTACTTTGCGGGATTCGCTTATACTTATAACTTGGAACTCCTACCAGCTCCAGCCGTAGCCCTTTGCCCTGGACAGGTGCTGAATGAACAAATCAACGAGCTGAAGGCGGGAAGCTGCTATTCCTATGGTTTTCTGGTTATGGTGATGAAAAGCAACCGAGCCAGTAGTGTCTAAAACAGTATCTTTCTCAACTTAGCTTGTCGTCGCAGTCGTCATCTGTGAACCTGCACGCTGTCGTTCTTAGGCGACAACCCTGACTGTAGCTTACGATCGTTACATATCGTTAATGTAAGCAAAGGACCGCGATGTGGCGCGGTGGTGCCGCTAGTTTGACAGCAGGAATAACACCTCAGGGCCCGACCAGACAAGTTCAGTCCCATACCCCGAATCCTTGCCTGTGGACCTACCACACGAGCTCGGATGAACTCGAAAACAGAGAGCCCCCTACGAGCTCCAAGCAGGCTCAGCTCTACATGAGCTCGGCCATGGGCGACGACGAATGGTTCAAAAACTCAGCGACCCGTACCTCGTCGGATCTGGGAGCTTCGGTTCCGACGCCGTGGGCATAGAATCTTAGAAGATCAGGTCATGAAGTCATGCGCTGGGCCTGTGGCTTGCAATTCACGATAATGTTGACTGCGCTGCTGGAAATGTTGGCTCCAAGAAGAAGCGCGAATGTTCAGTTGTTCCATCCTGATCATTATGATGGATGTTATCGAATACGGGATAGTCGGAGAATTCGCTGCTGAAGCCCAGAGGTCCAGATAGATGAGCGAAATGGGGTACTCCCTGACTCGGCACTGAAATCGAAACTAGAGTATATTGATGTCGGGATCAGAGCTGTCGCTATCAGCGAATCAGTGTAGCTACAGTTCCTTGAGGCATGGCGTGGCTTGCCGGGGCCGATTCTGGATCCAATGGCATCTCCACGATCTTCAGAAAGGCAGGTGGTGTGTTCTTGGTTTGTACGTTGCTGATTTCCAGATTTGGCATTTCGGCCTTTAGGGCTTCAGGGTGCTGCGTGTTGTCAGCTTTCTGCGCATGCATTGCGCAGCTCATTGAAGCAAGCCTTTGTCGACAGCATCAGCCTAGAAGAAACTCGCAAATCTCAGCAGTTCCGCTGCTGTTGGCAGTTCCTGTTGCATCGGTGAACTTACCCCATCAGGTCTAATGACCACGGTATCCGTGGACGTCAAAGAGTATTGCAACAGAGAGCAGAAGCTTCCGACTGGCCATCGTCAGCAACACCCGCCCAGCAGTCGCGAACGAAAAACCAACGTCCCACTTACAAAGTGTGGCAGTCTTCGTTCCGAGACGGGCTTTCGACAGCAACAACTCTCCAACTACAGGGAAAGAACGCAAACTATTAGTGCACGGGGAGCGAAAGCCGAATCGTAAGCCTGGGTGGCACTTGCAGGGACAAGAAGATTGATGATCACCTGCCAACAACCTGGTAACAATCTTTGCTTGCATTCTAAGCCCGAAGGCTCTCCACTACACATTTTGATTAGTCAAGCTCAGGCATGCATTAACTGGTCGCATCCGTTGACCTTGTGCTGCATGCTGCTAAATCAATGAATCGATGCCAGTTGAGTTGTGTGTAGTATCTGCCCGATCCGTAGTTGCACGGGCTTTGCGCGGGATTCGCAGTGACGGCCCATGATGTTGAGGAGTCTCCCAAGAAGGTGAGCTTCTCTCAGGCGCTGTCACATAATTTGGATTGGAGGTTTCTAAAGACTTGTGGTGCCTGAGGTACGCTGTTTTCAGTCCTTGCCAGCGACCCCTACTTTGAAGTGAAAGTTTCAGCCCCGCTCAAGTGCTTGATGCTACTAGAGTTTCGCACGGCGAAGCCTTCGGCGGCAGTCAAGCAGAAGTGCGCAGAAAGTTATTTTTGATCTTCTTCCTGAGCTCTAGATGCTTCTCTGCCCGCAATTCAGAAAATTCAGTCGACAGTTCCATCACGAGCGAGCTTGGGAGGCTTTGGGGTAGTCGGGCATGCTGGCTAGTAGGGTGAAGAGATAAGAGCGAAAGTCTGATGCTGTGTTTCAGCGTGCGGTACCTAGTGGAGGCTAGGAGTTCCAGTCCTACCGTCGCGACTGGCCCCAGAGAACTGCAGGGCTTCGTAGATTCGCAAATGCCACAGGGCCCTTCCCAATGCGGCTTTAAACACAGAGCAGCTACGGGTTGGAAGGGGTTGCCTTGCACGGAACCAGAAGTTTTTTGCCTAAGTTTCGACACACAGCTCAACAGCTTTCAGGACTCGGATGTAAAGCTCCAACAAAAGACCTTGGGTTTTGAACCGCAAGCCTCTCTGCAATTTGCCGCAGCCAGGTCGTGCCTAAACCAGAGGAGCAGGACGAGAGGCACATTTGCACCTGTTGCCTCGAATACGCAGGGCCTGCTGGCTGCTGGCATTTGCAACTTTGTTTGGCATTGGCGGTTTTCATTGCCTCTGAGCATGATGACGTCCCTGGCCTGATTTGCACCCCTTCGCCACCGATCATACACCATAGATTCCATAGATTCCTGGACCTTGAACCAGAATGCACCGACATATAGCCTGAAAATTTTAACTTTGGCATCAGTTTGCGAGGGTCTGGATTGGGGGGCTCCTGGCAGCCGAAGATGGGAAGGTCTGGAATGGCCGGCGGTACCAATCTAGACCCTAGTAGGGAGACCAATCTAGACCTTCTCCATGTGGCAGCATCTTGTCACATGTTGTGCATGTTGCATCATGTTGCACTATCTTGTCGCAGGAGGCTGAGAAGGTACCGTTTGTTAACAGGTAGAGACTGTCTTGTGCATTAGGTTTGTCATACAGTATCTTCCGACGGACGTAGGTGTGGCATTCCATGATCCTTTTTAAACCCGTCAACATCCGACGCAAGGTCTGTATAGGCCGAGGGTCTGAAAAGGGTCGTGTACCCCCTACGCAGCCAACCATATTAGACCCTGGAAAAGGTCTAATATGGTGGTTGCTAACAGGCCCGTCTACAAACTGAGGGGATACTTTGGCCGTAGATATCCTGAAGCACCAAACCGTCTCCACCCTTGAGAAGCGGAATGTAAAAGAGGCCAGAAAGCCGAACATTCAGGAGAATTCAATTTTCAAGTTGAAAACAAAGATGCGCAGCGCAGGCCACCGTCCGCAAGCCCCTTCGAGATAGAGCAGACAGCCGGTGTCTATGTCGCAGAACTTGGAGCTTCAAGTTGAGGGGTGTTGTAGTTTAGAACGTAAATGTAAGAAACACAGCTGGAGGGGTGTTGGCAGTTGGGAGTTGCTATGCTTGCAGTGGTCCACGTCAGTGTTTCCGGGAGGCTTCATCTCTGCAAGCGGCTGCGTTGAAGGGCATGATCGCTGTGCGAGCTTTCCGTCAAGAATCAAGCTCAGTAGGCAGCAGCAGGCAGCGGCAGCTGCAGCAACGCAAGACACCCGACTCACATCAAGCGAGTGAAGGCGGAATTGCTCACCTGCTACCTGAACCCTGCACCGCAAACCCTCAAAGCGAACAGATCTAAGGTAGCCTTGGCGAGGCCGCTTGGACCTGCTTGGCGACCGTGACTAAGTTAATACGTCACCTGAAACCCTGTTGTCGCTGGAGCATGCTGGAGCTACCGTAGCGGTCTATCATGAGAACTCCCACCCGGGTCCAGTGTCTGTTGTTGTTCTTTCGGTAGCTCCGATTGTGGCCGGGGGCTTTGTCGTCAAGTGATTCGATGAGTAATGGCTCAATGTCTTCTGTCTGAAATTGTGGAACAGCAGCTTTCCAGTAGGCTACTTGTAGGAGTCCATTGCCCAGTGGATCTTTGTCCTTTCGTTGCATAGCATGGGTTCTGTGGCTCGAATAAGCCCAAAAAACAATCCCGTGACCACGGAGAATTCCCTTGACCAGGAGGAGGCTGGCAAGCCTGAGCACGCGAAGATCCAGCGTGTTTTCTGGGATGCAAAAAATTGGAAAACTCCGTTGGTTGTTGAAGGAATAGGGCTGATGTGGGCCGTGAGCCGGTTTCTGTCGGCTGTGCCAGTTCATGTCAAGATGCTTCCACGGGGGTATCCAAGAGGCTACAAGACTAAGATGTATTGTCAGTGAAGCAAGTTTTGTACGTTTGAGTCGTCGCATTGCTTTGGTGAGTCAGCTGTGGGAGGTTTCTTGGATGTCCGTGTGCGCAAGCATTTCTGTGGAAAGACAGGCTATTGGCACGACAGCGTGTGCAGTTGATCAGGTATGCAGCATGTATACATGCGTACATGAATACCTTCATATATACAGTCATGCGTACCGTCGGATATGTCGGTAGGCAGCAAGAGGGACAGAGAGGCATAAGTTTGCCGCCTCCGCCAGGTGTAGAAAGTCAGTAGCACATATCAACACCCATCAACACCCCCGACGATCGAGCCCCATGTCGAAGAGCCTTCAGGAGGATTTTACTTACAAACAAGATTTCCGCATGGCCGCATTTCAAAATTCGTGTTAGTTTAGGTCGAGGAAACGGCAGACAGTGGGCCGCCGGTAGCATCAAGTAGGCAACGGCTCGTGAGCAAAACCCTCGTCCTCATAGTGCAGTGACGGCGCGTCACAAGACCCTGCTCGGTCGTGACCCTGAAACCGAGGCCCTAAATCTTGCGTGGTCTGTAATGCAAGTTCTGAGGTTACCACCAACGATGTGAAGCGGGAGCTATCTTTCAAGAGGCGGCAGCGGCAGGCCCGACTAAAAAGAGCCGTTTTTGAATTTGCGCCACTCCTAGCAAATGTTTTGAACTTGGAGAAGGCATGTGCTTCAGCGGAAAGAAGACCAAGATAGGGGGCCCGAATATGAAGCCAGGGTTACCGAGTTCATAAAAAAGATACATACTTCACAAGTACCAGAAAGCCCTTGAAAACCCTCGTGCACCAATAAATGACTGTTGACTCTCAGCAGACCTTCAGCTTCTGTCCCAGTCTGGCCCAATGCCGACAGAAGAGACGCTGGCGGCCTCAAAGCCACTTGCAAGCTAAGTTCACCCCCTCCCGGTTTCAGACTGAGCACCAGAAGCTCCGCTTGCCCCAAAGATGTAGCAGGTTTTGCTTTTGGGGCCATCTTGATAGTGACTGATAGTGCTAGGAAGCCCTTTTCAGAACCCTAGCTGTTGTGTCGCGATGAGGCTGATTGCCTCGTGATTGTTTTCCGCAGGGTAGTAATGTCCCAAAGTTCGTCTAAGCACTGATGTCCGAAGACACCCCATTGCTGTGATCCTGAGGATGCACATGCTCAAGAAGAACCCCTTCGAAGGCCCGTTTGGGCACAGAGCTTTCTGGGGTGCGCAGATGCCACAAGATCCCATCGTCATGGTCCGTCCTGGATCGCTCCCGCAGCCCGAACGAACTTGTTAGATCCTTAAAACTTCCCAGGCAGCAGGTCTCTTTCGACTGGGCTCTGGGCGGGAATCAAACGCAATGCTGCTCTCATTCAAGTCAGGAAGACGGAGAACCCAGATGAGCCCCGTGTTTTCCAAGCAATACAAGGTTCAGATTTCGGAAGGCTCTCGGCCCTACGCCCTTCACCTCTCGAGCTCTTCCCTTCCCTGCATTGTTGCCCTCCCTGTGCCAGAGCAATTCGATGCGGCTTCGAAGAAAGGCTGCATTGAGCCCCAAAGCTGCAAGAACTCGAAGCCCAGCTTCGGCTTGATGAGGGTCGTCTCGCATTACAGGGGCCTTGAGATGCCTTGAGTCTGCTTCAGTTGTGGTCCGACGTGGCTCTGGCCCCAACATGCCGGTGCTGTTCACTTTCAAGCAAGGTCCTGCGCTGATGGGATGAAAATGATGTTCTCTTTCTCAGCGGATAGCAACGAGCCCTTCGTCAACCGCATCGCTGGAGGCGAGACTTCGGGGTTGCACGCGTCTGCTCTACGCGTGATACACGGAAAAACGACTGTTGGAACTTACCGAATGCCCACTATCCTGGAGATTAGCCTTCCAGGGACTCGTTCCAATGTTTCTCGAGCCATGCGTATCCGTATCTGTGCTTTTCATATTGCCTCTGGGCATGTGGTCATTTGCATACCCACTAACTATGGAAGTTTTCCTTTGTCGACACCATTACGCGACATGTCCAAACCTTAGCGCCGTTGCTCCCTGTGCTCTAGACTCTGGAGCCTGCTCCAAAGCAAAACGGACGGCTCCAGCAGCCAGGTGTTGTCTTCAAGACACTTGCCATGATAGCCATTGTTGCCAATGCGGTTTACCTCGGCTGGGCTGCCGACCAAAACGTCCGCTGGCGGCATCTGGTTTTGGGGCTCCCTCGTGGTGTCCCATTTTCGTTGTGTTGAGGTTACCGACTGAAAGTGAGCAGTTGGACACAGGGCACCGTTTTTCCTGAAGGTTCTTGCAGAGCCTAGATGAAGATGTTACATAAGCTTGGCACGTTGTGAAGCGGTTTCGACGCTTCAACTTCCGGTCGTGGAGCCGTCTCCCTGTGGTGCTAGCAGAGATTTGAGGGCGACTGACACTGTATGCTACTCCATAGAGTAGACAGGCCTTCGGGCCCCTATACGCACGACTATATTTCATGGGGAAAAAACGGACAAGTTATTTCTGGGAGGTTCACTGTTCCAGAAGTCGCCGATGAGTCCACAGCTCAGGTCCGGAACAGCTGGCGTCGACTGGAGGGCACGCCCAAACACTCTATTTCGAGGGATCCAGACATCGTGGCCTCGCTATGGATTTACGGTTTAGGCTTGAGTGAGGGGGGCGGAGAAAACTAGCTGAGCTTTAGCCTTCACCAAACCTGCGCAGCTCCAGGTGCCCCGAGGAAGCAGGTTCGGCAGGTGTGGTTTTTTTGCGTCTTGTAGGGTTGGTCTGAGCATGGGGCCGCGTTTGATTGCGGATATTCAGACCCACCAAATGCAGAACGTGTGGTTCAAGCACGAAGAACAACGCAGAACAGCCGACCCACTCTCTGAGAGCAAGACATGCGTCACGAGCCCTTTTAGCTGAGGCCTTCTTCTGCTGCTCAGCTGCATCCGATCCCAGCAACATGTTGTCCGGGGAGTTCTTCGGTCCATCCATGCATCAAGTTGGTCAACTTAAGCCATACCGCGAGTCTTCAGCTACTAGAACATGAGCTATCCTTGGACAAAGCAGCACGCATGTCCAAATCCCTCGACGATCATTTAATCGAGGCTGGTTTGCGGTGGAACTGCTGATCCGCTTGGCGGCAGAGAGGTTGGACTTCGTTGCAGGTGCGCTCCATGACGAAATGTGATGCAGTGTGGTTGGCGATGCTTTCGACCCGAGCTTATGGTATACGTGTGTATACGTGGTTCGATGGGAGTGGTTCAGAAACATTGCGCATGTACTTGCTACCCGTCCTATTCTTCAACGAGTTCACATTCGAAATCCAAGAGGCCCGTACAGCATCCCAAGACCGTCCAGATTTTTCAGGTTCAAGGTTCGGCCCGACCCTGCGGTGAGAAATTCACGAGAATTGGAAGATCTTGATCTGAGTCTTATGAAGTCGGGTTTCCGGGTGCGGTCAAGCGTGTGCGTGATCGTATTCCTGCCAGGGCAGCAGGTTTATCACTGAGCCTCGTCTAGGTTCTTGTTACGGAATTTAGTTTAAGTTACCTCAACGGAGACAGCCGATGTCTTGAAGCGGCCAGGGGACGATGCGTGGTGGAATCTTCTCGACTGCTTTCTGGTCGCGGACACTCAGATGGCACTGCTCAGTTCCACCAAAAGAGCTTCGGAGGTCAGAAGCATGAGCCTGTTAGGTTTGAAGCGCGGTCTTGGCAGTTCCTTGCTGCCGCACTCGGGTTTACGTCGACGCACAGTACAGGCATAGGACGGGAGAGGTTCACGAGCCCCCCGATTTGAGAACCTCAGCTGCCATGATGTGGCCAGGAATTTCCCGGCTGGGATACCTGCAGCGTTAGCAAAAGACAAGCATCTATAGACAAAACGGTAACTAAAGTACCAAGTACCCGAAGTTCTTGAGCCCTGGAGTCTTGAGCCGTATGTCTAGTAGCATTGGCAATCGTAGTTGCAATCGGAGGCTGCTTCCGAATCACGAATTCGGGGTTGTGTTAGCAAGAAGCAGTCTCAGGAGCTGTGCCACAACTTGAGCTCGGGCTCAGGCGTGTGGGATCGGGTAGCCACGCCATGTCCGTTGAACTGGAAGTTGGACTGCTCAGTGGGAGGAGCGTGCAATTGAAAGCCGACCTGGACGAGACGCTGGAAGCTGTGAAGCGGCGGGCACAGACTGCACTGGCAGTTGGCACACAGGGCCGACTGCTGGACTCCTCAGGACAGCTCCTGGACGGGCAGAGAAGCATCAAAAAGGCAAGGCTTCAAGATGGGGGCATGCTGACCCTGCAGGTCAATCATACGACTTTGGGGTCCAACCTGAACGCCTTCGCCTCTATCCTCGCCGATGGTTCTGTGGTGACCTGGGGTGATGCTGCCTTTGGGGGTGACAGCACTGCCGTGCAGGAGAAGCTGAAGAGTGTGCAGCAGATCCAAGCGGCAGACGACGCTTTCGCTGCCATCCTGGCTGACGGATCTGTTGTCAGTTGGGGCAATGCCGAATGCGGCAGTGACAGCAGTGCTGTTGAGGGAAAGTTGCAAAATGTGAAGCAGATCCAAGCTTCGGCTGAAGCTTTTGCTGCTATCCTGACCGATGGATCTGTCGTTACGTGGGGCTGTGCTAGGTTTGGCGGTGACAGCAACGACGTCCAGCAGCAGCTCAAAGCTGTACGGCAGATCCAGGCCACCATTGGTGCGTTTGCGGCCATTCTGGCGGATGGCTCCGTTGTGACCTGGGGCGACCCTGAGTTTGGCGGCGACAGCAATGCCGTTCAACCACGGCTGCAGAATGTGCAGAAGATACAGGCCACCGACAATGCCTTTGCTGCCGTTCTTGCGGATGGATCTGCTGTAACTTGGGGCGACGGCAGATACGGAGGTGACAGCCGAGATGTGCAAGGGCGGCTGATGAACGTTCTGCACATCCAATCCACAGGTTTCGGAGCTTTTGCTGCCATCCTGGCTGATGGATCTGTCGTGACTTGGGGCGATGTCGATGCCGGCGGTGACAGCAGTGCTGTCCAAGGGCAGTTGAAAATGTGAAGCAGATCCAAGCCTCGGCTGAAGCTTTTGCTGCCCTCTTGACGGATGGATCCGTCGTGACCTGGGGTGATGTTGCCACTGGAGCTGACAGCAGTGGCTGTCAAGAGCACCTGAACAACGTGCAAGAACTTCAGGCAACTTCCTGGGCTTTTGCTGCCATTCTTGCCGATAGATCTGTTGTTGCTTGGGGTGACGACCGGTGTGGTGGCGACAGCAGCGGGGTCCAACGGCAGCTCAAGGACGTGCAGCATATCCAAGCATGCGAAACAGCTTTTGCGGCTATCCTCGCCGATGGATCTGTCGTGACCTGGGGTGAAGCTGCATCGGGCGGTGACAGCAGTGCGGTTCAAGAGAAGCTTAAGCATGTGCAGCACGTCCAAGTTGTCTATACGGGAGCTTTTGCCGCCGTCCTGGCAGATGGATCTGTCGTGAGTTGGGGCTCGGCTGGCTGTGGTGGTGACCGTTCCGCTGTACAGAATCAGCTTCTATGAGCGCAAAGTGACCCCATATTGGCTTCTATTTCTTGCAGGGTGCTGTCTTGGGCTTTACTGTGTAGAACTTGCCCCTCAACCCCATATGTTTAGTCTCGAAACCAAATCCTCAGCCCCAAACCCGGACCCCAAACCTTGAATGGATTTCCACTCCCGGAGATATCCGCCAAACACATGTCGACCCTACAAAACCCGCAAGCCGCATATCGTCAAACACGGAAGCCCCAGGCCCTCCACCCCAGAGCCTATAGCCTCATCTCCAACTCTGACGACGCCGTGCTTTTGCATCGTAGATCCTCGCCTCGGTTTCTAGGCGTACTCAAGGTATTTTCGTATGTTAGAAGGCATGAACCCTTTAGGCCTTTGGGCTTTACAGTGTAGGAGTTGCCCCAAATCCCGATGACCGCCCTGCACTTTAGACCCCCCCCCCCCACGCCACCCGAGAGATTCGCCACCCCTGCAGGACCCAAGCCACCCATCGGTCAGGCCCCAAGCCTCCCCATCGATCACGCCACACATGAGGGATCTCGAGCTCCTAGGCCGTAAGTAGTTGCTCCTCGAATCGCATCACTCAGGCTCGAGCTCTTTAGAAGAACTTGTGTCATGGTTTTTGTTTGGGCAAACCATGTGGGATGGTGAAGTAACCCCGCGCCTTTAGGTTTAGTGTTGGCATGTCCTTGTTGGGGTTTGGTTTGTTTTCTCTGGTAAAACGACAAGAGGACAATAAAACAATAACAAAACGATAACAATAGCTTCATGGAAAAACGATAGGACGAAACAAGAACGACAACGACGTTCAGGGATAAGGATGCCTACAGGGGGGCCCTTATACAACCCCATGTGATTCGGTTGAGATTGCTTCCCTCCAAAACCCGAGCAAACCGCAAGACCCTCGAACTCAGCAAGTCCACGCTCAGGAATCCTTCGTGACGTTGGTTTGGGACGTGCCGTCCGGCTTCAGCTTCCTCCGCATCCTCAGAGCTCCTCGGAACTCGCAAAAACCTGGAGTCTTGCGGTTGTGTCAGCCGGGATTCGGATTCTTTTCGAAGGTCATCAGCTTCGGGCAGATGCTTCAATGCTAGTCTTGACCTTCAGCCTGCGAAGGTGTTCCGACTCATACGGATCGTCCGGCTGGTCCGCACGGTGCAGGCCACCTGAACGGACTGTTGGACTTCAAGCGTGACAGTTACACAAGCCTTTCACTTTCACATTCGTGGAGTTTGGATGCCTGCCCCGCGGCCCTTGGCCCAGCGAATGCAGATTCCAGCATGGCGCAGGGAGAAATCTGGGGTTCATACGGTTTCATCCAGTGCTGGCGTCCCGGATTGATTGTGGGCGAGGGAGGAAGTCAAGACGGGAGTAGAAATGGCCGCGACGCGCAACTCACGGTTTTGGCAATGATAAAGCAGTCGAGCCGACATGCGAGTTGGAGGAACATGACGGGAAGGCAGCGAACTCAATGTGGAAGGTTGACGATGCTGCGATGCCACAACGGGCCCCCAACGCAGTCATGTGGCTGTATAAGTTTTTGATAGTCTCCTTTCGCTAGATCTTTTCCCCATTATACAATCCATACAGGGGAAGAACTATGGTGTATAAAGCCAACAGTTTCAGCTCCTAACCATCGGGAACTGTCGGGAACCTCTCGCGAGTCTACCTTCCTTCAGGCCCTGAGAAAGCTGAGTGTCTTGGCGAAGTCCAGCCGAAGGGGGAGGCAACCCACTGGTAAGAATTTGGGAAGGTGTCCTGCACATGCCTTATCCTGTCCCTAGTCCTGTCATTCGATACCCTCAGCCCTAACCACTCGCCGTCGGGTTTCTTACCCCTCGGCCGAAGGGCGGGGCTCATGGAGGTCTACATGCGGTACAGTATCTAGTCTAGCACACGTAACAGCAAGAATCTTAGGTCCGAGCTTAGGGCCTATGAAATGTAGCGAAGAAGCTAGGGCCTAGATGCTCGGTTGAGCTCAAATGTATCGAAGAAGCAGCCATCCCAGGATTGTGTTGCTTAGAGGGCCTCGGCTCCGTGAGCTTAGGGCCGGAGCACATGGAAAGTACCTTGCAGTAAGCCGCTTGCAAGTACTGAAAGCAACTCTTGGAGAGGAGAGGAGAGGAGGCCGCTTCCCCTAGTTTTCTTCAGTCCTGTAGCTGGCCTTGGCTAGGCTCTTCTTTGCCATCAGATGTCCAGCCGTGCTCCGAACCAGAAGATTCCCACACGGAAGCCCAAGCTACCCACATCCAAGGAACGATGATCTTCGCCATGATCAACTCCCTTGCAGACCTTCTCTGGGCTCTCCAAGTGGTCTTCCTAATTGCACCCCGGCTCGGGCGCTTCATGGGGTCTGGGCCCCGGGCTTGGGTATTTGGGATGAGAGTGGCCTGCTGTATTGCTGACAGATAGCTCTCTTGCTTCGGTATCTTCTGAGGCCAACTCCCACAGAGCTGCTTTGGTCCCTCATTTAGAGAGAGACGCACAGCCGTAACTTCTTCGGACAAACCTGCGGAGTCCGGAAACGGACGCTGGATGCCGAAGGTCCTTCCACGATTGTTGTGACTATAGTGGTATTGGTACAATCAGTATTATGGCTGTTGTGGCTGACTGTGTTCATCCGTGGCCAGCTACTTAACTGCACAGTGCCACCTACATCAGTGGCTTAACAACGGGGTTTGGGGGTGGTGGGAGCGTGGAGAGTTTTTGGGCACAAGATTCAAAATTCAAAACACCCCTAAATCACCCCAAGCCACAACAGCAAATTGAATTCTCCAACAGGGACTCCAAGCACAGAAGCATCATAGCAAAGCTCCTAAACCTTCATTCACCTCAACTGTCGTTCCTGGGGCCAACACACCGACTGGACACCTTGGGCACAAAAAGCCTTCGCCCCTGTCCCCGAAAGTAAATTTGGTACTTCAGTCAAATCATGCCTGCCCTGGCTCATTCAGCGGCAGCCAATTAAACTACCGACGGCAAAATGGAAGGGAAGTATACATGGGGTGTATTGGGGTGTATTGAAGGTATACTCAAGGAAGCTGTGTTAAAAGGCGTAATAAGGCTCGTTGTTGTTCACAGTGTAGGAGTTGCTGCAGAACCATGCGGCAAGGAGCTTGATCAAAGCATGACCTTTGCATGAACTCTACCTGGATCAAGAAGACAGTCCAAACTAATATCCTTGTGCTGAAGGTGTTTGTTTTCAGCCTGGTGTTCAACAACGCACCTGTGGCAGCAAGCTAGGAGGAGGATCTACGGTGGCGTTCGGACTGGTAGGTCCTGGCTTCTCACGGCTCGAATTGCACAGAAGCTCCGATTCTGTTGGTATGGTTTGCCGATGAGCGAGTCGTCGAAGGGTTCCTTCGCCAGGCAGTACAGGTCTCGGGGACTAGGCGAACGTCTTGGTCTTTGCCCCGGGTTGGTGTAGACGCAATATCGTGTAGGGTTGGTGATGTCTGATGTCGCTTCTTCGTAGAAGAAGGTGCTATCTGATTACAATTGAAATATACTGAACATATTGTATACGAGTGCTGAGTCCAGCAAGATTCGAGGCAGTGCTGGAGCCTTTGCTCACGCTTCAGGACGCGAGGAAACTACCGGCCCTTCCCGCAAGGGCACAAAAGCCGGGACCGTCTCTGAACTCAACCAGATCCTCACACGTGAAACCCTGAGAAGGAACAGGCCCCAATGCTGGTAGGCGAATCTATCGCAGCTGAGGCAGTGGCAGCACATTTCGATGACATTCAGGCTCCTCGCATTGTTGAAGCTCACTGTTTTTCGTGGTGATCTCCGAGAGCGGGTATCATGTTTCAGTAGAAGCATGGGGAGCTGTCAACTTGAAGTTGCAGCGCATCTACGGATTTTTACTCGTAACCGCCCTCAAAGAAACCAGGACCTCTGGTGGTTGTGAGGCTGGTAGCTTACGGCGCTGACCTCCCTCTGAAGTTGAACACAGGCTCTTCATCCCCCAAAATGCCGGAGCCTGGAAACCATTTTCTATTCATCTATTAATGGCCTTTGAACCCGTACTCAGCTCTCAACCAAGGATTGACTTCTCAACCTTCAGTTCTGCCCGTGAGCCCTCAATTCGAATCACTTGTATCTGAGTTCGTCCTTAGACCCGACAATCTCTGCGCCCCTGGCACCAGAAACCAAACGGGATGACTCCGTTTTCACGTGCCGAACACGTGAAGATGCGCAAGCAGTTCAACACGGCTTAACTCCACCCCCAAGCCAGTAGAAAATTGATGTATCTAACTCGCTGCAGCCCAAAGCCAGCGCTTGCAGATCGAAAACCCTGCGCATGCCAACAAGTTGGAAGATGCGATTGAAGTCAACAAATATTATGGCACGCTGTTTCGCAACTTGGTTGCAAGCCCCCTATTAAGTCGGTGGTAACGTTGTCCAGCATCATGCAGGTTGGCTAGATCAGCTTCACGACAATCCGTTAAGGCGATTTTTGGCTTCTGTGTGTCTCCAAATCCTGACCTGGTTCACATACTTCGACCCGAGTGCTTGGCATCAACAGGTCTGAAAGAGGTGAAAAGAGGTTTGAGCACATGCTAACCGTTTTCATATTGATAAACATTTCTCGGGAACAGGATTTGCAGCTCCGTTTACACGGGAGCATCCAGCCCTCGGTAAGTGTCTAATGTTTTGGTTGGGGGCCAAGGAAGCCTCAGCCACATCAGAACTAGTGACAGTGAGGGCTTAGGAGTTTAGGGGGGTAGTTTGGGGACCTGGTTCTTTGGCACTTGTGTCTGCAATCTGCACTGTAGATCCTAGGTGGGGTTGAGTTTTGTTGCTCGTGGAAGGGCAGGTTTTTGAGGATGTGTGGTTCAGCCAGCCAGTCCAGCCCTAGCCCAGCCATGCCCAGCCCAGCCCAAACCCAGCCCAACCCCAGCCCAGCCAAGCAGAGAGAGAAAACAAGTCGGGTGGGTTCAATGCCGGGGTTTTGGATCCGCGCCTACACCTGGGAAAGAGAGGGAGAGAGAGAGAGAGAGAGAGAGAGAGAGAGACAAGTCTCACACGTCAGACCGCGGATCCGGTGCGCACACGTGCGCGGGGGGGGGGGGGGGGGGGTGCTCCCTCTTGTCCGAGTGCAAGCAAGAGAGAGAGAGAGAGAGAGCGGTGTAGGGGGTAACACCCCTGCACCATAACCCTGGCGAAAGAAGGAGAGAGAGAGAGAGAGAGTTAGTTGGCTGAGTGCAAGCGCGAGAGAGAGAGAAAGAGAGAGAGAGAGAGAGAGAGAGATGGCTGAGTGCAAGAGAGAGAGAGAGAGAGAGAGAGAGAGAGAGAGAGAGAGAGAGAGAGAGAGAGAGAGAGAGAGAGCGAGAGAGAGAGAGCGAGCGAGAGAGAGAGAGAGAGAGAGAGGGAGCAAGAGAGAGAGAGAGGGAGCGAGAGAGAGAGAGGGAGCGAGAGGGAGCGAGGGAGCGAGAGGGAGGGGGGAGGGAGAGAGGGGGGGAGAAAGAAACGGAGTAAGCAGGGGAGGGAGGGGAGGGGAGGGAGGGAGGGAGGGATGCAGCGGGGGAGGCTGTCGCAGGAACTTAGGACAATCCCCAATCCTTTTAACTGTTACGAGGCCCCACTTCCTGTCAACGGACCCGTTACAGTCAACGTCTGACAGCTTGCCACCGGCGCGATCTCAAGCCATGCACTCCTTGAACACTTCGAACGAAGTATACCCTAGCTCCCGGTCGGAATATCTATCGAATACCTCCTGTCATGTTCGCATCGCAGTTGTGTGGAATGCATAATATTGTCTCCCCTCTCAGGTTCTATGGTCTCGCTGTGGAGCGTGGCCCGGCTGTGAACGCCTAGACAGCGCAAGTAGTAGCGAGAGTACTGTCAGCAGTGTCCTACACATCAGTAGAATACGAGAAGTGGCTGTTGCAATCGACTGCGGTGTTGCAGCATCAGCAGTTCGCGATGGTTGGGGTTGTTTTTGAGCTTCCGGTGCTTGTTGCCGCTCTTGCGGTTTCGCAGTTTGGGCTTTGCCCAGTGCCAGGTCTTTCCGGTTGGGATTTGGGAGGGGTCCAAAGTTGGAGTCGGAGTGCAGGGTTCGAGGCACGCGGGCTTCCAAAAGGTACTTCTGGTGCGTTGCAATAGTCTCAACATGTGCTTTGGAACTTCGGGTTGGTGCCAGAACCTGCGAGGCAGTCAGCGGTGGCAACGACTGGTATCAGTACGCAGAAGTTCTCCATGGAATCAGCAGCCCGGGCGGCACAGGATTCCGCACGCAAGTCGGCACCTGCAGCGGGTAGTTGTTCTGCTTGGCGACCCCGGTCACAGAATTGGAAAGGGACAGGGCAAGCGTTTTTTTTCTTTTTGAGCTTGGTAACTGCCCGGTTAGTTTCTTCCAGAGGTGTGAGAACGTTAATGTTCAGGCTAATGCCGAGAAACCTGCGGCCGATAATTTTGGAACTCTGCTATATTCTGCTCCTTTCATGGAAAAGCTGGATGCCGGGAAAGAATGTGCAGGACGGATTTCCTGAGATATACAAGTGTCTGCAAGTGGATTGTGAGGCCATGCCTCCTACGGTACACCACAGTTAGACTTGAGACCTCCACCTGCCGAGACCTGGGGGACTTCTATTTCCTCATGTTCAACTTCTACATTGCCTTCTGCGTTGTCGGACTCTTCAACGTGGTGACAGGCGTCTTCGTCGCCGCTTGGACTGCTTGTCAGTAGCGATCCTCCAGCGGAGTCTCGAGAGGAGGAGCTGGATCAGCTGGCAAAAGGAGAGAGCGAGAGAGAGAGAGAGAGAGAGAGAGAGGGATCTTGTACGTTACACTACAAGAATGATCAACCGGGGGAAAAGAAAACAAAACACTTCCACACTCCTCCAAAGTCCCCACATAATATGGGGGCCCTCATGCCCGGCGGAAGAAGAAAGAGGGATCTCGAGAAGTCGTAGCACCGCAGCAGATTCACAGGTTCGCAGAAGATGCTACGAAACAACACCCGACCAAAAACAGAAGAGTCTGGGATCTCAATCTATGTGCTCCTAGGGGTGAGCAAGAGCATGAGCATTCTCGCGTTGACCCTCAGTCCGGCACTGCAGGGTTTTAGACTTGTCTGCCGGGACCGAAGTTGAAGAGTCTGAGATCCTTGTTCCTGCAGTCTAGAGATGTCTAGAGCTCATAACCGAGCATGTTGATACAGTAATCTAACTGAGAAATCTCTAACGGTACCGTATAGGATTTCTACAACTTGAAGCGTTTGCACAACATCTGAGTGGGAAGCGGGGACAGGTATTCCCGAGCCAAGCAGATTTTTCAGAAATATGTGAAGCAATTCCTTACACAAGGACAGCGCGGTCTGTACCCGAACCGAAGATGAGATCGTGCAGGCCGATGTAGAGCTGAAGCTTGGGGCTCTGGGTTAGGCTTGGGTGCTTGGGATCAGACATAAGGGAATGCTGCCGGAACTTTGATGATCCGCATCTCATTGAAGCGCAGGGCGTATCTCTTGTGGCTAGAGTCGGTTAGAGCCTGCGCAGCCAGACCCAAATGTATGACTGAGTGAGTGATCCCATCTTTCAGTATATCTCCAGGGCTACTTGGACGAGATGCGATCGATGACTGAGTCCATCAAGGGCTTCCTCAAGAAGGCTGACAAGGCCGGCTCAGCAAATCTGCTGTTCTTTTCACGGCGATCCAAATGGGAGTTTCCGAGGATTAGAGGTACCTTATTTTGGGTCCGTATAATTGATAAGGCTCCTGCCAACATATGATGCAGGGCTGCCACACCCCCCTCCCCCCCACCCCATGGTATCCTCCTCCCTTCCCCTCCGCCCCCCCTGTGGTGTGGGGCCTGTGGTGGTACTCTTTTTGCCGCCACGTTCTTATGTGTTACTCGTTGTCTTCCTTCTTGCTGTGGCACCGTTGATACTGCTCATGATGTTGTGCTGCTCAATCATACCATGCTCAACATCATCCTTGTCGTCGTCATCGTCATCATTAATACCTTCAAAAGACTATCTGCCACCATCACCATCGCCATACAACCCTCATAATTCAGCATTGCAATTCATGTCAGATGCTGGAAACTACAGAGCCGATTGCCGCTTGCCGCACACGGCAGGGCATAGTGCGACACTCCCCATCCGCGCACAAGGTCAAGAAACGGGCAAGGTGCTGGCCGGGGGCGGGACTGGGCGCAGGCCGGGTGGACGTGCAGCAGCAGGGCAGGGGGGGCGGGGGGGGATACCATTGGGGGGGGTGGTGGCCCGGGACCCGAGAGCATGAATTCGGTCCCCTACTTTCGGAAATTCTAGGGGCTGCGCCCACGGGCGGGCAGCGCAGGTAGAAGCCTGGAGCAAGGCCACGCACCTGTCCCTTGTCATTGTGTTTGCCCCTCCCCTTGCCCTCTCGGTCCTCGTCGGCCCTCCATGTAGCCCGCACCCGCCATCCGCCGCACCCCGCTGATGCTAATGATGCGCGCCCTTGGGGGGTCCACAACGCACTCAAAGAATTGGCAAAACATCGCCTCGCGCCACAAAGCCGTTTGCGGGCGCCCGAGTATGATGCTCGCCGGCTCGCCTCCTGGGATCCTCCACGGCAGCCCCGAAACCCGGCATAGCCTGAGGAATGGCTGCGCAACGCGTGGGCGTTCCGAGTGGAGGGCCCGCGCGGCCCGATGGAGACAAGAAGGTCCGATGAAGCAGGGTCGGCGGCACTGGTGGTCGTGGCTTTTTGCTTCGCATAGCTTGAATGGCTTGGCCGAGCCAAGCTCGGAACTCACAGGATGCAAGCGCTCGGAGACCGAGCGCTGCCCGATTTAAGAGCCTCCGGCTCAAGCCGCCGACCCGCAGGAGTCAAAGGAAAGGACGTCAGGGTCTGGCGTCGCGTTGTCTTAAAGTTTGGGCGACTCATTAAATTCTCCAACCAGAGTGGAGATTATTGAGTTGAGGGTGTAAAGATTGGCGACAACCTTCAGTCGAAGGTTTAATTAATTCCACTACTCCAGAACCGAAACTCAAACCAAATATCCCAAGTGTTTCAGCACGGAATCTTGGTGCATGTTCGGTCTGGACCTGCTAGTAGCATCCTGGCAGGGTTATGGTACATTAAAACACATACCCTAAAAATAGCCGCCGTACCTTGACACGTGCGCTAGGATGCTTTGGGACTTGTGGGTGTGCGGTGGGGTGTGTTTATGGTATTTGTATATACAGGTCAGGTTGGATTTTCGTGCAGGTCCATCACATCATCAAATCACCCGAACCATTTTTTCCCCACGGTGGCCACAACGGGACTACATCAAGCCTGCCGGGCCCCCCAGAGTGCAGGGTTTAGGGTTTGCGGTATTTGGGTTTTAGGTTAGGTTTTTCCTGGGTTTTAGGTCAGGTTTTTGTCCAGTAGTTAGGCTCGGGTTCTCGCCCTTCGTGGCGTTAGTTAGGCTCGGGTTCTCGCCCTTCGTGGCGTTAGTTAGGCTCGGGTTCTCGCCCTTCGTGGCATGAGTTAGGCTCGGTCGGGTTCTCGCCCTTCGCGGCGTTAGATAGGGTCGGTCGGGTTCTCGCCCTTCGTGGCGTTAGGGTAGGGTTGTTAGGGTAGGGATTGGGGCGTCAGTTAGTTAGAAAGTTTTTGGGTGTCGGGTGTTAGGGCTAAACCGTAAACCCTAAATATTCGGGTCCCCTATTTTCGGAAACTCCCAAATCCCCACGGACCGGTTTCCTGTTCCCGAATCCCGGGTTTTCCGCAGGATGCCTCAGGCACGCTGACCTACGAGGAGTTCCAAGCGCACATGGCAAATCCTGTCGCCGGGAGCCCCAAAGGTTCCACCTTGCGCATGGTTCAGGGCCTCACGGCCAGAGACCCTTTCAACCGCGTCGAGGCCTCAAATAGCCCCAGACTTTGCACGAAACACACTCCTCAGCCAGGTCTTGCTTCTGAGTTCACGCTTTCCTGAATGAGGTGAAGGCGTACTTTTCGGGACTCGACATCGATCCGGATGAAACAAAGATCATCTTCACCTTGCTGGACTCCGACTGCAATGGTGACATCGACATAGAGGAGCCCTGGCTGTGGGATCTACTTCGGTAGAGTTTGGAGCCCTGTAGTGGTACGTACAATCTTGACTGCTGCGTGTAGGGGGCCCTCATTCTGCTACCAGTAGTTCGTGGTCTTGGAGCACGCCCGAGCACCAAAAAGAGAGGATCCCAGCGTTTGGATTAGGGTTTGGGCTGGCATCAGGCTCCTTTCTTGTTGAAGCTTTCAATGCAAGTGTCTTGTTGGAAGTTTACAAATTTCAGATGTAGTCTACTTGCTGCTCTGCACTGCCAGCCTTGTCCTCCAAGGAGTTTGTGCACGGCACGATGAAGTTGAAAGGTTATGCTGCCTGGCTGGAATGTGTGACGACTGCTTGCGGGTGAGCATGAGGTTGTGGTATGCAGTGACGGAGCTTTGTGTCCCTCGTCTGTGTCCCTATAACTCCTGAAGTGGGGGTGTTTGTTGCTTGACGACAAGGTACCACTGCTTGTGATTCCGATGGGCGTGCCGCATTTGGACGGAAGTGCTGCCTTAAGCTACTTTAGCCGAGGCGACGAAGCTGGACATCATGGCATTGATGTACGATACAACGCAACCCTGCCGGAAGGTTCCGGGTGATGGCTTAGGAGTTTCAAGTTGTGTTGTCTCGCGGATGTCGGGTTTGAGGGCGCTTTTTGGTCCTGCGGCGGCCCAGGAAGCAGAGCATGAGGTTCGAAGCCCTTTGCGACTATTTGGAGAGCGCCTTGGTCAGGGCAGGAATTGGCTGTGTTCTCGTGAGCATGTTCTTCATAGAGGTAACTGCGTATGCAGGCGAACAGCTGTCAATGCACTGATCATGCGTATCAGCCTGCTCTAGAATCTGCGGGGCCCAAAAGAAGCCTCGAAGCGACACAGACTTTGCAGGGTTATGGACCGGAGGGTTCATTGGTCTTTCGGGTTTTACGAGCCAACTCATGCTTGTGGAGCGCGCGGAGCATGCAACTTCAGTTCTTATGTCGTTTGGTTCGTGGGCTAGTTACATTACGACTGGGGTGGGACAGTGACCCCCATGATCGGGAGATGTTCCATCTGAGGTCAGATCTCTGATATTGTCGAAGCCCTCCCTGTCGAGCAAACTGACAGCAGGCGCGTGTCTGCCTTCCGTGCACTAACCTAAACAGGATCTGAAATCAACGACGTGTGCATAGCATTGCATAGCCTGTTGACACAACTTTTGGGTCACCGGGGTCACAGGAAAACCCTCAGGATGCGCAGCCACAAGCTTCACCGCATGAGCCATCATGGTACATGACGTGCGAATCAAGGGCCCAATGCAACAAGACCTTTCTGCCCCGTGCCCACCAACAGTGGCAGGCGTCGAAGTGTTTGACCAGAGGCAGGAGACGAGTTCGTGTTTTGTTATAACGGTTCAGGAATCGCCTTCAGGGATTTAGCAGAAATATTTGTAATTAAATAGTTTCTCAAGCATGGCGCTTTGGGCTGCGAAAGAAGGCCAACATGTAATGCAGATTTGCACAGCTCTGACAACAGTTCAGCAGGCTCTTTTTGGGCCTCAAACCCTACAGCATCATAGCCCGCGTCGGAGGAGCAAGGGAGAAGCCGAGGAGCGTGTTTAATCTCGGAGTGTGCAGGGCGATGGCACCTGTTCAGTCCAGGTGCATATCATGTCAGGGATTAAGCCTGTGGATTTCCTACCCACCTTACCCGACGCCAACCTGAAGCACACTAGCGATCCTGGATCAGCAGTCCCAGCCTCTGCCAAAGCAGCATAAATCCCGCTACCCTATGATTTCTGCAAGCTCCAACAGATAAGCACAACATATGTGCAGGGTGGTGGCGTGAGGCCAAAGTGTGATGCCGAAGGAGATATGCCTTGTATTCTCAAGCTCAGAGCTCTGCTCTCTCTCATGAGGACCCGTTTTATGTGATTGGAGCTCAGCTTCGGAGCCAAGGCACAACTCCTTGAGTTGTACAATACATCAGACGAGCCAGTGGCTAACTCCGACCTACATTTCGCAGATCCAAATCTCGGACGGCACTCTCGGAGTCCGAAGACGTTTCCAACTCCTTCGGTTTCGGGTTCAGGGTTTTCGAGGCCGACGGGTTCCATGAGTTTCCCCAAGAACTTTGACGTGCCAGCCGCAGAGGCAAAAGGTTGCCAAAAAGCCACACCCCCCGCAAAAACAAGACTCCTTTGACGAGAAAGAGGTTCAACCTCAAACCAGGAGGATTGAATTTCGAGGTTTCGGAGTGCAATACACGTGCACGAGAGCCCAGGCTTAGCCATGAGAGTATTAAAGGTCGTGGCGCACAAAGGCTCCAAGGTGTTTCTCTCTACAGGTTGCGTTTGTACTCGCAGTGATGCTCAGTCTCAGTCACTCTCACCTTAGCACACGTTCCTCCAACACAATTACTATTTTGGGGGTTCCCTGTAATATAATAGGCCCCAAAACCCCATTCTAATCATTAAGGTCCCTATATTAATCCTGGCATTGCGTGCCGCGAACGAAGATTTGGAGCGGCATATGGGCCAAGCCAAACCTGGCAGGGCAAAATGCCCCGTGACGTCGCATGCCCTCGTTTCAGACAAAGTTTGGGGGGTTCAGATGCAGAGGGCCCCTTGAGGGTCCCAGTCTAGTCCAAGGCCCATTCGCTAAGGTGCAGACCAGATCCCTCAATGCCATAACTTGGACTTGAAATCTGTAGAGCGTCCCCAATGTAGGAGCCTGAATACACAGGCTTCTACTCACTGAAAGATATGCCACTCTCCTCCTCGAGATCCCTAGTTAGCCTGTACCTGGACCCCCAATGTATGTAGAAGAATGGCCTTTCTTGAATAGATATTGGGCCATGAGTTTACCTAGTTTGGGGAGGTTTAGGTAGAGTCTCTAGATGTTTAGATTCATAATGCGGCACCTAGTATGTAGGGTACCCAAAAAGGGGACCTTAATTTTGATAGCTACCCCATGTTACTAGAGGCATGCCCCGAACTCGAGCCCTAGACGGCAGGGCCGGCCAGGCGAATCTGGTGGGCTTCCCGGAACAGGGTTCAGGGTTTAGGATCCCTTTAACTACAAAGATCCGAATTACAGCATCAACCCGTGTTGTGGCCCTGAAAGCTCGAACGATGCAGTCAAGTCCTTAAGTAGGAAGCCCTTTTCTTAGGGGTCCCATTGTTATAAGCAGGGTTGTAAGAGCGCTGCATATGTATTCTACGGCCGACGATATTAGGATATTAGCACTACCTGTCCGCCAGTCACGAAATTAGACTCCAAACAAGTGTGCAGCCCCCTTTGCCTGCTTGAAACGCTGGGGTTTCCGTGCACCTGAGATGCCATGCGTAGCATTCGCTGTTTTCCAAAGCCTCCGGCTTCTCAAGCCCCTAAACCATCCCTAAACCCTCGCATGTGCGATGGTTTAGTTTCCGATTCGCTTGAAGAGTCCCGGACGAGTTTCTGTATTGACGAGTTCTTTACGAGTGCTAGGTTTACCCGGTTACTCCTTCGCGATGGTATCTACAGGGGTGTTCTTGCGGCTTGATGCTTCTGCTGTTGCACATTATCCTGACCGGTAAACGCTGTACGAACTTAGTGAAGTGCCGTGAAGCACTGGCCAAGTCATTTGGCTAACTCCAAGTTGATTGTGTCAGTCATCTTGTCGAGACGTGTGTTTGTGTGTGTGAGCGGGGGGAGGCTGCCGCACCAGGCAACATATCTCCGGTGTAAAGTGTAAGGTATAAAGTCCTGTCGCAACTACCTTCATGAGAGGACGCTACAGAGGGATGTTTGAGCTGAGTCAACATTGGCAGTATCGCTTCATCTTCCTGAGTACTAAGCTCCTTTGCTGACGAGTTTAGGCCGCTGCTGTTCACGGACGGAGGAATTGGTCGTCTTTGGCATCCGCTTTGCCAAGAGGGTATGCTGAGGGGCTCGTCCGCCTCAGATTCCTGCGTGCTGCACAGATTCAGCCCTACAGACAAAGGAAGCAGTTGATCTGCTTTAGCCTCTGCCTGATCCCTCAAGCCCGACGGCTCAGAACTTCCCGCCTAGTGCTGCATTCCCTCTTGGAGGCCCCCAGCGGACACTGGCAGTCCCCCAAAATTAAAAATCTATGCTCCCGGAGGCCGATAAGATGAACGTCTCCAGTTAGCCAGGCGCCCACAAGAACCAAAACAGAACCACCGATGTCTTCGCCAGCCGCCCAATAAGCTGAAAGTCCCAAAGCCTAAACCGCAAGCCCTTCAGTAAGCAGATGATAAGCTGCTACAGTGACTGCCAATGCTCCGCGCGCCGCACCTTCGGGCCGGAGCTGCGATAAAGGGCCATGACCTTAGGCAGGCTCATTTGCAAGCTTGAGCTACCGGTCTGAGTCTGAAGGGTTTGTTCTCTGGTCTTCCGCGCAGCATCTTGATGGCAAGAGCTTGACCAGCCGATCAACCCCAGACCACTATACTCGTAGTTCCACTGCTGCAACAGTGATGGCCTTCGTCGCAGCCTCCGCCCTGAACGGCGCAAAGTTCAGTCTGCTTTCTGAATCTGCAGCATGTCGCCGAAGGCGACTTGCGGCTCTGCTAGCACCACTAAATAACATGCTGGGAAGCCTGAAAAGGACGCCATGCCAGGGTTTGAGATTCTTGTTGCTGCTCTTGCTCACAGAAGTAGAGTAGAGGTTCGTGGTGCTGGGTGACCACTAAGGGACGGTGTGGTTCCGAGCTCACGGCATTCTCCCTGGGGTCGTCTGTAGATCGCGGACCAGCATCGGAATATTAGAAGCTGGTGGATTCTGGAAGATCAGCTCAGCTTTGGGCCCGTGAGTCGATGCCGTTCCGGATGTGGCGAGAGGCTTTCTGTCAACATGAAGGCTAAGTCGCCATCGCCATGGCCCCGACCCCTAATAACCCTGACACAAAGCTTCTTGAAGCCGGATCTCGATTAGATCCACCCGCAGACTGCCCAGACATGGACTACGTACCCTTCTGTACGAGCTAAACCAGATAATAAGAGGCAACGGGGCGAAGCAAGTTGAACAGGGCTATCGATGGCTCCCTGTTTCTGTTCAATTGGGGCGCTAGTGACAATAAGGGAACCATGCCGGGGCTTTCAAACTTCATACGACGCCCCAGCCACTGGAACCTCCCGATGCGGCGATGCTCCCCAGTGCCGTGGCCTCACCTGTGCCGTTGGATTCCCGGCCGCCCTGCGAAGCCAGGCAATGGGAGTGAAGTCTGCAGATTGAGATACCATTGAAAACGCCAAACCTGACACCCGCCCAGCATTTTGCTTTATCTACGCTGCCAAGCTCGCATACCAACCCGGTATTAGAGGCGAAGGACGAAGGGGTCTACTCCGTTCTCGCATTTCACTTCGTTTCCAGGAACTACGGCAGAATCCATTTCTGCCTTCGGCTCATCCGATCGATGGCAGGTTTCATCACTTTGGATGTTCGATGTCATGTTCGGGCCGGTAGAGTGGTTGGATTGGGCACGCTTGAATCAGTGGGAGCTGTTGCCATGAAGCTGCATGTCAGAATCCAGCGCCGGGCACTGCGATGGTTTCCGGCACGCATCACGCCTTTGTGGCTTTGCCCAGCGGCTGGTCTGCGCCAAGCATAGTTTGCGGGGGTGTTCAAGGTTTCTCAAATAGGGATCTTACCGTTGAGGGTCAGAGGGGCCCGATGTTCTGAAACTACCAGTTCCCTGCCTATCGATTACGGGTGTTGAGGCTTCGGGCTAGGCAACGGCAGGTAAACCATCCTAAGGAAGGTGTAACATGCAGCAGCTTCTGAGTGGTTGTTTACTGCACTGGAGTGTCAGATTTTGCATGAGATTCGTGCGTCGTTGGACGAAGCAGAAACTGCACAGCTACGGAGCAAGGTACGCGAAGATGCGCGAAGAAGCCGCATCATTGTGAACTGTGAACAGGTATAAGTTGAATCCTTGATATGCACGTATTCGCATCTGCCGTCGTGTTCTAGTATGAGGAGTCATCGCAAGGCAGTCGCATGAAGTCGAGTAGTGCAGCATTCGCAGCCACCCTAGCAGCAGCAGTAGCAGTAGCAGCGACAGGAGGAGTCGGAGTAGGTTCAGTAACAGTAGCAGTGGCCAACTTTTGCCGCGATGTCCTCCTGACAAGCACATACACACAAAGGTTGAATGCAGGCACCAAGTCCAAGCGCCACAAAACAAAGCAACAGCTTGTAATATCCATCAACAACCAAACCCACGACATGGAATTTCGAAAGCACAAACAAAACAACCCTGCAACAAGGAACTTCTGAACGAGTTCCAGCAATTCGTTGTGTGAGTATGTGTTTGCGTTCTTCTTTGGTTTTGGTGCCGTTTATTCCACCCAAAATCTCCCGCTCTCCTCTCCTCCTCTTCCCTCCAGCTGTAGAGTCTGCCGCAGAGTCCTTCTGCAGTGCCCTTCCCAAGAGTATCCAGCAGAGGTGTCGTTTAAGAGTGAGCGCTGCGGTAGCTGATGCCGAGTCCCGAGCCCAAGCTTCCCATTGTCACGAGGCTTGTTTCGCTCTCCGTCGACCAGAAAGGGCGCGGGGCCGGAGCTGCCAAGCCGTGGCCGTGGATGTAGAGGCCCCCAGCTATTGAAAACCATGCGAAACCTATTTTGCGCCTGATCTTGCAGACGGCATGGCAATGCGTAGAGCAGCAGATGACAGCTGGGTTGTGTTTCTGGAAGTCTCTATGCTTGTGCCCAAGTTGAGGGAAGCATGCATCCTTCCTGACATGCAATCATTTCTGACATGCTGGTTTTGAGTTTCATCTTAGCTCGCTGCTTAAACCAAGCAGGGTATCGATTAAGCTTTGTCACGTTTGCTTCACATGTGCGAACCAGAAACCAAGATTCGTCAACCTGCGGCGACCCCTGGTGCAGGAGCCGACCAAAGCCGAGCGACTCGCTGAGGCCGCTGCTTCATGGAGACACGCAATTCCGAGAGGACCGTAAAAGATCCCGAGAGGCATCAACACGACCTTACTGGCCCTGCTTTTAATTAAGATTAAGCAAGAGAGCCGGAGTGGTGGTGGTAGTGGTAGTGGTTGTCGTAGTGCTGGTCGTAGAAGCAGTATTGATAGTGGCAATAGTCTGAGAAGCAGAAGGAGATAATGTGTGTTGCCAGCAAGCGGAGCAGGAATCGGCAAGAACGGGGTAGGCCATGATTGGACCAGGCTTTTGCACAGCAGCTCGGCGCAGCAGAAAGAGGTGGCTGGTTGGGGGGCTTGCGAGGTTGTTGCAAATTCGAACTCCCGTTTCATCGTTCGGCCTGCCCCGTAGCTTCTTGTGGCAGACCTCATCACAACCCGAAACCTTGGCAACTCACGACGTCTTACACAGCCCCGTCGTGATAGCTTCTCTTCCAACGGCACAGGACACTTTAAGGCTCCGTGAGCGCCCCAGTTCTGGATTCAAAAGCTGTTGGGTGTAGGATGTTCACAGATGGAGGCTCCTCAAGTCAAGATGACCAGTGGACACCTTCCCACGCGGACCTGTGCCCCGTCGCTGGTCTCGAGAAATCTCGAGTTCAGGAGTTGGAGGGTACTGTAGGCTACCCGGTAGGATACAGCGATGCATCAGAAGCCGTGTGGAGTGTGGAGGCTCAGCCGACTCTGCCGGAGTCCAGCGGGTACCTCGGTGGCATCGTCCAAGGAACAGTCCCCCAAGGCGGTTGTTTTCCATTGGCGACGTCTCTTGTTGCCCTTTGTGATTCTCTGGCGCGCACGCCCGCTTTTGGCTCCGAAGTCTTTCTTCTGAATTCCATCTTTCGGTAGTACCGGGTCGAAGTCATGCGCATCATCATCATCACAATCATGACAGTGGCTGCGCATATCGCAGTGTCATCACAGAGTTCGAGGTTCGCGATAATTTGGGTTGTCGTCGTAGTCGTCATCATGCTGGTCGTTGTGTGGCGGCGGCAGCTGCAGTAGAAGTAGTTAATATAGAAGCGAGTCGAAATCACGAAACTATCATCATCAGAACTGCCGCATTGCCTGAGGCCAAAGAGGAAGCATTGGAAGATGCAGCGCAGCTGCAGCAGCTACTGTGGCGAAAGGCCGTGCGCAGGAGAAGTTGCAATTAGCAATCCTGAATCCTCGAAGCCGACGATCTTCAAGCACTACACAGCTGCATATCGAAGCCCAAGATTCCCACAAGCACCTGCAGGCACACCCCGAGCGCGCCAAGGAGTACGCAGAAGCCGCAACTCGCTCGAAAATCCATGTGGTGGTGGTCGACCCCGGCTGTAAGGCAACTGATAGCGCATGTGAAATCGCTTATATACGACAGCCTCACGTCAGCCCTGGACAGACTAGCTATGACTCTGAGCCGTCTCTAGACCATCGATCCGAACAGGGTACCTGCTCGGCTGCATACTTGTTAGGAGCGAAGTTTATGGCAACGTGCAGATGGTTCGAGTCGTTGGCGCCACCAGTATCGTCATCGTCATCATCACCATAATCATCAACATCGCTGCATAGGTGGCTTCACCATAACGGTTGAAGTTCGAGTGGCAGCCGGTCGAGACCAGGATCCCCGGAGCCTTGACATTGCGCAAGTTTCATGAGCCGAGTGGTGTTCGTACGAGAAAACCTGCAGAAGCGAAACGCAACATACAGACTCCAAAGCCAGCACATCATCAAACGACAGCAAGAACGGCTCTTCAAATTCGAGGACCCTGGGGTCGCAAGAGAATTGCAGGGATCAGTTCGGAAAACCCAAGTTCTTCTCCCAAGCTCGTTGTATCGGATGCGCTCTATCACCAGGACCAGGGCACAGTGAATGCATTGCTGACTGCCTTCGTCCGGGACGTCCGTGTGAAAGCTCAAAGCCGCCGCCCCAGACTGCCACTGCCATCTCGGGACGAAGCATTGCAGCGCTTCTACTTTCTACGCTCGCATGCCACGACTGACAAGGCATCTCCGAGCTGACTGTAAGGGAAGCCTACCCCACCTGGAGTGCTCGCTCTTCCCACGATCTATGCGGTTTCAAAGAGAGTGTAGTACTGTAGGGTTGAATCGGCCAGGCAAAGGGGTCTTAAACCTTGTCGGGCCATCAAGGCCTCAAGCTCTGGAGTTCGCCAACGGCGAGCCCTTTTCGACAAAGATGCTACAAGAGTAACCACAAACTTCCTAACACCCGCGGCGCAGAGAGATCCTGAAGATCCTAATCCTAAACTTAAACCCTTTGCATCCTGAGCATTGTAAAACCGTCAAGATCCGATTGATCCTCGGCACCACACTTCCTAAACCCAGAATCCAAACCCAATCAGCCCTGAAGCAGTAAAACCCCGAAGACTCTTCGCCCGGCGAACACCGTAAGCTCTCCCCAAACCCGGTTTCTTTCCAGACTCCGACTCCTCAGGCATAGACCGAGAGATGCCGCCAGGCGAATGCAGCTTTGGGAGGGGGCTTCCGAGACCCAGGTTTTAGGCCGAAAGACGTTTGGGGCTCAGGGTGTAATAAGAGTTCGTTTTTCTTGAAGGGGTAGAGAGGGGGGAGGGTGGAGGGATGTAGGGTTCTGGGTCTGTTCTTTGGCTGTTCATTTACCGTGACCTTGGTTCTCGGCATGGTACGGTTGAGTGTATTTGCAGAGCTGTCGTCGGGCTGCGGTGTATCTCAGGAGTGCATATAGAAGCTTGGGTGGTGCCAAATATACTATTCCGTGGTGGGGATCCCCTTGTATTATACGTAGTATACTATAAAGGAGCCCTGCATTCATTTTGATGTGTTCGGGTCTCACATTCGCCCACTCCTCGGATCTCGGAGAAAAGCTGCCAGGCGTGGAATCCAAAGTGGTCCACCTGCTGCGCAACGGTCAAGGACTCCGCCGAAAGTAAATGGGCTGTTCATGCTGTGGAGCACATCTTGAGAGCATGCGGAGTTCCGGCTTTGTGTTGATGGCTAGCCTGAGTTCAGGTTCTCGATAGTACCGTCGGTGATTGGTTATTATAGCCAGTGGCCGAGAGTCTGGCGCTTAGGCTGTGAAGCCCCCGCAGCCCCACTGGCCCCACTTTGCTTTTAGCATCGAAATGCTCACCCGCATGCTGAAGTCACCGAAGTTGTGAGACTCGATCACAAGTCGCAGGCTTTCACTACATGCTGGAAGGGCTCGAGGGCATGGAGGGCATGGTGAGCCCTAAGGCCAGTCCTTGTATCTGTCTGTGACTATATCCGTAAAGCTTCAAGCAGGTATGTTTACTTCGGAATTTTTTGTGGTGCACAGCATCTAGCCCTGAACCCGTTAGGTCGAAGTCGTCTTTGGGAAGCGGTGGTTTATCTGCGAGTCTTTCGACAAGCTACCGGAAGATTTACGGCTTCGATTTTTGCTGCCCCTCTCAGGCTCCTTGCAAGTTCTGAGATGTCTTAGGTGCCTGTCGAAGTGGAGGGAAAGATGCAGTCCGGCGGGTGGTCGGATGCCGAACGGAAAGCCAAAAGTCTTCTCATATCTTCTATTAGCTCCAACAAAGTACAAGGGTATCGCGCATAAGAAGATTTGTGGAGTCGAGAAAATGACGCTTTCAGGCTGAATCAACGTTGCCGTAATTAATCCGTTTTCTTGGCTACGTTTGTGCAGGCTGGGGATGAGACTTGACCGGGCCCCAGAGGGGCCACTTCGCATTTTGCACTGGGGCAGCCGCCGAAGGCATCCGTCGACACGTCCTGTGAAACTCTACATGTCTCTACCCCTGGCTCTCAGCTCTTTGTAGCGCACGATTGCCACGCCTCTTCGGAGCACTTGTGAACATGGCCGCAACCGCCTCGCTGCCTGCGCTTGAGGAGAACATGGAGACGACGCAGCATCCACAGCTGCCAGAGCACCACTGTGATCCTGTGAACTTGAATGCGGCAAAGCTCTGCGGAACCCCCTTGCAATTGCCCGTGCAGCAGCCCGTGCAGCTGCCCATGCAGTTGCCTGCGCAGTGGCCACAATGGCAGCAACCTCACTACCCATATCCGTACTCGACTCTCCAGAACCTCCAGACACTTCCATATCCTCATTCGGCCCACCCGTCTGGAGTGCCCGTGCCGGTCTTGCCGGCCTCCATGCATGTGCCCGTGTACCACCACAGCCAGGCATCTCCAGCACCCTTGCAGGCCTCTGTGCATGCTCCCATTCACGACGGCCAGGTCGTGTTCGTGCCCAAGGTCGAGGTCCAGGAGCGGGTCCGCCACGTTCCCAAGATCGAGACGCGCCAGGTGGAGAAGGTCGTGGAGGTGCCGCAAGTGCAGTACGTGGACAAGGTGGTAGAGGTGCCACAGGTGCAGCTACAAGAAGTGGTGAGACATGTCCCAAAGGTGGACTACCAAGAGCGGGTCCGGCATGTTCCCAGGATCGAGACACAAACGGTGGAGAAAGTGGTGGAGGTGCCACAGGTCCAGGTTGTTGAGAAGGTGGTCCCCGTCCCGCAGGTGCAGCTGATGGAGAAGGTTGTGCCGGTGCCAAAGGTGCAGATTGAGGAACGGGTGCGTCATGTGCCAAAGATCCTAACGCAAGTGGAGGTGCCGCAGGTGCAGTATGTCGACAAGTTCGTGGAGGTTCCGCAGGTGCAGATCCAGGAAGTGGTGAGGCATGTCCCAAAGGTGGAGATCCAGGAGCGTGTTCGCCATGTTCCCAGGATCGAGACACGCCAGGTTGAGAAGGTCGTGGAGGTGCCGCAAGTGCAGTATGTGGACAAAGTGGTGGAGGTGCCGCAGGTGCAGCTACAGGAGATGGTGAGGCATGTGCGCAAGGTCGAGACCAAAGAAGTCCTCCGGCATGTGCCGCAGATCCAGGTCCAGTATGTGGAGAAGCAGGTGGAGGTCCCCCACATCCAGTACGTGGACAAGATTGTGGAGGTCCCGGAAGTGCGCACCGTGGCTGCCTCAGAATTCCAGGGAGCCTTGCCAGGCTACTCGCCTACTTCACACCTCAAGTTTGAGGGCTTGGCAAGCCCCCGCAGCGGGTCGACTTCAGCCACCTCGCTCCCACGGTATGACTTTACGCCAAGACGCTCATTGGGCAGGGCATCACTAGGACTAGGACCATTCGTCGCACCGTCGCCTTACTCTGTGCGCTCCATTCCTCCGACTCCCGTTGAAGACGCTCATGTCGAGATGGACGAGCAGCAGAACCTTTAGGGACCGTAAGAGCCTAGAATCGAGGGTCTGTTTTGAGGCACAGCTGCTGTGCACCAGCAGGGCTGCGGGCACGCTGCATGGATCTGCACGGCATCCCGTCTTTACTCCCTTCCGGGACTCAACATCCCCGTGTCAGCCCAGACGATAGGATCCATCCATGAGTAGATGTAGGCCGGCATCGCAGCAGCGTACCCATTGAGCGCCGGGTGCGCAGCCACAGCTGATTTTCCGAGATTATCTAGCCATCTAGCTCCATGAGTTGTTATGGAGGAAGTCATAGCATCTTGTAGTCCAAGAGACCATTCGTTCGGCGTGACAGATGCAATCATGAGCGCATCTGAGCCTTGAAACATCCAGGATAGGCCGAGCATTGAATCACTTTGGCTTCGCATCATGTCACCGCTTTCAGCTTGCATCTGGATGAAGCGTGACTCTGCCAAGGCCCTCCCGTAGTGCAGCAGAGTGGTGGAGGCCTATGTTCGTGCGCATCCCAGCATGGTGGGTGTGTCTCTGTCTCTTGCGTGTTTGAGTGCAAGTTTCGGGTATAACCGGATACAGCTGGAATTTTTTTGGGTATGATTAGGGTATTACTGGTAGATTTGGGGTATGATTGAGTATAAACACAGGTGAGAAAGCCTGACAGTTGGTGAGTTGAGGCTGTCCAAGGAGCTTAGAGGAACTTGAAGCAGGCATGGCGCTAGTTGGATGTCTTGCTGCAAGTGGTGTTTTGGGAAAGGTCAGCAGCGCTAGGGGCCACAACAAACTCCCGAATATTTACGCCTTCCAAGTTAGCGTTTCCCTTCTCTGAGAGGTGGTTTTCAAAGCCTACTACAAGTGTTGTCCCCGTTATACCTGTGATTATACCTACTATACGCGTTCTACCCACTAAACTGGTTGTACGCGTTACCTGCATGCTCTTGCGCAATGCAGTCTATACCATCACTCCCACGCCCCAGGTAAGGACCTGAGGGAAGAAGTGGTCTGCTGGGAATATAATAACCCCGGTGCTGGGGAGACATAGGCTTGGACCGTCGCTTAGAGTCAAGGTGCTAACATGTTCTTCAAATTAGAAGGAAGACGTTTTACTTGATATCTGCTCCGAGGCATTTTGGTAGCTAGACCCTTCGGGAAATAGCTCTGTGCACTTCCAAAACTAGTCTCTGGGATTGGCTACTTGGGCACAGAATCTAAACTCTGTTGTTGTGCTGTGACGTGCTGTAGGATTGCGGTCTGAACGGTCCTAATGCTTGGCAAGGAAAAGGAAACTTCGGAGGCATTCCCTTCCTGATTCGAGAGCGCCCCTGAGAATCTTGATCTTGTGGTTGTTTTGCAACGCATGTTAGTCTAACTCTTAGCTAAGTAGGGGACCGCCAGTGGGGTTTGTCAGTTTGGATAAAAAGTCGTAAAGAATGCAAGAAAAGGCTCACCAACAAGTCTCTATAGGACTCTAGGATTCCTGCGAAATTTCGACAGACTTCTCCTGACCCTTCTGAGGCCCCTTGCAAGTTCTGAGATATCTTAGGTGCAAGAGAGCAGGATTGGCAATAGTGCTGGTAGTAGAAGCAGTATTGATAGTCGCAATAGTCTTGGAAGAAGAACGAGATAATGTGTGTTGCCAGCAAACGGAGGAGGAACCGGCAAAAACGGGGTAGGCCATGATTGGACCAGGCTTTTGCACAGCAGCTCGGTGCAGCAGAAAGAGGTGGCTGGTGGGGGGCTAGCAAGGTTTTGGCAATTTCGAACTCCCCTTCATCGTTCCACCTGCCCCGTAGCTTCCTGTGGCAGACCTCAAGGCGCGAAGAAGGCTGCGAATCTCAATCATCACAACCCGAAACATTGGCAACTCACGACGTCTTACACAGCCCCGTCGTGATAGCTTCTCTTCCAACGGCACAGGACACTTTAAGGCTCCGTGAGCGCCCCAGTTCTGGATTCAAAAGCTGTTGGGTGTAGGATGTTCGCAGATGGAGGCTCCTCAAGTCAAGATGACCAGTGGCCACCTTCCCACGAGGACCTGTGCCCCGTCGCAGGTCCCGAGAAATCTCGAGTTCAGGAGTTGGAGGGTACTGCAGGCTACCCGGTAGGATACAGCGATGCATCAGAAGCCGTGTGGAGTGTGGAGGCTCAGCCGACTCTGCCGGAGTCCAGCGGGTACCTCGGTGGCATCGTCCAAGGAACAGTCCCCCAAGGCGGTTGTTTTCCATTGGCGACGTCTCTTGTTGCCCTTTGTGATTCTCTGGCGCGCACGCCCGCTTTTGGCTCCGAAGTCTTTCTTCTGAATTCCATCTTTCGGTAGTACCGGGTCGAAGTCATGCGCATCATCATCATCACAATCATGACAGCTGCGCATATCGCAGTGTCATCACAGAGTTCGAGGTTCGCGATAATTTGGGTTGTCGTCGTAGTCGTCATCATGCTGGTCGTTGTGTGGCGGCGGCAGCTGCAGTAGAAGTAGTTAATATAGAAGCGAGTCGAAATCACGAAACTATCATCATCAGAACTGCCGCATTGCCTGAGGCCAAGAGGAAGCATTGGAAGATGCAGCGCAGCTGCAGCAGCTACTGTGGCGAAAGGCCGTGCGCAGGAGAAGTTGCAATTAGCAATCCTGAATCCTCGAAGCCGACGATCTTCAAGCACTACACAGCTGCATATCGAAGCCCAAGATTCCCACAAGCACCTGCAGGCACACCCCGAGCGCGCCAAGGAGTACGCAGAAGCCGCAACTCGCTCGAAAATCCATGTGGTGGTGGTCGACCCCGGCTGTAAGGCAACTGATAGCGCATGTGAAATCGCTTATATACGACAGCCTCACGTCAGCCCTGGACAGACTCGCTATGACTCTGACCCGTCTCTAGACCATCGATCCGAACAGGGTACCTGCTCGGCTGCATACTTGGTAGGAGCGAAGTTTATGGCAACGTGCAGATGGTTCGAGTCGTTGGCGCCACCAGTATCGTCATCGTCATCATCACCATAATCATCAACATCGCTGCATAGGTGGCTTCACCATAACGGTTGAAGTTCGAGTGGCAGCCGGTCGAGACCAGGATCCCCGGAGCCTTGACATTGCGCAAGTTTCATGAGCCGAGTGGTGTTCGTACGAGAAAACCTGCAGAAGCGAAACGCAACATACAGACTCCAAAGCCAGCACATCATCAAACGACAGCAAGAACGATGTCGACATCGGCCATCCAAACGAGGCAGCGAGCGGCGAGAAGCGGCTCTTCAAATTCGAGGACCCTGGGGTCGCAAGAGAATTGCAGGGATCAGTTCGGAAAACCCAAGTTCTTCTCCCAAGCTCGTTGTATCGGATGCGCTCTATCACCAGGACCAGGGCACAGTGAATGCATTGCTGACTGCCTTCGTCCGGGACGTCCGTGTGAAAGCTCAAAGCCGCCGCCCCAGATGGCAACTGCCATCTCCGGATACAGCATTGCAGCGCTTCTACTTTCTACGCTCGCATGCCACGACTGACAAGGCATCTCCGAGCTGACTGTAAGGGAAGCCTACCCCACCTGGAGTGCTCGCTCTTCCCACGATCTATGCGGTTTCAAAGAGAGTGTAGTACTGTAGGGTTGAATCGGCCAGGCAAAGGGGTCTTAAACCTTGTCGGGCCATCAAGGCCTCAAGCTCTGGAGTTCGCCAACGGCGAGCCCTTTTCGACAAAGATGCTACAAGAGTAACCACAAACTTCCTAACACCCGCGGCGCAGAGAGATCCTGAAGATCCTAATCCTAAACTTAAACCCTTTGCATCCTGAGCATTGTAAAACCGTCAAGATCCGATTGATCCTCGGCACCACACTTCCTAAACCCAGAATCCAAACCCAATCAGCCCTGAAGCAGTAAAACCCCGAAGACTCTTCGCCCGGCGAACACCGTAAGCTCTCCCCAAACCCGGTTTCTTTCCAGGCTCCGACTCCTCAGGCATAGACCGAGAGATGCCGCCAGGCGAATGCAGCTTTGGGAGGGGGCTTCCGAGACCCAGGTTTTAGGCCGAAAGACGTTTGGGGCTCAGGGTGTAATAAGAGTTCGTTTTTTTTGAAGGGGTAGAGAGGGGGGAGGGTGGAGGGATGTAGGGTTCTGGGTCTGTTCTTTGGCTGTTCATTTACCGTGACCTTGGTTCTCGGCATGGTACGGTTGAGTGTATTTCCAGAGCTGTCGTCGGGCTGCGGTGTATCTCAGGAGTGCATATAGAAGCTTGGGTGGTGCCAAATATACTATTCCGTGGTGGGGATCCCCTTGTATTATACGTAGTATACTATAAAGGAGCCCTGCATTCATTTTGATGTGTTCGGGTCTCACATTCGCCCACTCCTCGGATCTCGGAGAAAAGCTGCCAGGCGTGGAATCCAAAGTGGTCCACCTGCTGCGCAACGGTCAAGGACTCCGCCGAAAGTAAATGGGCTGTTCATGCTGTGGAGCACATCTTGAGAGCATGCGGAGTTCCGGCTTTGTGTTGATGGCTAGCCTGAGTTCAGGTTCTCGATAGTACCGTCGGTGATTGGTTATTATAGCCAGTGGCCGAGAGTCTGGCGCTTAGGCTGTGAAGCCCCCGCAAAGCCCCACTGGCCCCACTTTGCTTTTAGCATCGAAATGCTCACCCGCATGCTGAAGTCACCGAAGTTGTGAGACTCGATCACAAGTCGCAGGCTTTCACTACATGCTGGAAGGGCTCGAGGGCATGGAGGGCATGGTGAGCCCTAAGGCCAGTCCTTGTATCTGTGTGTGACTATATCCGTAAAGCTTCAAGCAGGTATGTTTACTTCGGAATTTTTTGTGGTGCACAGCATCTAGCCCTGAACCCGTTAGGTCGAAGTCGTCTTTGGGAAGCGGTGGTTTATCTGCGAGTCTTTCGACAAGCTACCGGAAGATTTACGGCTCCGATTTTTGCTGCCCCTCTCAGGCTCCTTGCAAGTTCTGAGATGTCTTAGGTGCCTGTCGAAGTGGAGGGAAAGATGCAGTCCGGCGGGTGGTCGGATGCCGAACGGAAAGCCAAAAGTCTTCTCATATCTTCTATTAGCTCCAACAAAGTACAAGGGTATCGCGCATAAGAAGATTTGTGGAGTCGAGAAAATGACGCTTTCAGGCTGAATCAACGTTGCCGTGATTTAATCCGTTTTCTTGGCTACGTTTGTGCAGGCTGGGGATGAGACTTGACCGGGCCCCAGAGGGGCCACTTCGCATTTTGCACTGGGGCAGCCGCCGAAGGCATCCGTCGACATGTCCTGTGAAACTCTACATGTCTCTACCCCTGGCTCTCAGCTCTTTGTAGCGCACGATTGCCACGCCTCTTCGGAGCACTTGTGAACATGGCCGCAACCGCCTCGCAGCCTGCGCTTGAGGAGAACATGGAGACGACGCAGCATCCACAGCTGCCAGAGCACCACTGTGATCCTGTGAACTTGAATGCGGCAAAGCTCTGCGGAACCCCCTTGCAATTGCCCGTGCAGCAGCCCGTGCAGCTGCCCATGCAGTTGCCTGCGCAGTGGCCACAATGGCAGCAACCTCACTACCCATATCCGTACTCGACTCTCCAGAACCTCCAGACACTTCCATATCCTCATTCGGCCCACCCGTCTGGAGTGCCCGTGCCGGTCTTGCCGGCCTCCATGCATGTGCCCGTGTACCACCACAGCCAGGCATCTCCAGCACCCTTGCAGGCCTCTATGCATGCTCCCATTCACGACGGCCAGGTCGTGTTCGTGCCCAAGGTCGAGGTCCAGGAGCGGGTCCGCCACGTTCCCAAGATCGAGACGCGCCAGGTGGAGAAGGTCGTGGAGGTGCCGCAAGTGCAGTACGTGGACAAGGTGGTAGAGGTGCCACAGGTGCAGCTACAAGAAGTGGTGAGACATGTCCCAAAGGTGGACTACCAAGAGCGGGTCCGGCATGTTCCCAGGATCGAGACACAAACGGTGGAGAAAGTGGTGGAGGTGCCACAGGTCCAGGTTGTTGAGAAGGTGGTCCCCGTCCCGCAGGTGCAGCTGATGGAGAAGGTTGTGCCGGTGCCAAAGGTGCAGATTGAGGAACGGGTGCGTCATGTGCCAAAGATCCTAACGCAAGTGGAGGTGCCGCAGGTGCAGTATGTCGACAAGTTCGTGGAGGTTCCGCAGGTGCAGATCCAGGAAGTGGTGAGGCATGTCCCAAAGGTGGAGATCCAGGAGCGTGTTCGCCATGTTCCCAGGATCGAGACACGCCAGGTTGAGAAGGTCGTGGAGGTGCCGCAAGTGCAGTATGTGGACAAAGTGGTGGAGGTGCCGCAGGTGCAGCTACAGGAGATGGTGAGGCATGTGCCCAAGGTCGAGACCAAAGAAGTCCTCCGGCATGTGCCGCAGATCCAGGTCCAGTATGTGGAGAAGCAGGTGGAGGTCCCCCACATCCAGTACGTGGACAAGATTGTGGAGGTCCCGGAAGTGCGCACCGTGGCTGCCTCAGAATTCCAGGGAGCCTTGCCAGGCTACTCGCCTACTTCACACCTCAAGTTTGAGGGCTTGGCAAGCCCCCGCAGCGGGTCGACTTCAGTCACCTCGCTCCCACGGTATGACTTTACGCCAAGACGCTCATTGGGCAGGGCATCACTAGGACTAGGACCATTCGTCGCACCGTCGCCTTACTCTGTGCGCTCCACTCCTCCGACTCCCGTTGAAGACGCTCATGTCGAGATGGACGAGCAGCAGAACCTTTAGGGACCGTAAGAGCCTAGAATCGAGGGTCTGTTTTGAGGCACAGCCGCTGTGCACCAGCAGGGCTGCGGGCACGCTGCATGGATCTGCACGGCATCCCGTCTTTACTCCCTTCCGGGACTCAAAATCTCCGTGTCAGCCCAGACGATAGGATCCATCCATGAGTAGATGTAGGCCGGCATCGCAGCAGCGTACCCATTGAGCGCCGGGTGCGCAGCCACAGCTGATTTTCCGAGATTATCTAGCCATCTAGCTCCATGAGTTGTCATGGAGGAAGTCATATTATCTTGTAGTCCAAGAGACCATTCGTTCGGCGTGACAGATGCAATCATGAGCGCATCTGAGCCTTGAAACATCCAGGATAGGCCGAGCATTGAATCACTTTGGCTTCGCATCATGTCACCGCTTTCAGCTTGCATCTGGATGAAGCGTGACTCTGCCAAGGCCCTCCCGTAGTGCAGCAGAGTGGTGGAGGCCTATGTTCGTGCGCATCCCAGCATGGTGGGTGTGTCTCTGTCTCTTGCGTGTTTGAGTGCAAGTTTCGGGTATGACCGGATACAGCTGGAATTTTTTTGGGTATGATTAGGGTATTACTGGTAGATTTGGGGTATGATTGAGTATAAACACAGGTGAGAAAGCCTGACAGTTGGTGAGTTGAGGCTGTCCAAGGAGCTTAGAGGAACTTGAAGCAGGCATGGCGCTAGTTGGATGTCTTGCTGCAAGTGGTGTTTTGGGAAAGGTCAGCAGCGCTAGGGGCCACAACAAACTCCCGAATATTTACGCCTTCCAAGTTAGCGTTTCCCTTCTCTGAGAGGTGGTTTTCAAAGCCTACTACAAGTGTTGTCCCCGTTATACCTGTGATTATACCTACTATACGCATTCTACCCACTAAACTGGTTGTACGCGTTACCTGCATGCTCTTGCGCAATGCAGTCTATGCCATCACTCCCACGCCCCAGGTAAGGACCTGAGGGAAGAAGTGGTCTGCTGGGAATATAATAACCCCGGTGCTGGGGAGACATAGGCTTGGACCGTCGCTTAGAGTCAAGGTGCTAACATGTTCTTCAAATTAGAAGGAAGACGTTTTACTTGATATCTGCTCCGAGGCATTTTGGTAGCCAGACCCTTCGGGAAATAGCTCTGTGCACTTCCAAAACTAGTCTCTGGGATTGGCTACTTGGGCACAGAATCTAAACTCTGTTGTTGTGCTGTGACGTGCTGTAGGATTGCGGTCTGAACGGTCCTAATGCTTGGCAAGGAAAAGGAAACTTCGGAGGCATTCCCTTCCTGATTCGAGAGCGCCCCTGAGAATCTTGATCTTGTGGTTGTTTTGCAACGCATGTTAGTCTAACTCTTAGCTAAGTAGGGGACCGCCAGTAGGGTTTGTCAGTTTGGATAAAAAGTCGTAAAGAATGCAAGAAAAGGCTCACCAACAAGTCTCTATAGGACTCTAGGATTCCTGCGAAATTTCGACAGACTTCTCCTGACCCTTCTGAGGCCCCTTGCAAGTTCTGAGATATCTTAGGTGCAAGAGAGCAGGATTGGCAATAGTGCTGGTAGTAGAAGCAGTATTGATAGTCGCAATAGTCTTGGAAGAAGAACGAGATAATGTGTGTTGCCAGCAAACGGAGGAGGAACCGGCAAAAACGGGGTAGGCCATGATTGGACCAGGCTTTTGCACAGCAGCTCGGTGCAGCAGAAAGAGGTGGCTGGTGGGGGGCTAGCAAGGTTTTGGCAATTTCGAACTCCCCTTCATCGTTCCACCTGCCCCGTAGCTTCCTGTGGCAGACCTCAAGGCGCGAAGAAGGCTGCGAATCTCAATCATCACAACCCGAAACATTGGCAACTCACGACGTCTTACACAGCCCCGTCGTGATAGCTTCTCTTCCAACGGCACAGGACACTTTAAGGCTCCGTGAGCGCCCCAGTTCTGGATTCAAAAGCTGTTGGGTGTAGGATGTTCGCAGATGGAGGCTCCTCAAGTCAAGATGACCAGTGGCCACCTTCCCACGAGGACCTGTGCCCCGTCGCAGGTCCCGAGAAATCTCGAGTTCAGGAGTTGGAGGGTACTGCAGGCTACCCGGTAGGATACAGCGATGCATCAGAAGCCGTGTGGAGTGTGGAGGCTCAGCGGGTACCTTGGTGGCATCGTCCAAGGAACAGTCCCCCAAGGTGGTTGTTTTCCATTGGCGACTTCTCTTATTGCCCTTTGTGATTCTCTGGCCGCACGGCCGCTTTTGGCTCCGAGGTCTTTCTTCTGAATTCCATCTTTCCGTAGTACAGCTTTGCGAGCAATCTGCGAGTGTTGCTGCCTTTCAAGACTAGGAATATGATGTCATTCTCTTTCATGTATCTTATGTCCAAGAGCAAAGACCGGCAGCGGCATGACTGCGTGAATCGTCCCATGACTGTGTCGAAGCAGGAAGTCCAACGTTTTGAGATATCCTGAGATAGATCTCGCTTGGTCATCGTGAGTTTCGGGACTTCCGTGCCGATATGATCGCAACACTTCTTCGGCGATAACGATGATAGAAGCATTGAATTTCACATATACCCGCAAAATGGTTATCATGGCGGCTGCCGCCATGACCCTAACAATCATGACAACGGCTGCGGATATCGTCAGGTCATCACAGAGTTCGGGGTTGTTATGATGCGGGTTGTCGTCGTCATCATGCTGGCCGTTGTGCGGCCAGTATAAGCATGCAGTTAAGGAAGAAGCAGCTATCACTATCAGAACATATCAGAACTGCCGCATTGCCTGAGGGCAAAGAGGAAGCGCTGGAAGATGCAGCGCAGCTGCAGCAGCTACTCTGGCGAAAGGCCGCGCAGAGAAGAAGCTGCAATTGCCGCGACCCCAAGCTTTCGGATTCGTGCAAGCAGAACCTGAATCCTCGAAGCCGGCGATGAACTTCAAGCGCTATACAAAGCTGTATGTCGAAACCCGAGACTCCCACAAGCACCTGCAGGCGCACCCCGAGCACGCCAAGGAGTACGCAGAAGCCGCATCTCGCTCGAAGATCCACCAGGATCAATCCTGGCTGTAAGGCAACTGATAGCGCGAGAGATGCCGCCAGGCGAATGCAGCTTTGGGAGGGGGCTTCCGAGACCCAGGTTTTAGGCCGAAAGACGTTTGGGGCTCAGGGTGTAATAAGAGTTCGTTTTTTTGAAGGGGTAGAGAGGGGGGAGGGTGGAGGGATGTAGGGTTCTGGGTCTGTTCTTTGGCTGTTCATTTACCGTGACCTTGGTTCTCGGCATGGTACGGTTGAGTGTATTTCCAGAGCTGTCGTCGGGCTGCGGTGTATCTCAGGAGTGCATATAAAAGCTTGGGTGGTGCCAAATATACTATTCCGTGGTGGGGATCCCCTTGTATTATACGTAGTATACTATAAAGGAGCCCTGCATTCATTTTGATATGTTCGGGTCTCACATTCGCCCACTCCTCGGATCTCGGAGAAAAGCTGCCAGGCGTGGAATCCAAAGTGGTCCACCTGCTGCGCAACGGTCAAGGACTCCGCCGAAAGTAAATGGGCTGTTCATGCTGTGGAGCACATCTTGAGAGCATGCGGAGTTCCGGCTTTGTGTTGATGGCTAGCCTGAGTTCAGGTTCTCGATAGTACCGTCGGTGATTGGTTATTATAGCCAGTGGCCGAGAGTCTGGCGCTTAGGCTGTGAAGCCCCCGCAGCCCCACTGGCCCCACTTTGCTTTTAGCATCGAAATGCTCACCCGCATGCTGAAGTCACCGAAGTTGTGAGACTCGATCACAAGTCGCAGGCTTTCACTACATGCTGGAAGGGCTCGAGGGCATGGAGGGCATGGTGAGCCCTAAGGCCAGTCCTTGTATCTGTCTGTGACTATATCCGTAAAGCTTCAAGCAGGTATGTTTACTTCGGGTCTTTTGTGTTGCACAGCATCTAGCCCTGAACCCGTTAGGTCGAAGTCGTCTTTGGGAAGCGGTGGTTTATCTGCGAGTCTTTCGACAAGCTACCGGAAGATTTACGGCTCCGATTTTTGCTGCCCCTCTCAGGCTCCTTGCAAGTTCTGAGATGTCTTAGGTGCCTGTCGAAGTGGAGGGAAAGATGCAGTCCGGCGGGTGGTCGGATGCCGAACGGAAAGCCAAAAGTCTTCTCATATCTTCTATTAGCTCCAACAAAGTACAAGGGTATCGCGCATAAGAAGATTTGTGGAGTCGAGAAAATGACGCTTTCAGGCTGAATCAACGTTGCCGTGATTTAATCCGTTTTCTTGGCTACGTTTGTGCAGGCTGGGGATGAGACTTGACCGGGCCCCAGATGGGCCACTTCGCATTTTGCACTGGGGCAGCCGCCGAAGGCATCCGTCTGTGAAACTCTACATGTCTCTACCCCTGGCTCTCAGCTCTGTGTAGCGCACGATTGCCACGCCTCTTCGGAGCACTTGTGAACATGGCCGCAACCGCCTCGCAGCCTGCGCTTGAGGAGAACATGGAGACGACGCAGCATCCACAGCTGCCAGAGCACCACTGTGATCCTGTGAACTTGAATGCGGCAAAGCTCTGCGGAACCCCCTTGCAATTGCCCGTGCAGCAGCCCGTGCAGCTGCCCATGCAGTTGCCTGCGCAGTGGCCACAATGGCAGCAACCTCACTACCCATATCCGTACTCGACTCTCCAGAACCTCCAGACACTTCCATATCCTCATTCGGCCCACCCGTCTGGAGTGCCCGTGCCGGTCTTGCCGGCCTCCATGCATGTGCCCGTGTACCACCACAGCCAGGCATCTGCAGCACCCTTGCAGGCCTCGATGCATGCTCCCGTTCACGACGGCCAGGTCGTGTTCGTGCCCAAGGTCGAGGTCCAGGAGCGGGTCCGCCACGTTCCCAAGATCGAGACGCGCCAGGTGGAGAAGGTCGTGGAGGTGCCGCAAGTGCAGTACGTGGACAAGGTGGTAGAGGTGCCACAGGTGCAGCTACAAGAAGTGGTGAGACATGTCCCAAAGGTGGACTACCAAGAGCGGGTCCGGCATGTTCCCAGGATCGAGACACAAACGGTGGAGAAAGTGGTGGAGGTGCCACAGGTCCAGGTTGTTGAGAAGGTGGTCCCCGTCCCGCAGGTGCAGCTGGTGGAGAAGGTGGTGCCGGTGCCAAAGGTGCAGATTGAGGAACGGGTGCGTCATGTGCCAAAGATCCTAACTCAAGTGGAGGTGCCGCAGGTGCAGTATGTCGACAAGTTCGTGGAGGTTCCGCAGGTGCAGATCCAGGAAGTGGTGAGGCATGTCCCAAAGGTGGAGATCCAGGAGCGTGTTCGCCATGTTCCCAGGATCGAGACACGCCAGGTTGAGAAGGTCGTGGAGGTGCCGCAAGTGCAGTATGTGGACAAAGTGGTGGAGGTGCCGCAGGTGCAGCTACAGGAGATGGTGAGGCATGTGCCCAAGGTCGAGACCAAAGAAGTCCTCCGGCATGTGCCGCAGATCCAGGTCCAGTATGTGGAGAAGCAGGTGGAGGTCCCCCACATCCAGTACGTGGACAAGATTGTGGAGGTCCCGGAAGTGCACACCGTGGCTGCCTCAGAATTCCAGGGAGCCTTGCCAGGCTACTCGCCTACTTCACACCTCAAGTTTGAGGGCTTGGCAACCCCCCGCAGCGGGTCGACTTCAGCCACCTCGCTCCCACGGTATGACTTTACGCCAACAAGACGCTCATTGGGCAGGGCATCACTAGGACTAGGACCATTCGTCGCACCGTCGCCTTACTCTGTGCGCTCCATTCCTCCGACTCCCGTTGAAGACGCTCATGTCGAGATGGACGAGCAGCAGAACCTTTAGGGACCGTAAGAGCCTAGAATCGAGGGTCTGTTTTGAGGTACAGCTGCTGTGCACCAGCAGGGCTCCGGGCACGCTGCATGGATCTGCACGGCATCCCGTCTTTACTCCCTTCCGGGACTCAACAACTCCGTGTCAGCCCAGAGGATAGGATCCATCCATGAGTAGATGTAGGCCGGCATCGCAGCAGCGTACCCATTGAGCGCCGGGTGCGCAGCCACAGCTGATTTTCCGAGATTATCTAGCCATCTAGCTCCATGAGTTGTTGTGGAGGAAGTCATAGCATCTTGTAGTCCAAGAGACCACTCGTTCGGCGTGACAGATGCAATCATGAGCGCATCTGAGCCTTGAAACATCCAGGTTTGGCCGAGCATTGAATCACTTTGGCTTCGCATCATGTCACCGGTTTCAGCTTGCATCTGGATGAAGCGTGACTCTGCCAAGGCCCTCCCGTGGTGCAGCAGAGTGGTGGAGGCCTATATTCGTTCGCATCCCAGCATGGTGGGTGTGTCTCTGTCTCTCTGTTCTTAGTGTGTGTTGTGTGTGGGTGTGTGTTTGAGTACAAGTTTCGGGTATCACCGGATACAGCTGGAGAATAATTGGGTATGATTAGGGTATGGGGCATGATAGAGTATAATTTGGGTATAGTCAGGATGATTTCTGGTGGTAAGTCGCACAGGTGAGAAAGCCTAACAGTTGGGGCTGTTGCAGGAGCTTCGAACACTTCAAAGCAGGCATGGCACTGGTTGGATGTCTTGCTGCAAGTGGTCTTTTGGGAAAGGTCCCAGGGGCTTCAACAAACTCCCGAGTATTTACACTTTCCAATTTAGCATTTCACTCCGACGCTTGGCTTCGGTGTCCTCTGGGCAGGCTGATTTGCACACCTGAGCTTCCAGTCTGAGCTTATAGGGTTTGTTCTATGGTCTTCGAAGCAGCAGATTGATGGCAAGAGCTTGACCAGCTGATCAACCCCCGACCACCCTGGCCTTCGTCGCAGCCTCCGCCCTGAACGGCGCAAAGTTCAGTCTGCTTTCTGAATCTGCAGCATGTCGCCGAAGGTGAATTGCGGCTCTGCTAGCAGGACTAAATAACATGCTGGGAAGCCTGAACAAGACGCCATGCCAGGGTTTGAGATTCTTGTTGCTGCTCTTGCTCACAGAAGTAGAGTAGAGGTTCGTGGTGCTGGGTGACCACTAAGGGACGGTGTGGTTCCGAGCTCACGGCATTCTCCCTGGGGTCGTCTGTAGATCGCGGACCAGCATCGGAATATTAGAAGCTGGTGGATTCTGGAAGATCAGCTCAGCTTTGGGCCCGTGAGTCGATGCCGTTCCGGATGTGGCGAGAGGCTTTCTGTCAACATGAAGGCTAAGTCGCCATCGCCATGGCCCCGACCCCTAATAACCCTGACACAAAGCTTCTTGAAGCCGGATCTCGATTAGATCCACCCGCAGACTGCCCAGACATGGACTACGTACCCTTCTGTACGAGCTAAACCAGATAATAAGAGGCAACGGGGCGAAGCAAGTTGAACAGGGCTATCGATGGCTCCCTGTTTCTGTTCAATTGGGGCGCTAGTGACAATAAGGGAACCATGCCGGGGCTTTCAAACTTCATACGACGCCCCAGCCACTGGAACCTCCCGATGCGGCGATGCTCCCCAGTGCCGTGGCCTCACCTGTGCCGTTGGATTCCCGGCCGCCCTGCGAAGCCAGGCAATGGGAGTGAAGTCTGCAGATTGAGATACCATTGAAAACGCCAAACCTGACACCCGCCCAGCATTTTGCTTTATCTACGCTGCCAAGCTCGCATACCAACCCGGTATTAGAGGCGAAGGACGAAGGGGTCTACTCCGTTCTCGCATTTCACTTCGTTTCCAGGAACTACGGCAGAATCCATTTCTGCCTTCGGCTCATCCGATCGATGGCAGGTTTCATCACTTTGGATGTTCGATGTCATGTTCGGGCCGGTAGAGTGGTTGGATTGGGCACGCTTGAATCAGTGGGAGCTGTTGCCATGAAGCTGCATGTCAGAATCCAGCGCCGGGCACTGCGATGGTTTCCGGCACGCATCACGCCTTTGTGGCTTTGCCCAGCGGCTGGTCTGCGCCAAGCATAGTTTGCGGGGGTGTTCAAGGTTTCTCAAATAGGGATCTTACCATTGAGGGTCAGAGGGGCCCGATGTTCTGAAACTACCAGTTCCCTGCCTATCGATTACGGGTGTTGAGGCTTCGGGCTAGGCAACGGCAGGTAAACCATCCTAAGGAAGGTGTAACATGCAGCAGCTTCTGAGTGGTTGTTTACTGCACTGGAGTGTCAGATTTTGCATGAGATTCGTGCGTCGTTGGACGAAGCAGAAACTGCACAGCTACGGAGCAAGGTACGCGAAGATGCGCGAAGAAGCCGCATCATTGTGAACTGTGAACAGGTATAAGTTGAATCCTTGATATGCACGTATTCGCATCTGCCGTCGTGTTCTAGTATGAGGAGTCATCGCAAGGCAGTCGCATGAAGTCGAGTAGTGCAGCATTCGCAGCCACCCTAGCAGCAGCAGTAGCAGTAGCAGCGACAGGAGGAGTCGGAGTAGGTTCAGTAACAGTAGCAGTGGCCAACTTTTGCCGCGATGTCCTCCTGACAAGCACATACACACAAAGGTTGAATGCAGGCACCAAGTCCAAGCGCCACAAAACAAAGCAACAGCTTGTAATATCCATCAACAACCAAACCCACGACATGGAATTTCGAAAGCACAGACAAAACAACCCTGCAACAAGGAACTTCTGAACGAGTTCCAGCAATTCGTTGTGTGAGTATGTGTTTGCGTTCTTCTTTGGTTTTGGTGCCGTTTATTCCACCCAAAATCTCCCGCTCTCCTCTCCTCCTCTTCCCTCCAGCTGTAGAGTCTGCCGCAGAGTCCTTCTGCAGTGCCCTTCCCAAGAGTATCCAGCAGAGGTGTCGTTTAAGAGTGAGCGCTGCGGTAGCTGATGCCGAGTCCCGAGCCCAAGCTTCCCATTGTCACGAGGCTTGTTTCGCTCTCCGTCGACCAGAAAGGGCGCGGGGCCGGAGCTGCCAAGCCGTGGCCGTGGATGTAGAGGCCCCCAGCTATTGAAAACCATGCGAAACCTATTTTGCGCCTGATCTTGCAGACGGCATGGCAATGCGTAGAGCAGCAGATGACAGCTGGGTTGTGTTTCTGGAAGTCTCTATGCTTGTGCCCAAGTTGAGGGAAGCATGCATCCTTCCTGACATGCAATCATTTCTGACATGCTGGTTTTGAGTTTCATCTTAGCTCGCTGCTTAAACCAAGCAGGGTATCGATTAAGCTTTGTCACGTTTGCTTCACATGTGCGAACCAGAAACCAAGATTCGTCAACCTGCGGCGACCCCTGGTGCAGGAGCCGACCGAAGCCGAGCGACTCGCTGAGGCCGCTGCTTCATGGAGACACGCAATTCCGAGAGGACCGTAAAAGATCCCGAGAGGCATCAACACGACCTTACTGGCCCTGCTTTTGATTAAGATTAAGCAAGAGAGCCGGAGTGGTGGTGGTAGTGGTAGTGGTTGTCGTAGTGCTGGTCGTAGAAGCAGTATTGATAGTGGCAATAGTCTGAGAAGCAGAAGGAGATAATGTGCCAGCAAGCGGAGCAGGAATCGGCAAAAACGGGGTAGGCCATGATTGGACCAGGCTTTTGCACAGCAGCTCGGCGCAGCAGAAAGAGGTGGCTGGTTTGGGGGGCTTGCGAGGTTGTTGCAAATTCGAACTCCCGTTTCATCGTTCGGCCTGCCCCGTAGCTTCCTGTGGCAGACCTCATCACAACCCGAAACCTTGGCAACTCACGACGTCTTACACAGCCCCGTCGTGATAGCTTCTCTTCCAACGGCACAGGACACTTTAAGGCTCCGTGAGCGCCCCAGTTCTGGATTCAAAAGCTGTTGGGTGTAGGATGTTCGCAGATGGAGGCTCCTCAAGTCAAGATGACCAGTGGCCACCTTCCCACGAGGACCTGTGCCCCGTCGCAGGTCCCGAGAAATCACGAGTTCAGGAGTTGGAGGGTACTGTAGGCTACCCGGTAGGATACAGCGATGCATCACAAGCCGTGTGGAGTGTGGAGGCTCAGCCGACTCTGCCGGAGTCCAGCGGGTACCTTGGTGGCATCGTCCAAGGAACAGTGCCCCAAGGTGGTTGTTTTCCATTGGCGACTTCTCTTATTGCCCTTTGTCATTCTCTGGCGCGCACGGCCGCTTTTGGCTCCGAGGTCTTTCTTCTGAATTCCATCTTTCGGTAGTACAGGGTCGAAGTCATGCGCATCATCATCATCACAATCATGACAGTGGCTGCGCATATCGCAGTGTCATCACAGAGTTCGGGATTGCGATAATGTGGGGTGTCGTCGTAGTCGTCATCATGCTGGTCGTTGCGTGGCGGCGGCAGCTGCAGTAGAAGTAGTTAATGTAGAAGCGAGCCGAAATCACGAAACTATCATCATCAGAACTGCCGCATTGCCTGAGGCCAAAGAGGAAGCATTGGAAGATGCAGCGCAGCTGCAGCAGCTACTGTGGCGAAAGGCCGTGCGCAGGAGAAGTTGCAATTAGCAATCCTGAATCCTCGAAGCCGACGATCTTCAAGCACTACACAGCTGCATATCGAAGCCCAAGATTCCCACAAGCACCTGCAGGCACACCCCGAGCGTGCCAAGGAGTACGCAGAAGCCGCAACTCGCTCGAAAATCCATGTGGTGGTGGTCAACCCCGGCTGTAAGGCAACTGATAGCGCATGTGAAATCGCTTATATACGACAGCCTCACGTCAGCCCTGGACAGACTAGCTATGACCATCGATCCGAACAGGGTAGCACCTGCTTGGCTGCATACTTGGTAGGAGCGAAGTTTATGGCAACGTGCAGATGGTTCGAGTCGTTGGCGCCACCAGTATCGTCATCGTCATCATCACCATAATCATCAACATCGCTGCATAGGTGGCTTCACCATAAAGGTTGAACTTCGAGTGGCAGCCGGTCGAGACCAGCATCACCGGAGCTTTGACATTGCGCAAGGTTCTTAAGCCGAGTGGTGTTCGTCCGAGAGAACCTGCAGAAGCCAAACGCAACATACAGACTCCAAAGCCAGCACATCATCACACGACAGCAAGAACAATGTCGACATCGGCCAACAAAACGAGGCAGCGAGCGGCGAGAAGCGGCTCTTCGAATTCGAGGACTCTGGGGTCGCAAGAGAATTGCAGGGATCAGTTTGGAAAGCCCAAGTTCTTCTCCCAAGCTGCGCCTCGTCTCGATAAGCAACGGTCCCAGATTCGTTGGAGCCGTAGTGTATCGGTTGCGCTCTATCACCAGGACCAGGGCACAGTGAATGCGTTGCTGAATGCCTTCGTCCGGGACGTCCGTGTGAAAGCCCAAAGCCGCCGCCCCAGATGGCAACTGCCATCTCCGGATACAGCACTGCAACGCTGCTACAAGGCAAGCCTACCCCACCTGAGTGCTCACCTGGAGTGCTCGCTGTTCCCACGATCTGTGCGGTCTCAACACGACGGGGTATGTTCAGCCAGGCGAAGGAGTCGGGCCATGAAGCTCTAAAGCTCTGAAGCCAGCCAACCTCGAGCCCTCGCTTTTGGGCAAAGATGCTACCACAATAACCACGAGCATCCGAAACCCTTTGCATCCTGAACATTGCAATGCCGTCAAGATCCGATTGATCCCCAAAACCCAAGAATCCAAACCCTATCAGCCCCAAATTGTAAATTCCAGAGACGTTGCACTACCAGCCCCAAGGATCCTCGGCCACGTAGAACCCCGAAGACCCTTCGCCCAACGAAAACACCAAACCCGGTTTCTTTCCAGACGCCGACTCCATCGACTCCTCAGGTGTAGACCGAGAGGTGCCGCCAGGCGGGTGCAGCTTTGGGAGGGGGCTTCCGAGAGGCAGGTTTTCGGCCGAAAGAGGTTTGGAGGTTTTGAGGCTCAGGGTGTAACAGTTCAGTTTCTCTTTTGAAGGGGGGGGTTTGGGTCTGTTCTACAGCAGTTCATTATGGTGACCGCGGGTCGGATCCCGGAAAAAAGCTGCAAGGCGTGGAATCCAAAGTGGTCCACCTGCTGCGCCACGGTCAAGGACTCTGCCGAAAGGGGCTCTTCATGGTGTGGAGCACATCTTCAGAGTATGCTGAGTTCCGCCTTTTGGTTTGATGGCTATGCGGCTATGCTGGGGTTAAGGTTCTCGATGGTATGGGCGACGTCTGGTTATTGTAGCCAGTGGCCAAGAGTCTTGCGCTTAGGCTGCGAAGCCGCTGCAAAGCCCCACTTTGCTTTTGGCATCGAAACGCTCACCCGCATGCTGAAGTCACCGAAGACAAGTCACAGGCTTTCACAACATGCTGGAAGGGTTCGAGGGCATGGAGGGCATCGTGAGCCCTGAGACAACCCAGGCCAGTCTTGGTGTCTGTGACTATCCGTAAAACTTCAAGTGAGTAGACTGTCTACTTCAGGTCCTTTGTGTTGCACAGCATCCGCGTTAGGTCGAAGTCGTCGATGGGAAGCGGTGGTTTATCTGCGAGTCTTTCGACAAGCTCTTCAAGCAAGCTGGCGGAAGATTTACGACTCCGAGTCTTGCTCATAAGATCGTTGCTTCTGCGCTTACGGCTTATGCATGATTGGTAAAGGTCCAGTGGGAATCCTGTATGAGTGGCTGCGGGTGTAGAGGCTCGTACGCAGAACCCTCAACTCCTAAAGCTTCACCCGCAAAGTACAGACAGTGATGCCCTCTTGCTTTACCAGTACCAGTCAGGTGCCGCTACCTTCCTAGCATGTTCACGGAGCCTACCTTACGGGATGCGAGTATGAGTCTGGTTTTGGACACAGTCCTAGCGATGTAGCTCCTCTCTTGGGAGGGTGTGCTAAATTGTTATTGTGGATGTCCCTTTATGGCATTTATTCTGCGCCTTACAGAGTACTCAACAGGTCCAATGTGCAGTGATATTGGACTCGTGACGTAGTGAATTTTGTTCATTCCGCTACAATGGACTTCATGCAAGAACCCATCCTCGCAAGAGGTGTGCCACCGTGCTGTGGACAGACCTGGGCTTTGATGTCCTTAGGTCTGAGCACGGACCGCGTACCGTGGTGGGCCTGCAACTCTACGGCTCGCACCTCAGCGTGCTTTGCATCGCTTTGCTTCCGGCGCAGTTCAGGGCTGATGATGTTGGACTTGGAGTGTGTGCACACGCTTTGGGGCTTAGCGCAGTGCACTCTTGCATTCTGATTACATGATTTAATCTCTCCGAGCCGAGAAGCTTCGAAATGCAGGGAATTCGAAAGGCACCAGAGCCGGACAGATCCTTGATTGTAAGCAGGCCCTCCTGTCGAGTCATCCCACGAGCTCTCTTGTGAGAGATGTCTGCTGTGCTAATTCTCAAACACACAGGATTTTCACCACGCATCACCCAAATCCACAATCCACACTGAAGATTGCTGAGACTACCACTGCACTATCCACTGATTCACTTCATGCCGCGGTGATTGTTCATCCTTCCACGAGACGCCTTCTATCTTCAACCTGAGCCTCCCAATTCTGACCCTGGGGGACCGAAGTGTGGACCCTAGCCTTGTCAAATTCTTGCTAAGGCGCGATTAGCTGCCGCATCGCGACAAGCCGAGACTATGGCGCTACCTGGGCCACCGTGCCACAGGTGCCGCTTCCTGTAGAACCTGGAGATCCAAGTAGGCTCAGGCCAGCATGAAAACCAGAGAAAAGTCCCCGGCATCTGCATTTAGCCACGAGGAACACTGCAACCTGTTCGGCCCTTCGGCATCGGCAAAACTCACACACCCGACTCTTCCCTCTAGGCGACGATCGCTGCGTCCGGGACAACCAGGCAGCCCACGGGATTTCGGATCACGGCTGGCTCTAACAAGTTTACAGAGCTTTCAGTGCAATCTGTCGTAAATCCTTATATAAGATCCGTCGCTGCTTCCATGCATGCCGAGACATTGATTGACATCGTGGCTAGGGTGTTGTTGTCGGGCAGCCTTGCCGCAAGCTAGATGCAGAGAGAGTGTTTGGCCGGATTTGCAAGCCTGGTGTCCTTCCCAAGCTTCACTTGGATTTGCCCCAGAGACCTGGAAACTGCTGTCGCAGAGGCAGCTTCTATGTTCAGCAGTGCACGCAGCTGGAGCTGAGCTAGTTCAAGGGTTCTTGCACTGCTCACATCCGGAGCCCTTGTTGCCCAGAATCCCTTGCCCCTGAGCCTGAGCCACGCAGAGGCGAATCATGTTCCAGAAGCCGGTCGCTTGCACTCATGCGGCTTGGCAATCAGACTCAGAGTTCGAGGTTCGGGCTCCAGCCAAGAGATAGCCCTCACGCTGCCTAATATCAGGGCCCGCGGCGCCCCAGGTGCAAAGACCCCTTCGATCACCCTCAGACCCTAAGACGTAAACCTTGGACCAGTTTAGCCAAACGCCCAGTGAAATTTCACTTTCTGGATCCTGCGAGACTAAAAAGGGTCGTTCAAAAGCAAACCTTGGACCAGAAATCCGGAGACCTCACACCCTCATCCGTGAACCAATTGTCCCAACTGGCTTAAAAGCCAAGCACGCCTGCTGGACTCCAAATGCCCCATTCCCAGTGCCCCGAACACTAAGTGGAACCTGCAGAACTATCGAACCCCGGGTAGAAACACCACATGGCGGTCCTGACGGCCCTATAATTGGAGACCAATCCGAGCTGCAAGTTGCACGCAACATGACTTGAGAAGCCACTAGATATTAGATTGCGCGTAACCCCCGACATTGAACAAAGAAAGGATCAACCGTCAAAGTCCTACACTCCCTTCCACCCCGCCACGAACCCCTCAGGTGGGTGTACAGCCGGACCGGCAGGTGGACGCCCTCGTGCCTCGGATTGGAGCTGCACTCCACAAAGGCGTGAATCAACATAATTTCATAATGGTAGCATTACGGTATAGTATACATAATACATATCGCATGTAATTTTTCTTTGCAGGATATCAGAAGAGCTTCTCAGGCAATAGGCCGTGAATTCGTTTGTTCTGCCGTGCACACTGTTGCGAGGGCTACTAATGGCGCGATGGGCTTTCAGGAAACCGCTCAACCGGCTCAACCCCGTCTGCATGGAAGTGGATTGAACTTTGGAGGGTCCCCGAAATTCGCCGGAGCTTCGAAACACGAGTTGGTCTATGCAATACTCACTTCAGCCATGAGGAATATGATTTGCTCGTCCCAGCTTTGGCACGCCACGAGCTTCTTGCGACTTGGAGTGATTCAGCTTCCGGAGGCGGGCACGGGGTTTGAAACTGCGAAGCCTGTCTGATCGGACTGTACTTGTCTGGTTTGTGGCTTCTGGTCCCAATGATACTTGTCACCAAATCTTGCATCAAGAAGCCCCAAGGGATTGTTTCAACAAAAATAAACTCAGGATCCGTCGCTGACGGCATTGGGCCGTGGAGAAGCTTTGGCTGCGAACCGTGACGCGGTGCCCGTGTAGGGATTCAAGGCAGACGGCTTGGAACGGTGGTGCTTGGCATGAGGGAGCAGGACTTTTTTCCGAGTGCTGGACATCTGGAGTCCAGATTCAGACGATGCTCTTTAGGGAAATTTGATGTAATAATTTTTCACGGGCACAGTTCGAAGTGAAGCTAGCTAGTTGCTGCGTGCCGTTCAGTAAATCTCCAAATCCACAATCTCGAGCAGCTATACGAGGCCTCCAGTGATATTGCTATTATAACTGTGACTTATGAAGAGGCAGAAAGTTGGAGCCACGCTGGCCCCGCTACGAGCAGGAATACCTGCCAAGCTTTTAGCCCAACGCTCACGATATTGACGACAAGCAACTTCTTGAGCCATCACCCTGCTTCAGCTGCTGAAAGCTTGATGCTTTCGGCAGGTACAGCAGCAGCTCAGCCCGAGGTTGACGCTTAGCCGAAACCACCTGTTTGAGCAGGGAGGGTTCTCCTGGTGCCCATGTTGAGTACCACCAGTTTGTGGCTTTTTGGCATAGCCGCTGATATAGTCGAAGCGACAGAGGTTCTTCAAGAAGACTTGTGGTCGACCCTTTCTTCCGGTGGGCATTGAACTACACACAAAGCTCCTTCCGTTGCGAGGATCGTTGTCTCCCCCATCACACGTGCGACGCAGACGGCTTTTCTTGCCTTCCAGCACCTCCTGATGGACAACGGCTTTGTGTCCGCAATTAAATGCTCTTTCGGAGTGATGGTAAAGTCTCCAGCTGAAGGATGTTATGCTCTGGGCGTCCTGCTTGCCGTGTCGAGCGATGTGGAGTTTGAATTGACTGGTATATGCTTTGTAGTGAGGTGCTGCTGCCGAAGGTCAGGGGTCCAAGTTGGTTTGATTCGGGGATGTTACTGTGAAGAACTAGTACTACGCTTCTCCATACGGCTTCCTGCATTGACATACATACTGATCGTGTAAGCTCTCCTCAACCCACTGTAGCCTTGCATCACTGAGCTCGAAACAGTCGAACACGGAAGCTGCAACACGGTTCGCTAGAATACTCTGGATTGCATCATTTCGGAGGGATGAGGAGGAAGTATTTGGCCCTGAAATTTGGACTGTTGGGGATTGCCATGTCTAGCGGCCACGTGGCACATGGCAGAAGCTGAGCATCAATGAAGTAGGGCTTCTTGTTTAGTGTACAGGCTTTTCCGATCAGGCAACAAGATCTCACTGCGACAGTCGAACGATCGAACTGGCACTGCCCAAGCTTTATGAATGTAGGAGATAGGCAAGCGCAGTCATTCCAAAAGCAATGCAGAAGTCAATGACAGCAATCCTTGAACTACCTTAGCAACATCGTGAACAAAAGATCATAGCCAGAGTAGCAGTAGCAATGATGCTACCGGAAGCTAGGGCAGCCTGCGCGCAGAACTTGACAGAAAGTTGTTGTCAAGGACCCGAGCCAGCAGAACTAGGACGAAGAAGGAAAAATGTCCTTGTGGAAGGAAGGCATGTGACTGTCCGTGCACGTACCGTTTAGCCCTACAGCCTACTTCTTTCGTTTGCGATGTTGTGAACCTTCGACCCAAAAGAATCCTGGTTCAGCGTTTACAGCAGCTGTTTCTCTCGCTTTAATGTCCGCCACCAGCACAATACCACGACTACTGTCACAACTGCACTCGGATACTGTAGCGACACCTGCGTAGATACTCTCGCAATGTCATCGCCCCCTTCGAAGTTATTCGCTCCCCTTCAGTTGGGCTCCATCGGAACCCTTCAGCATCGGGTGGTCCTGGCTCCTTTAACTCGAAACCGCGCGTCGGAGCCCGAGCTGGCGCCATCGCAGCTGGCAGTGCAGTATTACCGACAAAGGGCCAGTCCAGGAGGCCTTCTCATCACCGAGGCGGTGCACATCAGCCCCGAGTCTTTAGCCTATCCCTCAACTCCAGGCATTTGGTCTCCAACTCAAGCGGAAGGTTGGAGGCAGGTGACGCGAGCTGTACATGAACGAGGTGGGCTCATCGTGTGTCAACTGTGGCATACGGGACGTGTAGCACATCCGGATTTTACCAAGCACCCTTCTAATGTAGGGGAACGGTATCGGCCGGGGGTGTCGGCAAGTCAGGTGCAGATTGTGAACCGTAACGGGAAGCCAGGGAAAACGCTCACCTACGATGGCATCAAGGACTTTGCGGTTCCCAGAGAATTATCAAAGGAAGACCTGCAGCGGCTCATCGACGACTACACCCATGCAGCTCAGAATGCAAAAGCGGCAGGATTCGATGGTGTGGAGATTCACGCGGCGCATGGGTATTTGATTGATCAGTTCTTGAACAACGGAGTCAACTGTCGCACAGACCAGTACGGTGGTTCTTGTGAGAACCGGTGCAGGCTGCTCCGACAGGTGGTTGAGGCTGTATTCAGTGTTTGGGCAGGTGGCAAAGTGGGAGTCCGACTGTCTCCGCACGATGCACCAAACGGCGGCAATACATTCTACGGTTGCACGGATTCTAATCCGGATGCCATTTATTCGCATGCTGTTCAGACGTTGAATGAGTATCCGCTTGCGTATTTGCTTGTCACCGAGCCGCGTTGGGTCGGTAAGCACGATGCCAATCCTGAGAAGGATCCAGGCTTTCAAATGCCCCTGATCAATCTGCAGAAGTATCGCTCGCTGTTTCGTGGTGTCATGATTGGAGCCGGAGGCTTCACACCGGCCACTTCTTACGAAGCTTGCATGGAGGACAGACAGGGGTATGATGCCATCGCATTTGGACGTTGGTTCATTTCAAACCCCGACTTGCCAGAACGATTGAGGGCCTGGCACGAGAACAAGTCTTCGAGAGACCGGCAGCAACCCACCAGAGACCCTCCATGGCTAAACCGGTACGATCGGAATACGTTCTATGCATCTGGGACAGAAGGCTATATCGATTATCCCTCCATGGAGTACGAGGGAGCTGCTTTGAGCAGCAATGCTACAACATCAATCGAACATGAAGGGATGATTGCGGGGAAGTACCAGCTGATGGATCCTTCAAAAGTTGGCACAAGCTTGACGGTCACAGAGAGCACGGAAGCAAGAAGTAAGTTGTAATGGCGAAATGGCGTCAGAAGTGACGTTGAGACATCTTCGCGAGGTGTTATTAGTTATGCCAAGGCGACTTAAGATCTTGCATATCATAAACGGTAGTGGCTTCCGGACCTAGAAGCAGTCAGTCAGTGCTGTACCCATATACATATACGAATTACAAGAACGTATTATGACAAGAATAACAACAATAGCATTAATAACATCAATAACGATAGCAGTAATAACAATACCAGCAGTTTGACATTGATAGTTTCTGTAGCCGTACATGTCGAGGCACCACGTGGCTTGCTTGGATCTGCGTCGGTGAAAAAATGTCGCCCAGGCCGTAGCCTGCATTGCACAATACTACTTCGTCATAATAACAGCAATAGTAATCATATGTAATAAGAAAAGTAATAACAACAATAAGTCCTAATCATAAAGAACCATGATATTACTATGCTTATATCATCATGATTACCCTTACTGTTCCGGTTATTAGACGAACGAGTTCCAGGTCTCCCCAAGCGCGGTGTGCGCTTTGTGGCCCACGAGGCCAGAGCAAATCGCCAGTAGGTCCTGATTTGCGGAGGGTTTAGGGTTTAGGGGAGGTCTTGCATTCTACTTGTATCTGCACTGGAGTTGCAGTTGCTGCAGTGTTGCTGCAGGCACCAAACCTGTAGACCTAAGACGCACACTTGGTTTAGGTTTCAACTGTCAACATTGGAGCATGCAGGGGCTCCACGAACGCGGTGGTGGTAGCACCTGCGACTGTCGGCGGCCACGCCGAGAACTACAGCACTTCGGTCAAGTCAGCACATTCGGGTACTTCGGGACTTGTGTGCAAGGTATCGGGAGTGATCTCGTAGATATGCAGCTACGGAATTCCGACTCGTGGGACTGTTGCTCGCACAGAGGCATGTTGTGGCTGTGGTAACTGCAGGAATGCTCGGGAATCGCTCGGGTACACGTTTGTTGCTGTCTTGGTTGTTGCCTTGCGTATGGACAAGAGAATCGTCAATTACAGGTTACTGGCAGCAAAAATGGTAGATGCCGCTTTGCACATGCCTTCGGGTTTCGTGTTTCGCAGTGCTCCTGCAGCTATTGTAGTTATGTGTGTTCGATGTCCTCGTTACTTCTCCTGAATGCACTTCTAGCTGCGAAGCTAAGACAGCTAAGACTCGTCTAGCGAAGGTCCCAACTTGCCGTGTGTTCGGCTGTTGAAGGGTCGTTTCGGCACTGTCAGCCAAGCAAGGAACGAGTTCCCCCACGTGGATTACCGCCTGTCCTTCGGCAGCAAGTTCAGCGGGTGCGTTCATTCCTGAACCCACGCCACTCTGAAACAGTAATGCCACGCCCGGGATGCTCCTGGGGGAGCCTGACCCTATTTTGTGCACTCAGGGATCCGACACCGCAACACCCAACCGGGCAGTAACACGGTTTAGTTTGAAGTGCCCCGACCATTTTGGAATCGTCTTTGGTGTGCTTGGTTGCTGCCTCGTGCAAGCCTCAGCGAGGCTGAAGCAGCAGGACCCGCTGTGGTCTGCACAGCGGGAGTCCCAGGCCTCCATGGTTGCCCGCCTGCATCGCAGCTGGGCCTGCAGTCCACGGATGTCAGGGGAATACTACATTGCTTAAAATTGTGCGCAACAGTTGTGAAGCACGAGAGTGTCAGGTGCTGCGCATATAAACATGTAAGCACGATCATCATGGACATGTACATCCTGTCCTTGCAGTGCAAAACAAGCTCCTACGAGCGTTTCGGCCAGGTGTCCATTCTTCCTGCTTGTTAGAGCTGAGGCTTCTTCAAATGGCTTCGTACCTGCCCCGAGGCCAGCCCAAAAGAACAGAGACTTCAAACTTAGAAGCCGAATGCTGGTCGGAGAGCTTGCAGGGAGACGGCCACATGAAGCTGCTCTTTTTGTAATAAGGTACTGCATGTTTTCACTCGTAGCCGATGCTTCGGCCCTTGTGTCACCGTCTCCAAACCGAAGCCCGTGACCTGGAGAGTGGTTAAGCACGGGCTCATGAAGTCGGGCGACACAAGTAGTTTAGGGCCTCTAGAGTTTGGGATTCCTAAGCCTTTGGGAAGGAAGAGGTGGCCTTGGTGGCCCACTGCAGCATCAACTTCACGATGCTGAATGCGGTGCCTTGACTCCTCAGACCTTGGAGTGTACTTCAAAAAGTTGGGCCAGGCCTTTTGAAGGGTCAGGGCTTGCTGCACGGATGTACCCGTATTTGTACGTAGCATCTTGAGGGCTTGGACAAGGCTTCGGTCGGAGTTCCGGCGGCTTCAGGATAGCCTTGGCAAAGCTTCAGTCTCGCATGCTTCGGTTTCGGGCATTCCATCGCGGGTGTTCGGCTTTGTGGAGTGATGTGCTGACGGCCACCGAGCAAGGACGTGTTCTGGATTCCTTTATTCTGTGTTAGGTGATATTGACCAGCAACGGCTGGGCAATCTAGCTCGTAGGTCAGCCGGTCAGCCACCAGAATCGACTATGCTACGCTTCAGGTCGTCGATTGCTCTTTGGATCCGCACTTGGCCGTTGCTTGCCTTCTTTGATTTCTCCCCTGTAACTGCATGATCAACCAGCCCGAAAACACACTTGTAGGCCGGTCAGAAAGAGGGCAGTATAGCTTTTCAGAGTCCGCAGGACTTATCCCACGTTCATCCGTCCACATCGAAATCGGCTGTTTGCTCCTCGTTGCACTTTCGTTCCGAGCCCAAACTCGAGCACGAAAGTAATGCACCCAAGAGTCAGGATTTGGTTCGACGAATAAGTGGTATTTGTTCATGGTCAACGGGGTTTAGCTTCCGGTGTTTGCAGATTGAGGACTCTTGTGGGCGCGAGAGTTCGCCTGGACTTGAGAAGCAACATACTCTGGCCGTGGGCATCGATTCGGTCGCAGTGCTACGCAAAGTCAAGAGACTCCACAGTCCCAACCCTGAAAGACGACGCGGTTTGCACGAGAAGCAGAACATAGGCAGTGCCTTAATGTAACTGATGCCTGCTTGAAAGCACCTTTCGGAAGACAAATAGCTTTTCAGGTTGACTTGAGCACGATTTCGTCAGATCCTTTAGACTGTAGAAGATGACATTTCTTTTTTTGCCTTTGCCGTTCGTTCTTAAGGATTGGTTCGTGACTGCCGAAATGCGATCCATGCGAGTGCTCTGGGAGGAGCCAAGGCCTGCCTGCAGTCGACGAGCGAAAGTCTAAAGTCTTCGAACACGTGACATTTAAGGGCCCATCTCATCTCTAGTCAGAAGAGTTTATTTAGCACCAAGAAAGATAGGAAGAGCCGAACTTTGCTGGCAATTGTAAGATTTGCTTGGTAGACAGCAGCAGATACACTTGCTTCGTTAGTCGCTTCAGTCCGCGCGCGCAGCTCTCTCAGATAAGCAAGCCAGCAGCTATTGTCGACCTCTATATGTTGGGGGAAGCAATGTCCCCAATCCTCGTTCTACACTCTGTTGCCAAGTTGTTGGATTCGTCGCACTGCAAAGGCCCAAACATTCAGCCTGAGCCTCGATCAATCACGGATGCGGCGTATGCGTTTCAAGTTTTGAATCCCACGCCTCCGCCCCTAGGCCGGAGTCCTGTAAGCCCGACGTGACGTGCACACCCTCGGCGTTGAGCTCTGAGATTTCCGGCAGGAAGGAGACTGCGAAATTCATCGACGGTGGACACCTCGTTGGGCTGGCGAAGGGACACTGTCAGCCTCTCAGTTTTCCAGAGAGCCCAACTCCCCTTGAGAAGTCTTTCTCATAGATCGAATCATAAGTTGCCTAGTCAAGGGGCATTGGGAACGCTGCGGCCTCGGTTTCTCGTCGTCCCAATCGGTGAAAAAGTTGGAGGATGTGTTTAGGGTTGAGGGTGTAGCTCAGCTTGTTTTTTGGTCTACAGGCTTTTATTTACGAACAGAACGCGTGCCTCAGTGCCGCTAGTCTATTCCGGTATCCGAATCCAGAACCCGAAGTCGCGGAGTGACAGGCCTCAACCGTTAGCCCTAGACGGTTTGAGGAAGTCAGAGAAGAGGAGAGCGCGCGAAGCCTTACAAAATCGTAGCCAGCGGGGTGATCCCGGTATTTGGTTGTTCCCGGTTGCTCTGCCGGCATTGCTTCAGGCCAGCTTTACCCGCATCTACTGCGTGTCGCTCAAGAAGGTGATGAAGACTCAGTGACTTGGCGATCGGACAGGTCTTGCAGTGCTGCTTTCACGGTCTACAGCTCAGCTGTGTTGGTGTTTCTTGGCTTCGTGCCATGCGATCGTCGCACAGCGGGACGGTCCTTGCTGCTTCCAGCTTGAAGCTGTGAGCTCGTCAAGTTTTCTTAGGTGCATGTAGAAGGCGGCACCACAACTAGATTTGCCGTAACGACCGCTTCGCCTATATGGGCATGAAAAGCCGTCGCAAGTGTTCCAAAGTTTGGTTCTTCTGCCGCTAGATCGCAAAGCAATTTGGTTTTTCTCTGCTGGTAGCTGCTTAGCAAAAGACCTACCAGCAACAGCAGGTGTGCAAGGGTGGAAATACGGAGGAGACTTGCAAGTTGAGGCACGGTTAAACTGCCCGAGAATGTGTAAACAAGAGAAGGTGAGAGAGATATGACCAGCAACAGGAGATGCTGAAATTGCAACCCTGACGAGCTTGTAAACGTGGTTCACGAAAGCCAGTGCCACGATCTTGAATGCGCATTCGACTGCAGCAGCGAAGCAGTGCGAAGCCGAACCTCCCGATGTGTTCAGGATTTCAAGCTTAATGCCTAAGATGCTAGCAGGGTATGGATGAATATGGCATACGGCTCACGAAACAGCATGTTTACTTGTTTCATTCTCCTCCAGGTTCATTTGCGACGCGACTACCAGGAGACACTTTGGTTGGCTTGGCCGCTGCCTCTTTACCCTTGGCGTGTTTCGTTTCAGCTTGGATCGTTTGTCTCTGCGCATTGTGGCAAAGGCATAGATGTTTCGACTTAACCTGAAAGGCAGATTCGCATAAGCCGCTCAGTTCTACTATTTTGCAGTCTCGTTCTGATTTTTTTTCTACAGCTCTCAGTTACTCTCTCCTGCGTCCTGAACTCGATGCTGCTGAGCGGAACAAAGCAGGAGTACGCGGCCAGCGGCCATGTGGCCTTGATCTGTGGAGGCCAGCCCACGAAGAAGCACGCTTTTGCAGAAACATTTTTGCAGACGGCCTTCGGGCATGCCAAACCCTAAACAGTAAACCCCTAAACCCTAAGAAACCAATCAGCCAGATCAATAGAAAGAGGTGGCGCGGGTCACGAGCCACTGATGGCTGGCTTCGTGGGCCAAGGTCTCCTCACAGCCTCAGCTCCTGAGATTGATCTCTGGAACTCCTTGAATGCATGCTACGCTGCTAAGGGTATGAGTGCATTCCCAGAGTGGAAAAACGCTGTGAGGGTTTCGGGTATTGGAGGCAGTTTGGTGTAGAGTTGGGGTTCATGTTCGAGACTCCCGTCCCCACATCGGGTCTCGGGCCCTGGATCCGCGAGTCGCTCCTTTCTCCGTCCAGAAAGGAGCAGTTGAGACTAGAAGAGCGAAGGGAGTCGGTACACAGGCTTGTCATTGAATTCGGGGTAGTCAATGTGAGGGTTTCAATGTCTGGGACGTGTGAGTTTCAAGAAGTGTGCAACGGCTTCGTGCTGGAGCTGCAGTAGTGCTTTCCGGGCCCTTGAATGACATCAGAATCCTTGATTATTCGTCTTTCCAGGTTACTGGGGCGCTGTTTGCTGCCCCCTCGCCTGGTGCCATCTTCCGTGCCATCATGGCCGCGGCCGGGCCTGCAGGCAATGTTGAAGCAGGGATTCGGGGATCGCAGCCCGCAGATCTGCAGCATCCGACAGCGATTCGACTTCCAAGGATCCCAGTTTGCCCGAACCCAGCAGCCCAAGAGCCAAGAGCCTTTTTCTTTCAACTTTAGCCCCCTCCTTGCGGTTCTCGGCGGAGGCTGCATCCTCATAGTGAAGAACTACCCGGGCCTTCGCTTCAACCACGCCGTGGCCGCCGAGCGCGCGAGGAGCAAAGGCGCGGGGTCCCGTTCTGTCGGGTCGCCAGGGCGTAGCCATTGTTTGTAAGGAGCCGCCCGCCCCCACCTCAAAGGCTAAAGGCACCCATTGCTGAGAGATCGGACAAGGACAAACCTTGTGAATCAGAAGGATCTTGCAGGATGGACTTCCCCGAAGAAGTCCCTGCGGCACTCCACGGGACGCGGTGAACCCCCTGCTCTGACTCCCGATTGTCGCAGATGCCACGAATGCTGGACAACGTATAGGTTCTAGATGTGCATCCAACCGTTGCTTGTCCAATACTGGATTCTACGAATCCTCTGCATTTTCCGAGTCCAAAATGTCTTTCCGCCATCGCCATTTACTCGGCACAAGATCTGAAGTGTCCTTGTCCGGTACATAAAGCACTTGAGCACAGGCGTGACCGTGGAGTTGGTCATCGTGCAGCCGTGCTGAACTAGTCTTCGCCAGCATGGTCCTAGTCCGAGCTTAAGAGCAGCGGCATCCTGCAGCAGTCTGTGACTGTCGGTGCTTCGGCCTATGCAAGATTTCAACATCTCGCAGGCTCGTACCGCAGAAACAGTTCGTTCCTGGTGAGGTCGGACGACGTCGGCTCTCAGCAGGGGGAATCGGAGGCTGGCTGCGCGGTTGCCGCCAGGTCTGTGGAATCTGCAAACGTTGAGAGCTGGGCAGCGGCAGGCCTCACGATGCCTCGCGGGCGCAGCGGTGGTCATCAAGGCCCTTTCGGGTTCGGCCGACGTCTTGCATGTTTGGACCACAGGGGAGGGACTGAGATTCCTCCTGTCCCAAGGAGGCCATGCAGTCCCGTGTTTCAGCTCATCAGACTAGGTGGCTGGCAGCCTGGCACAGGATGGCAAAGACCTCGACGAGGTGCCCCGGCTTTGGGACTTCTTGGGGCTTTTTGGAGCTCCATCAGCCCCCGAACATCTAAAGCCACCTCAACCCAAACCCCCTTCCAAGCCAGGATCAGGCTCTCAGGGTCACCCCAACTTGGAGAGCCAGATTTCTTGATCGGAAGCCTCTTGAGAGTATACTTACTTAGTACTTGCTGGGAGTCCCCAACGGTGCTGTTAGGCACCATCATCCTTGAAAAACGCTACTTCAATCAGACTTTAGCTCAAGGTGAGAGCAGCTGCACAATCAACGGCCGATGCCATAAAGACCATGGCTCTCGCCCTGCGATGGTCGGGGCAGGGTTGCAGACAGTATTTAGGACCACTTAGGAGTTACGGGATCTTGATTGGTGTGTGAAAGTAAGAGAGGCTTCCCTTCCCCACTTGTTCGTGGTCAGCCTTCAGCCTGAAGGGCCCTGAAGAAGTCCTTTCATTGTTATACCCGTTCGGCTTAGGACAGAATCCCTGAAGGAACCCTGCGCACGATTCATGAGCGAGGCATACCCCACGCATTAAGCCGGCTCAATTTTTTGCCTCAAGCCCCACCGCCCAAGTACAAGCTCTGGGCCAGAAGCGCCAGCAAGATGCTGTCTTTGCCTTCGCCTTCCTTTGCTACCCTCACAGTCACTAGACCACCCAGAGCTGGCGTTGGTCATGTCGCCCCGGAGAACAACGGGCATTCTTGGTGAGAGTGCGTTTACGCAGTTTACGTTTTAATCAGCCTCGGTCATTGGACGGATTCAGCGAACACACGGGGCGAGCATCATCAGCATGTATCAGCATCAGCCGGGTTTTTTTTGTGAACTCACAACCCCATCTCCAGGTCTTTCAACCCAAAACAGTGTAGCAGTTCAGCCCACATTGATGGGACGTGTTCAGCGAGCCGCAGTACGAGCATCATCAGCTTCAGCTGGAAATCCTTTTGTGGACTCATAACCCTCTCTCCGGGTCTTTCAACCCGCACCAGGGCAGCACGTCGACCCAGTGAGTGGGTTGAACGAAACCACGGGGCGAGCATCATCAGCATCAGCTGGAGATTTTTTGTGTTAAAAATCAAAACCCCATCTCCGGGTCTTTCAACCCACAGCAGGGTAGCAATTTGACCGTGTCATTGGACGGATTCAACGAAACCACGGGGCGAGCATCATCAGCATCAGCTGGAAATCTTTTTTTGGTAATCAAAACCCCATCTCCGGGTCTTTCAACCCACAGCAGGGTAGCAATTTGACCGTGTCATTGGACGATTCAACGAAACCACGGGGCGAGCATCATCAGCATCAGCTGGAAATCTTTTTTTGGTAATCAAAACCCCATCTCCGGGTCTTTCAACCCACAGCAGGGTAGCAATTTGACCGTGTCATTGGACGATTCAACGAAACCACGGGGCGAGCATCATCAGCATCAGCTGGAAATCTTTTTTTGGTAATCAAAACCCCATCTCCGGGTCTTTCAACCCACAGCAGGGTAGCAATTTGACCGTGTCATTGGACGATTCAACGAAACCACGGGGCGAGCATCATCAGCATCAGCTGGAAATCTTTTTTTGGTAATCAAAACCCCATCTCCGGGTCTTTCAACCCACAGCAGGGTAGCAATTTGACCGTGTCATTGGACGATTCAACGAAACCACGGGGCGAGCATCATCAGCATCAGCTGGAAATCTTTTTTGGTAATCAAAACCCCATCTCCGGGTCTTTCAACCCACAGCAGGGTAGTAATTTGACCGTGTCATTGGACGATTCAACGAAACCGCGGGGCGAGCATCATCAGCATCAGCTGGAAATCGTTTTTGGTAATCACAACCCAATCTCTGCGTCTTTCACTTGACAGCAGGGTAGCAGTTTGACGCAGTCATTGAAACCGAGCATTATCAGCATCAGCCGGAAATCTTTTCGGTCATCACAGAGCATCGGTTGCAAAGGTTTTTTTGGAATCACAACCCCATCTCCGCATTTTTCAACCCTCAGCAGGGTAGCACGTCGACCCAGTGAGTGGATTGAACGAAACCACGGGGCGAGCATCATCAGCATCAGCTGGAAATAGTTTTTGGCAATCGCAACCCCATCTCCGGGCCTTTCAATAGCAATTTGACCGTGGCATTGGACGAATTCAACGAAACCACGGGGCGAGAATTATCACTTGACAGCAGTTGATGCAGCCATTGAAACCACATGGCAAGCATTATCAGCATCAGCTGGAAATCTGTTTCGCTCATCACAACCCCATTTCAGGGTAGCTGTTCGACCCAGTCATTGGACGGATTCAATGAAACCACAGGACGAGCATCATCAGCATCAGCTGGAAGCCTTGTTGTGGATTCACAAACCTATCTCCACGCCTTTCAACTGTCAGCAGGGTGGCCGTTTGTTTGACCCAGTCATGGAAACCACGGGGCGAGCAGGCGCGCATCATCAGCATCAGCTGGAAATCTTGTTGGGAATCACAGCCCCATCTCCGTGTGTTTCAACCCACAGCAGGGTAGCAGTGAGACCAAATCATTGGGCGGATTCAGCACAACCACAGAGCATCGGTTGCAAAGCTTTTTTTGAATCACAACCCCATCTCCGCATTTTTCAACCCTCAGCAGTTTCAACCCTCAGCAGGGTAGCGCGTCGACCCAGTGAGTGGGTTGAACGAAACCACGGGGCGAGCATCATCAGCATCAGCTGGAAACCTTTTTTGGTAATCGCAACCGCATCTCCGGGTCTTTCAACCCACAGCAGGGTAGCAATTTGACCGTGTCATTGGACGGATTCAACGAAACCACGGGGCGAGCATCATCAGCATCAGCTGGAAATTTTTTTTTGGTAATCAAAACCCCATCTCCGGGTCTTTCAACCCACAGCAGGGTAGCAATTTGACCGTGTCATTGGACGATTCAACGAAACCACGGGGCGAGCATCATCAGCATCAGCTGGAAATCGTTTTTGGTAATCACAACCCCATCTCTGCGTCTTTCACTTGACAGCAGGGTAGCAGTTTGACGCAGTCATTGAAACCGAGCATTATCAGCATCAGCCGGAAATCTTTTCGGTTATCACAGAGCATCGGTTGCAAAGGTTTTTTTTTGGAATTACAACCCATCTCCGCATTTTTGAACCCTCAGCAGTTTCGACCCTCAGCAGGGTAGCGCGTCGACCCAGTGAGTGGATTGAACGAAACCACGGGGCGAGCTTGGTAATCGCAACCCCATCTCCGGGCCTTTCAATAGCAATTTGACCGTGGCATTGGACAGATTCAACGAAACCACGGGGCAAGAATTATCACTTGACAGCAGGGTAGCAGTTTGACGCAGCCATTGAAACCACATGGCAAGCATTATCAGCATCAGCTGGAAATCTTTTTCGCTCATCACAACCCCATCTCCGTATCTTTCAACCCACTGCAGGGTAGCTTTTCGACCCAGTCATTGGACGGATTCAATGAAATCACAGGACGAACATCATCAGCATCAGCTGGAAGCCTTGTTGTGGAATCACAGACCTATCTCCACGCCTTTCAACTGTCAGCAGGGTGGCCGTTTGTTTGACCCAGTCATGGAAACCACGGGGCGAGCAGGCGCGCATCGTCAGCATCAGCTGGAAATCTTGTTGGGAATCACAGCCCCATCTCCGTGTGTTTCAACCCACAGCAGGGTAGCAGTGAGACCAAATCATTGGGCGGATTCAGCACAACCACAGAGCATCGGTTGCAAAGCTTTTTTGAATCACAACCCCATCTCCGCAGTTTTCAACCCTCAGCAGTTTCAACCCTCAGCAGGGTAGCGCGTCGACCCAGTGAGTGGATTGAACGAAACCACGGGTCGAGCATCATCGGCATCAGCTGGAAATCTTTTTTGCTAATCGCAACCCATCTCCGGGTCTTTCAACCCACAGCAGGGTAGCAATTTGACCGTGTCATTGGACGGATTCAACGAAACCACGGGGCGAGCATCATCAGCATCAGCTGGAAATCTTTTTTTGGTAATCAAAACCCCATCTCCGGGTCTTTCAACCCACAGCAGGGTAGCAATTTGACCGTGTCATTGGACGATTCAACGAAACCACGGGGCGAGCATCATCAGCATCAGCTGGAAATCTTTTTTTGGTAATCAAAACCCCATCTCCGGGTCTTTCAACCCACAGCAGGGTAGCAATTTGACCGTGTCATTGGACGATTCAACGAAACCACGGGGCGAGCATCATCAGCATCAGCTGGAAATCGTTTTTGGTAATCACAACCCCATCTCTGCGTCTTTCACTTGACAGCAGGGTAGCAGTTTGACGCAGTCATTGAAACCGAGCATTATCAGCATCAGCCGGAAATCTTTTCGGTTATCACAGAGCATCGGTTGCAAAGGTTTTTTTTGGAATTACAACCCATCTCTGCATTTTTCAACCCTCAGCAGTTTCGACCCTCAGCAGGGTAGCGCGTCGACCCAGCGAGTGGATTGAACGAAACCACGGGGCGAGCATCATCAGCATCAGCTGGAAATCTTTTTTGGTAATCGCAACCCCATCTCCGGGCCTTTCAATAGCAATTTGACCGTGGCATTGGACGGATTCAACGAAACCACGGGGCAAGAATTACCACTTGAGAGCAGGGTAGCAGTTTGACGCAGCCATTGAAACCACGTGGCAAGCATTATCAGCATCAGCTGGAAATCTTTTTCGCTCATCACAACCCCATCTCCGTATCTTTCAACCCACTGCAGGGTAGCTTTTCGACCCAGTCATTGGACGGATTCAATGAAATCACAGGACGAACATCATCAGCAGCAGCTGGAAGTATTGTTGTGGAATCACAGACCTATCTCCACGCCTTTCAACTGTCAGCAGGGTGGCCATTTGTTTGACCCAGTCATGGAAACCACGGGGCGAGCAGGCGCGCATCGTCAGCATCAGCTGGAAATCTTGTTGGGAAACACAGCCCCATCTCCGTGTGTTTCAACCCACAGCAGGGTAGCAGTGAGACCAAATCATTGGGCGGATTCAGCACAACCACAGAGCATCGGTTGCAAAGCTTTTTTGAATCACAACCCCATCTCCGCAGTTTTCAACCCTCAGCAGTTTCAACCCTCAGCAGGGTAGCGCGTCGACCCAGTGAGTGGATTGAACGAAACCACGGGTCGAGCATCATCGGCATCAGCTGGAAATCTTTTTTGCTAATCGCAACCGCATCTCCGGGTCTTTCAACCCACAGCAGGGTAGCAATTTGACCGTGTCATTGGACGGATTCAACGAAACCACGGGGCGAGCATCATCAGCATCAGCTGGAAATCTTTTTTTGGTAATCAAAACCCCATCTCCGGGTCTTTCAACCCACAGCAGGGTAGCAATTTGACCGTGTCATTGGACGGATTCAACGAAACCACGGGGCGAGCATCATCAGCATCAGCTGGAAATCTTTTTTTGGTAATCAAAACCCCATCTCCGGGTCTTTCAACCCACAGCAGGGTAGCAATTTGACCGTGTCATTGGACGATTCAACGAAACCACGGGGCGAGCATCATCAGCATCAGCTGGAAATCGTTTTTGGTAATCACAACCCCATCTCTGCGTCTTTCACTTGACAGCAGGGTAGCAGTTTGACGCAGTCATTGAAACCGAGCATTATCAGCATCAGCCGGAAATCTTTTCGGTTATCACAGAGCATCGGTTGCAAAGGTTTTTTTTGGAATTACAACCCATCTCCGCATTTTTCAACCCTCAGCAGTTTCGACCCTCAGCAGGGTAGCGCGTCGACCCAGCGAGTGGATTGAACGAAACCACGGGGCGAGCATCATCAGCATCAGCTGGAAATCTTTTTTGGTAATCGCAACCCCATCTCCGGGCCTTTCAATAGCAATTTGACCGTGGCATTGGACGGATTCAACGAAACCACGGGGCAAGAATTACCACTTGACAGCAGGGTAGCAGTTTGACGCAGCCATTGAAACCACATGGCAAGCATTATCAGCATCAGCTGGAAATCTTTTTCGCTCATCACAACCCCATCTCCGTATCTTTCAACCCACTGCAGGGTAGCTTTTCGACCCAGTCATTGGACGGATTCAATTAATCACAGGACGAACATCATCAGCAGCACCTGGAAGTATTGTTGTGGAATCACAGACCTATCTCCACGCCTTTCAACTGTCAGCAGGGTGGCCATTTGTTTGACCCAGTCATGGAAACCACGGGGCGAGCAGGCGCGCATCGTCAGCATCAGCTGGAAATCTTGTTGGGAATCACAGCCCCATCTCCGTGTGTTTCAACCCACAGCAGGGTAGCAGTGAGACCAAATCATTGGGCGGATTCAGCACAACCACAGAGCATCGGTTGCAAAGCTTTTTTTGAATCACAACCCCATCTCCGCAGTTTTCAACCCTCAGCAGTTTCAACCCTCAGCAGGGTAGCGCGTCGACCCAGTGAGTGGATTGAACGAAACCACGGGTCGAGCATCATCGGCATCAGCTGGAAATCTTTTTTGCTAATCGCAACCGCATCTCCGGGTCTTTCAACCCACCGCAGGGTAGCAATTTGACCGTGTCATTGGACGGATTCAACGAAACCACGGGGCGAGCATCATCAGCATCAGCTGGAAATCCTGCTGGTAATCAAAACCCCATTTCTGCGTCTTTCACTTCACAGCAGGGTAGCAGTTTGGCGCAGTCGTTGAAACCACAGGGCGAGCATTATCAGCATCAGCTGGAAATCTGTTTCGGTCATCACAACCCCATCTCCGTATCTTTCAACCCACTGCAGGGTAGCTGTTCGACCCAGTCATTGGACGGATTCAATGAAACCACAGGACGAACATCATCAGCATCAGCTGGAAGCCTTGTTGTGGAATCACAAACCTATCTCCACGCCTTTCAGCTGTCAGCAGGGTGGCGGTTTGACCCAGTCATGGAAACCACGGGGCGAGCAGGCGCGCATCGTCAGCATCAGCTGGAAATCCTGTTGGGAATCACAGCCCCATCTCCGTGTGTTTCAACCCACAGGAGGGTAGCAGTGAAACCAAATCATTGGGCGGATTCAGCAAAACCACAGAGCATCGGTTGCACAGCTTTTTTTGGAGTCACAACCCCATCTCCGCATTTTCAACCCTCAGCAGTTTCAACCCTCAGCAGGGTAGCGCGTCGACCCAGTGAGTGGATTGAACGAAACCACGGGTCGAGCATCATCAGCATCAGCTGGAAATCTTTTTTGGCAATCGCAACCGCATCTCCGGGTCTTTCAACCCACAGCAGGGTAGCAATTTGACCGTGTCATTGGACGGATTCAACGAAACCACGGGGCGAGCAGTACCAGCATCAGCTGTAAATCGTTTTTTGGATTTCCAACCCCATCTCCAGGTGCTTTAACCCACAGTCAAACGAATTCAGCAAACAATAGGGCCAATTATCAGCATCAGCTGGAAATCTTTTGTGACAGTCGCAACCCCATCTCACCCCGCAGCAGGTTGGCAGTTCGATTGAGTCATTGGACGGATTCAGCGCCACAAGTGCTAGCATCATTAGCATCATCTTGAAAGTTTTTTCGGGAGTCACAACCCCATTCCCGGGTCTCGCAACGCTCAGCAGCCAAACCACTCGAGTGTTTTAACCCTCAGCAGGGTAGCAGTTCGACCCAGTCACGGAACGGATTCATCGAAACCACGGGTCGAGCATCATCAGCATCAGCTGGAAATCTTTCTGGGAATCACAACCCCATCTCCGGGCCTTTCAACCTGCAACAAGGCAGCAATTCGACCGAGCCATTGAGCAGATTCAGCGAAGCCGCGTGCGAGCATCATCAGCATCAGCTGGAATGTTTTCGGCAGTCACAACCCCATCTCCGCTCAGCAGGGTAGCACGTCGACCCAGTGAGTGGGTTGAACGAAACCACGCGGGGAGCATCGTCAGGATCAGCTGGAAACCATTTTTTGGTTCTCGCAAACCCCATCTCCGGTTCTTTCAAAACCCTAAGCCGGAAAACCCGAAAACCCTAAATCCTAGATTCCCTAGACATGCCAAGCGAGATCTCCGCCTGCGAGGCGCGGGGTAGATTGGATCCTGGAGCTCGGAGTTGGAATCCACGGAGAGGCTTCGGGGCCTTCGAAGCCGAGGGGGGATGTGGAGCCTGGGGAGCTTCAGAAGGGTGGTTGTCAAAATTCTGGTCCCTTTTGGGTCCCTGTTATAATACGGCACCTATTATTTAGGGTAGGAACTACCCAGAAACCTGTGAGGTTCTTCGCGTCGATGTGTGGACATAGGAGAAACTTGAAGCATCAAGCTGGGGTTCTTTTGCAACGAATAGGTCAAGAGACTATAAGCGTTAGGCTCCCTGTGCCACGAGTCAGATAAGGGCTTCGTGCACTTGAAAGCCAAAGGCTAAATCTTGCCAAAGCCCTGGTCCGCAGGCTGGGGTGCAAGAGATGTCCTCACTCGCGTGCCTCGCTTGCGGCTAGCCGGGTTCAGGATTTCCGGAGCTTCAGAGTAGTTCGGTTGTTTCGTGGCTCGTCAAACGCAGCTGCTCTCACTTGGGCGATGCAAGGCCCCAGCTCACTATCGCGCAGGCGGCAGCCACATCCAAACAAAGCCCAAGCGCCAAGATGGTCCAAGCGCCCAAATTCCTTGTCCACGACATGCCGCAAACCCCTCGAAATGCTCGTGCTTCTATGCTTCCAAAGATTTTTCTGATAGCCCAGGAGCCTTCCTGGTGCCACAGATGGCCGCTTTGCCACCGCAGTGGTGCTTTGACCCGACTTCAAGAAGAGACTGTGATGTGTTAGGACTGCTCGGAGGCACTATGCAAGGCATGGGATGTTGGCAACCCCCGAACCCTGGAAGCCCTTGACTCCCCTCCCCCGCAAACTCCCAAGATCTTTGAACCTGAAGCGCCACCTCCACCTCCTCAGCTTCAGAGCTTCATCCCCGAGCAGCTCCCAACCCTTGACTCCCCTCACGACGACGGACTTTCAGGTGCGAGCGCTGCTTCGGCAGCTGCTCCCAGCAACGAAGCTCCCGCACGGTCGGGGCCGTCTCTGGGATCAGGGTGTTTGGGCTTCCTGGTTTGGGTCAAGTTGGGGCTTTCAGGTTCAGGGTGTCATTCTGCCATGGATCCGAAGCAGAGGCAGGGCATTTCAGATTTGCTGCGCTGTAGAGCTTCGCACTTCAGGCTTCGAGGTATCAGCGGCCTTCCCGGCTTGGAAAGAGCCACACAGGATCCAATGATGTGCTTGCACCCTAAACACCGAACCCTGGACCCTGACCAGCTATCAGCCCTGAACATCACAGAACACCCAACATAGACCCGGTGGTGTTTTCCCGATGGCAGGTGAAGGCGTCGTGCTGGTTCTGAACAACCTCGGAGGCCTTTGCTCGGGGTTCGAAGTCTCAGGGTGGGAATGTACGGCTTTCAAGGGAAAAGGAGCCTGGCCAGACATGGACATTCTGAAACTCGCCAAGAAGTAGAATCCTTACAAAGAGTCGAACATGAGCCAGGGGTCGGGGTGTCTTAGTGCAAATGGGCTTTAGAGGCCGACGGGTTTAGAGGCCCGGAAATTTATGGTGAAGCAAGGGGACAGTTTTCCAAAGGCTAAAGCTGGGACCGGGCAGATCTTGTCAGTGTAAAAGTCGAACCGGTCGACGGCAGGTCTGTTCGTAATGTAAGTCCCTTCTTTACAAGCTGGATCTGCACAAGGGTTCTGACAGTCAGCAAGGCTTTCCTAATCGAGGGTTTACCCACTTTTTGGTGTTGGGTTATTTTGGTTTGCGATGACTTTCCCCTTCCGATACGACCACGGAGGCACGTCCCCCTTGGAGATGTCAGTGCTGTGCGATGCCGCCTTTCGTCAGCTGCAGGACCTGGGTGCCGAGGTGCCCGGACATGGCAAGTGCTTTTTTGGGTTTCGCAACTTCTTAAAAAAAAAAAAACATTGTTGCAGTTGAGCGGGGTGGCGTCGATAACGGCACCACATCGAGTGAAAGCCCCTTGTCCTAAAGTCTCCCGGCGAGAGGTTTGTCAAGCGCAAAAAGACAAAAAGCGGCCCTGTGGCTGATTCTAAGCCAGGTCGCTGGTTGCGTGCAGGGTACCTTGGTCACCTGCTTGGACATGCACGGAGCCACCCGGCTTTTGATAGTCGGATGAGTTCTTCAAGTCAAGGTGCAACAGTTTCGTGCCGACGGCTAGATCGAGCCAGAATGATTGTAATGCAAGGGCTGCCCTGCTACCCCAACACAGAGCTGCCCACCTGAACACTGGAACGCACATCAGTTCATCTCGTACCTTGAACAAGCATCTCGCAAAAAAGAGTTGTATGGGAAGTACCAGATGGTACCCATCCCGGGTCACGGGAAACACTTCCGAAGCACTGGCTGACACAGATCTCGATCCGCCTTTGTCAGCCGCATGTCTTTGCCTTCGCAGCCCAAAACCCCCGACACCCAGGTCTCTCTGTCCTTGATCCCCTTGGCCGATGCACCGGGTCAGCTACTGGAGCTCTTGGCGGCCCCAGCGCAGGCGCATGGGCACTGAGTTTTCGAGTTGGGGGATCCTGTCCTTCAGAGGTACTACAAGGAATTGCTTGGATGAAGGGTTTGGGAAGTCAGTTGGGGCGTGGCCAAGTTTGAGCGGAGCAGATGAATCAGGAGTAGCGCTCTCCCTGAATCCAAACCCAAGTCTTCCCCAGCCCGAAAGAGGAACCCGGGATGCTGGAAGCAGGTGGGATCCGCTTGGCCTGGGCTTCTCATCCCTCCCAAAGACTCGGAGGCCCGGCAGTCGGCCAGCCGGAGATGGTGAGATGTTTGGGATATGTGTTGTGTGTCTGTGTGTCTGTGTGTGTGTGTCTGTCTGTGTGTGTGTGTGTCTGTGTGTGTCTGTCTGTGTGTGTCTGTGTGTGTGTGTCTGTGTGTG